GATGATTTCAGTTTTATCAGTGAAGTTTACCTAAAAGAGAGAGAAGAACAGAATACTTGAACTATCTTATTGGAAAGTCTAAACATGATGGCATGTCTTGTTTTCATCCATTTTTTCACATAGACAGATTGGAATGGATCATAGTCATTGGTGTCAGAGGAAGTAATTGTTTTAGAATCAGCATCCAAATAAGATTTAAAATGTTAAAGGAGTGTAACTTTTTTCTGCAATTCCTTGGGATAACTGTTGATAGAAAATTTTTCAATGGCATCCTATTTATCTGTGCCTTTTCTTTCTAAATATTCAAATTCTTGAGTTTTGGGATCTAAAATGATTTTCGTAGAATCATTAAAAAAGACTCCAGTAGCACCATTACTGAGAAGATACCCAAGTCCATATTTACTGCTGTAATCAACCCATCTTCGTACAAAGATTTCATATTTTTGTTTGATACTCTATTGATTTTACAAAGTGCCACTTGTATAAAATTGATTGAGGGATTTGGTGCTGACTGATTATTTGAAATCCTGAGGCTTTTATGAGGATGGTCTTTGACTACTATTGTATCCTCCATTGTATCCAGTGTTTAATCCAGAAGTGGCTCCAAATTGATCTTCTAATAAATTAGATTGTTGAAGTACGTCTTTCCGATGATATGTTGGGTCTCACAGTGGCCATCTTGGGATTAGATTGAGCAGTTTCAGAGGCTCGACTTGGCTGTTGGAACTATTTGTTATATTGAATTGAGGGAGGACAAGCTAAAGTGGATAGAGGTAGAACTCTAGGGAGTTTAAGTGATTATATTTTACTTAGGAATAGTACCACCAGAGTTCATGAAGGAATGAGCCATGATTTCATCTAATGTAGGTCTTTTATTAGGTTCGAGTACTAAGATCTTTTAAATGAGTTATTTAGCATTGTCTGATATTTGGACTTGATCTGGGAAGGAATATTGATTCAATTTGATTTTTTTGTAAGTGGATTTGACATCAGGAGTTTCAAAGGGGGGTTTACCAATCAACATTGCATAAATTATAACTCCTAGTGACCATACATCAACTTCGAATGAGTGTCCCACTTTGCCATCCAATACTTCAGGAGCTATATAGTTTGGAGTTCCGCAAATAGTTCTCTTTTTCTCACCATCGAATTCCAGTTTTGTAGCCAACCCAAAATCCCCCAATTTTAACTCCATGTTCTTATTCAGGAACAGATTGCCCAGTTTTAAACTAAATTTGATTACAAAAAATACTCCCGATGAATCACATTATTGTTATGGAGATATTTCAATGCATTTATCATCTATGCAACATAACACTAAACTTCAATTTCAGTCAATCTCTTTCTTCTTTTGATTAATTCATTCAGGGTTTGATTGCAAAGTAGTTCCAATAAAATGTACACATTTTCATGATCCTCAAAGACATGTTCAAATTAGACAACATTTGAATTCTACAAACTTTTGTGTATTTTGATTTCTGACACCAACTAACCCAATTACTTTTATAAATACCTTTTAACGGGCTCTATTTCTAGTCAGAGATGACTTAGCTATGATTTTTGCAGCCAACTACCTTCTTATTCTCCCAAATTTGTGGCCTCGTAACACTTAGCAAATCCTCCCTTCCCTAAAAACTTGCCTCTTTGATAACGTTTAATTGCCACCTCTCCATTCACCTTAGTAATCTTCTCCTCAAATATTATTATTTGTTCACTTAATTTAACTCAACATAATACCCATCTTGATTATTGTTTTCATCCATTGTAGGTTGTTAGATATCTTAATATATTAAATTTATTATTATATCACTCCTTTAAGTATGTATTCTTATGGACCAATCATTTCTTGATCCTTCAACTGCTCTCTCTCCAAACTCCAATTTATCCTCTCACTCCAAATCCCTCCCTATATAATACTTTTTTATTTTCAAGTCTCGCCACAATGAATTTAGTGAAATTATCATTATTCTTTTTACTTTTTGAATTTTTCCCAATCCCCAAGCTCTTATTTACGTCCTTAAGACATTTATTATTAGCATTTATCGATTTCAATCATTTTCATTTGGTTCTATTCAAAATATTCAGATTGTTATTAAATTACTATTACATTATTGCATCCGTCTAGATGTTTCTAGCATACCTAATAATGTAATATCTTTGGATTTCATTGAGTTTAAACAGTTCTCTCAATTAATAAATCCTTTGCTTGTGTAACTTCGAAAAAAAACAGTATATTTCAAATAGTAATCAATTCCATATGGAGATCAATTTTCTAATTCACCATTAATAATTGTTAAAAACTTGATTAAATGTTATTTGGACATGCAGTGTTCTAATGGCAAACCTAAAGATAAACTCATATTTATTCTGAGGACATAATATATTTAATATCATTTAGTAGTCATTAGAATTTTATCCAAAAAATAGATATCTTAAGATTATAGAATAACTACATCCTAAATTCAAGATGCAAAAATAAATGATTAAAAAAATTAAAATTTTGAATTAATCTTAATTAGAAATCTTTAAATAAATTCATGGTCTTTCAGATTTTTTATCTTTTCTTTCTTAATATCCTTAATATATGTACTTATATATTCATAACAATAAGATTTAATTTGTACACTATTTGTAAAAATTGAAAATTATTTGAGTTTAGATTTAAATAGTATATTATTATTTCAAGTGATCAATTGACTGATTTAAACGTTCTTTAAAAAAACAAAACTTTGAGAAACAATTCGATGAATGTAGTCACGTTGATCCCCTATTACATATATCCATTCCTAAGAACAAAGAAAGATATATGAAAAGCATTATTAGTGTATTTGTTTATTTTTATTTTAAAATTTAAAATAAATCAAATCCATTATTTTGCATGGTTCAAGTCAAGAGATAAGACAGAAGAAAGGTCTATGAATATTTGTTGTTGGAAGGTGTTATTGTTATCAAGAAGGTACATTTTCATAGGAATTCATAAGGATATGGCTCTCCCACTTCATGCTGAAACAGGAGTAAAAAACTTGGAAGTTTGGATGCTCTTGAGAAGTTTGAGAGATAAGAAGCTTGTTGATTTGGTGTTCTCATGGCAATACTACTACTATTATCTCAAGGCTGAAGGAGTTAAATATGTAAGAGATAAGTTGGGTATGATGAAATCATCTAACAATAAGGCATTGTCGAAGATGTTATTCCAGCTACTTTCAAGAAGGCTGATAAAAAGTTCGAAGAAGATGTCCCTGAAAGAAGGGGTCCAAGAGGCAATAAACCATTCGGCAGAGGAGGAAACAGAGGACCAAGAAGAGCTGAAGAATAAACAGAAACAGCATAACAATGAAATTGATACATACAATCGTACAATATATATAAATGGTTCATTTCAATCACGCTTTTTCTTAAGGCCAACAGTTTTACATTATTTTCTGAAGGCATTCTCAAAAGCATTTTTTATACTATCTTATCCATTTCATTCTACAAAATGCGCATAATAAACTTAAACAAAATTGATACATATCCAATAGTACAATAGTTTTTATAAAATAAAATCATATATGCTCTTCTTCGATATCAATATGATTTTGTAGAACTTACTTCTTTTCAAAAGGTTTTCATTAATGCAACTAATTCTCAATCTATCAGTAAAACTTTCTGGAGTGTTTCTGAAAATTATCCATAGGCAGTTCCTAATCCAGACATTTTATTAATCAAATACTGTTTATTTCTAGTGTTCTTTAATTTATTATATTTTCAATTTTTGAATATATCTTTAATAATGCTTTTGTAATTTGAAGAAATGCCTCAGAAAATATCATTTCTAAAGTTGCTATGAGATAAAATTTGATTTTATATTTTTTTCAATCTTAAATCAGCTTTAAAATTAAAGAGTCTATATCATATGATTAATTTTTAAGAGTATCCAAAACAGAATGTTTGGAATTAAATAAGGATAGAAAAAGAAAAGACTTTGATTCTTTTCTATTTACACTCTCAAATTCAAAGTTTAAATTTGGATCCCTATTTTACGCTGAAGTATGTATATATTGTAAGTCAGAAAATTTTATTTCTTTTCTTATTTCAACCAAAAATTTGATAGCATAATAGACTCAAATAGTAATTATAATATTATTAATCATGTTCCATACCTTAGCCATAACATATAGCCACTTGAATTTTATATCCTATTAGTTTCTATGCTCCTCTTGCTTTTTAAAGTTCACTTTTTGGATTTATTTCAGTATTCAGATTACATAATTTAATAAATGAAAAATAGTTTTTTAATTCAATCAAACTTAATGAATATAAAGTAAGTAAGTAATCTAAAATAAATTATAATATCATTTATATTTTTGACCACTTGCTGATCTTTATGCTCTTTAACTGATCGAAATCAGCTGGGCAGTTTTTTCTGCCAATCTTTTGAGTGTATATATTTCATCATTTCTTTAGCCTAATAGATCATTTAATCGTTCGATTTCATCTATTAGCATCTATATTTTCTAATCTTTTTCCTTATCATTGGCAAGTTACTTTTACTAGACTTAAACCTTAGAATATTTAATTTTCCATTGATTGAGATCATCATTAGCCAATTTTAATGAATCATCCTTCTATTTCAATTAATCCTGTAAAGATATTATAGTTTTTTCCATTTCAGTGATAACTTTAAGAAATGATTACTTTTACTCATCCTCTTCCTATTATTAAAGAACCTTTTATTTCAACTCTCGAAATAGATTGATTATTTTTACCTTGCATTTATTAGAGTCTTGTTGAATCTAATTCAGCGTATCTGATTTTCCATTATTGAATTTCCTCTGATTGTTGCATGAGCTTATTAGAGGAGTCTTAGAATACTGATTAAATGTCTGTTAATTCTTAATATAAATGTTCCGCTTATAATTTGGATTTTTCATACTAGAATTAATGGAGATGCATTACATCTTGGAATCTAATATCAGATATTTCTTTGACCAATATGAGTTCATGTTCAATGCCTTTTAATTTATTGATTTGAATTTCTTATTCCATGATTTGGCCTCTTAATTATTCATTTTCTTTAATTTTATCATTCAATTAGAGATTAACCTTTTTGTTTTCTTCCACTAATTGATTAATTCTCAATTCTAACTGATTGCTAAAATAGTTAACAACCAATTAAATACTTGTTGTCCTTTTTTTCGTTTTCAATGCTATGGACGCTGTGCTTTTTGATGTTCTGAATGACTGGAGACAAGGGGTTTGATTTGGAGTGGATTAATGTTTAACATATTGGAGACAATTTCATTTAATAATTAAATATAACAGATATTTGGTGATTAAACTAAAGCGTGTAATTAATACAGGGAATAAAGTTTGAACTAATGAGAGGGGAGAGAGGTTATGAGAACCAAAGTTGCGTTGAAAAAAGCACTTAAACTATTATACAAATATTGATATAAGAAACTGTATTGATAAACTAAATTTATATTTAATTGAATTAATACAGATGTTGCCATCAAGATCTGATTCTTAATAGAGAAGTCTTGAGAATCCTGATAAATAGACAATGAGAGTGGATTCAACAAAAAGAACTGACAAATTGATTGAGGTTCCTCGAAAGAAGCTTAATATGAGGTAAAATTAATTCAGTGAACAGTTAGATTGTATACAGAATCTGAACAAAGGTTTCAAGATTATGTTAATTCGAAGATTGTTACTATTAGTATTATTGCATTAGTGGGAGCTTACGCAATATTAATATTTATCATTGTGGCCCTGGAGGAATTGCTTGATGAAACTGAGTTCAATAATGTTTCATCAATTTTGAGTTGGATAGAACTTGGAATATTGATAGTGTTCATTCTAGAGATATTTGTTGGTTTGTATGCTTGGGGCATTAAGGTAATTTTAATACATAATGTAGAAATATTATAAAGACAAATGGTTGATTTTGGACACTCTAATTATCTTATTGTCACTCTTTTTTGTGATATTTGAATTGGCTGATCAAAAAACATCTAATGTAATCAAGGTAATCTAGGCTGTCTTTCGATTCTTAAGAATCTTTCTCCTAATTAGAAAGGCCTAGACATTTAGGAGATTGGCAACGATTTCCACTATTTCCACACCAGCTGAAAAAATAGTACGGTTCTTGGCCGAGTTGAAGGAAGTGTTGGAAGATGAAAATATGAAATTGGATATTGATTATTGTATTGACAAGATAGGAAATAATCAATTGTATTAGATGGGTAAATTGGATGAAGACAATGCTGAAGTAAGCCAATATTTCAATTTAAATAGGCTATGGCCTGGCTAAATCAAAGTTAATAAGGTAGAGCTGAAGTCAAACGAATTGTAACAAATGAATAATAATAATAATAACAACAAAAGAAAGTAATTGCTAATTTTTAAAAACTTAATATTCCAAAAAGAGTAATTTTACTATATTATTGAATAGTTACTGGAGATATTATATAAATAACATGATGATCTTTATATTGATCCTTTTGAGATGTGACAAACTATCAGGAGGCGAAGGATTGGTGAATTTGATGTTGTTTCTCTTTGAAAATTATAATCTGTTTGACGTGTTCCTAATTAAACCGAAAGTGGTAAGAGGGTACTTGTGAAGAGGTAATGAAAGGATATCTTGATAACCCATATCACAGTAAGGTTCATGCTTAAGATGTTGCTTAAACTTGCAATTTCTTACTAAGCAAATGCAAATTCATAGAAATCGGTTAATTAGATGAATAAGACATTGCCTGTGTGTTAATTGCTGGAGCTATTCATGATTATGGACATCCAGGACTTACTAATGCATTCTTAATCAACAGTAGAAATGAATTGGCTCTAACATACAATGATCAGAGTGTTTTAGAAATGTATCATCCTTCCTAATGCTTCAAAATTGCCTGGGGAAATCAAAAAGTCAATATTTTTGAAAATCTTTAATTTCATAAATACAGACGCATAAGAGAATCGATTATCTTAATGGTACTTTCCACAGACATGGCTCATCATGCTTCAGAACTTGCCATCACTAATAGTAGAATTGCTGCTCGTATTCATTATTTAAGTATGCAAAAATAGCTGATTTTGAACCCAATGGCAAGGATAAATAAAGATTGATGGACTTGATTGTACATTCCTCTGATGTATCCAATCCTACTAAAAGCTTTGAAATCTACAAATAATGGACAGAAAAGGTCTTAGCTGAATTTTGGTTGTAAGGAGACAAAGAGAGAGACCTTGGTTTGCCAATCTCGTATCTATGTAATCGATTTACAACCAACACAGCTGAAGCATAAGTGGGGTATTCTTTTTCTTTTTTATCAGATTTATTGATTATGTTGTGAAACCTACATTTGCATGTGTCTTAGGATTCCTTCCAGCTTATGAACCTTTCTTTTAAAACTTGGACAAAAACAAAGCTAAGTGGCAAGAACTTATAGAATATTATAAACAATAGTTAGCTTCCATTCAACCTAAATGAAATTATGATTAATTATAATTAAATATATGTTGCAGTTCGCATCAAAGCATATCTAAATAGTCAAGACAAAGAGGAAAGCTGTATATCATCGTTCACTGATGTACTTATAATTTAATATACATTTTACTTAGAAGTAAATAATTATATCGAAATCTAATCTGTATGAGTAATAGTATGAATTCAATCAGATTTTTGATCCACAATGTGATTAAGAATAGATTTACTTGTGTGTTGTAAATCCGATAGTCACAGATGCCTTAAATGGGATAAGTTCAAACTTGATTATATATGGTTCATAAGGAAGCGGCAAAACATATTCGCTGTTTGGTACGATAGGATCCTTGTTTACACTGAAATAAGGGTTGGTTAGCATAGAGAGTGGGATTGCTATAAGGATGATTCATGTAAATATGTGATCTATAGACTCTTAGTAACTGCACTCATAAAAATAAATATCAGAATTGAAAATATTTATTATTGACAATGAATAGATTGTGAATCACTTGAGTACCACTGGACAATCGAAATGGATTGAATTAGCTAAGCAATTATGTGAGGTGATTTAAAACTTGAATGACTCGATTATTCATGTTGTAATAGAAATAAAGACTATGCAGAACTCAAAAATAAAAATAATTTAAATCGGATCTGTTAGCAAAGGGAATTCGGGACAGATGGTGACTCACAATAAGAGCATTTTTACATTACACAGATGCATTTAGTGTTTGATTGATTAATAAAAATAAAAAAAGATAATTTAGATGCAAAGAATATACATACCATTTAGGGAATCAAAATTGACTAATTTGTTATCGAATTCCTTTTTGGGATAGGCACAATTAAAGATTATCCTATGTCTTGCTCCAACGAAAATAGATGATGCTTTGGGTACTCTTTAGTTCGGACAACAATTTCAATAAATAAAAATAGTTAGGTAATAATCTAAACATTAAACATAATTTTCAGTTTAATAGTAATTTCAAACCTAATCCTAACTTTAGATCAATGAGTTTAATTCAATGACTACTCAAAGTCAAACTCTGGAAATGATACCAATCCAGTTCCATCTGTAAAAGATTTAAGAATTGACTGATAAATACGAATCTATAATTCACTACTTACAATAAAAAATAATTAAATATAAAAATAGATGAAAGCAATACATTGTATATAAAAATTAATAATCGAATAAATATATAAATTATCTCAACTTTCTTTACCGAATTCCCTAAATATTTATTTATTAAAAAAGAATGAATTTCGATTAAATTGAAAGCGAAAAATTATACAATAATAGATTCTTTATAAAGAAGAAGATCAGTGCAGGTATATTTTGCAATTAATTTATGCCTTAAGGTTCATTTGGAGTTGTGTTTCTATGCGAAGATTTATAAACGAAAGAATATGTTGCAATGAAAGTCGAAAAGGACGATACCAACGTTATAGGATTAGACAGGGAAATCCAAATGTTAGATGAATTGAGGAAGATTCCAGGTTCGAAATTTACTTAAATAGGGATTCCAAAAATCATTTGGGCAGGAAATGATCATGATCGCAATTGTCTAGTCATGCAATTATTAGGAAGAGATCTATCCTATCACATGAAGGAATTAAGAACATTTTCTTTAAAATGTGTAGTCAACATTATTCTCCAAGTGATCTAAATTATTGAAGGAGTTCATAGAAGGTATCTTTAATAAAATTTATAAATTGATAGAGGAATTATTCATAGAGACATGAAACCAGAAAATATAATGACTGGAAAAGATTAAGAATTAAATTAAATATTTCTCGCCGACTTTGGAATAGCTAAGTTCTATCGAGAACCAGATGGTACTCATACGTATTCCAATTTAAATCATCTTCAATTAGACCCTTCAAGGAAAGCAAGCCATTTGTAGGAACAACGAGATATGCTAGTATCAATGCTCATAAAGGGTACGAATTGGGTAGAAGAGACGATCTAGAATCAATAGGCTATATGTTTATTTACATGTTAAAAGGAAAACTACCTTGGCAGACCTTTCACAACGTCAATGAGAAAGAGAAGGTGAAAATAGTTGGTCAAATGAAATCTCAAATATCTATTGAGGAATTGTGTAAAGACTGTCCTCCATAATTTTATCAGTATTACTTAATATAATTTTAGATATTTTCAATATGTTAAGTAACTTCAATATAAATCGTCGCCAGATTACCGTTATCTGTACTCCCTTTTCGAATAAATAGCCATTCAAAATGGATTTAAACATGATAAAAGATTTGATTGGACTGAATTTAGTTAAGGGACTACTAAAGTCACTGCTGAATAAACTTAATAGGAAACTAGATAATAGATTTAGCGAAGAAGCAAAGTCGAGGATAAATCACCGAAAAATTCTGAGTTAAACTTAAATAGGACAGAATTAAATTCACAATAGAAAGATACTTCCAAGAGTAGAATTAGAAGTCGTCATTAATCTGAATAACGCGTAAACAAAAGTGGTAATAGTGCTAATAGCTATTCTTCGTCTTGTATCAATTCTCAACAATCATCTGTTCTAATTAATTATTAAAATTCATAATTTACCCAAAGCAATGTAAGAATAGGCTCTTCAAAATTATTAAGTAGATTATAAGAGAGAGGAATAATCCATAAAAACTCTGATTCTAGAAGTTCTATTATCTAATAATAGTCATCGAAATCTTTTAGAGAAAGGAATCAATCATCATAATAGATTTAATAGGTACTCTCCTAATAATAATAATCATAGCATAATAATAGTTAAATGATGTCAAAATTTCAAGAGGACTTTTAAGATCTGGAAGAATTGGAAGAGAGACTATAAAAGGATAAATAATCTATGTAAATATTTGTTAAATCAAGAGCTAGCGTAATTAGTAGCATAAGAACAATAAACCATTAAAGGTTAAGGAGATTTAACATCATTTTGAATAAAATGAGAACTTCACTGAGATTGGTGGAATGACACAATTAGAAGATGATGCTTCTTTAGAAAATAAGGTTAAAATTTATAATTTTGATGCTCCGAAACTGAAATAGAGATTAGCTAAGTACTGAATCAATACTAATTTTATACTTTTCTTTAATTAAAGTCTACTTAAATTGTATAGATTCATGTTTTTCTTTTCTTTTTCTTATTTTATTCAACTTCCATTTAATCTTTAATTTTCTAATTTGTATCTTAAATTTATTCATTATATTTTTCTCTTTTAATTAAAGAGACTTTTTCATCTTACATCATTTTCTCTTTAATTTGTTTAGCTAATTACTTATCTTCCTCAATTTCTCTTCTTTTTGCTTCTTCTCTTTATTGTTATTGTCTTTTTAATTCATCAGTCATTTCCTTGGTTCTTCTCTCCTATGACTTTCTCTTTCTTTCTTCTTCTCTCCTTTCCTTTTCTTCTTGATCCTTCATATGTTTTTAGCACTTTCTCTCTTCCTCTTTTATTTTTTCCTGCAATTCCTTGTCAACAGTTTATTAGAACCTATTGGCAATGCCATCAATTTTATTTAATCTATCATTTTTCTCCTTCTCTCTTTATTCATCCCTTTTCTTTATAATTTCACTGTTTTATTTCATTATTTTTCTGTCTTCCTCTTTTTCTTTCTCTATTGTCTACTTTTATCTAACTTAATCCTAATCATATTATTTTAACACCTTCTACATTTCTAACTGTTTTTCTAACTTCTTTTTTTTATCTTATTCATCATCAATTTACATCTTTCTTAATACTAAGAATTTAATTTCTAATAATACCTTGAGCTATTTCTTGTTGTTCTTCTGCAATTCTTTATTTTCTTTCTTTTTTTTCCATTTTTTTTAAATTATCTAAGTAAGCATTGACTTATTAAAGTTCTTCCTTTTTTTATTTGGCTTTCATTTCTTTATTTTATCTAGAGAGTTCTTCTTGTTTTTTGATCAATTATTTTTATTATTCTGCAAATCTTATATCTGAGTTCTTTTCATCCTCTTTCTCTTTCAGTTTCCTCAATTTGATTTCGCATAGCTGCTATCTTAGATCTTCCTATTGTTATGCTAGTTTCTTTAATTTTTCTTCATCTTCTAATTTTTACTTCTAATCCTATTCCTTTGCATATTTACCCCATTTTAGAGAATCGACTTCATATGCAGATTTACCATGCTAAATTGTTAATGTATTTATACATGACTAGATTGTTTTTCTGTCAGCTTAGGGTTTTAATTTGTTGGTTCTTTAGTTTTCTCCTTAAACTTCTCTGTCATTTAAGGGGCAGTCTATGGCACTGATTAGACTGCCTTGTCTTCAGAATAAAGGGGTTATTGTTTGGATGATTTGGTTTTCTTTTCACTTTATGCAGTTTCACCTTTTAACTCTTTTATAATGTAATCTAACATTTGTTAGTTTTAGGGATTATTCCCATAAACATCAACAAACTTCTTTTCTAGGTTGCTTTTGATTCTTGTTATGTTAGGGACTTTAGCAGAAGACATTATTAATTAAATATTTATTGGACAATAAATAATTAGTATATTTCAATCTATAATTATAAATTTAAATGTATGGAGATATAATCTATAAAAAATCTAATTTTTATCAACGTTTAACGTTAATGAGATTCTTAATTTTGGTTAGACTATCCTTAACACTTTAGAAATATTGCTTCATTCTATTTCTCATCTGTTCAGCCTCTTCCAAATTCATATTTTCATGAACATCAAATTACAATGTTGAAAACTTTTGATTTGGATTTCTTTTCATCTACGAGTCAACTTCTCTGTTGATTTGAGCAATTTATTTAGCAAACATCATTTCAGATTCACTGCTCTTAATATTAATTTTGGGAGTAGTAACTTAAGTAGTGCGTTCCCAAACTTCAGGCAATTTTTGAATAGATTTCGATTTAATTTGAATGTTAGGTAGATGTCTATTAAGAGGAATTGGATCATAAATTCCTATAGCAGGAATCTGAGATGTCAGAGTCTTAGTACTTCTACTAATTAATTAATGTTTATGATTTAGACCTTTCTGTTATTTCCTCATCAACTATCCCCTCTCAACAGAAGTATGATTTAAAGTATAGGTTTTGATGTCTATTGTCTTATGTAATTCATCTATCTTTTGGCTTGTCGGTATCAAGGTAACATACTTGGTGATTGGATCATATTTTGGTGTGTCTTGTTCAGTATGTAATTTGGATTTAATGATTGTGTCTGCAAGCAACGAATTGGCTTACTCACTAGTTCTCTGCTTAGCACTCTTCTGATTTGTATTCAGGTGATAAAATTCAGCATTCGCTAGTTTTCCAACTTGATTCCTTTCAAAAATAAAAGGTACAAATCTTCCCTGAGTTGAACTAAGTTTTTCAGGCTTATCTCCAAATGGATAGTAATTAGACCCATTGTGCAAGAAATTGACCAAAGAGGTCTTTTACATAATTAATAATATAAATTATAAAACATAAATATAAATTACTACAAATAAGAACTCTATTACATTAAGAGATCAATTACATAATTGATTTTAGACATCTTCCCAAAATTTAATTAGTCGATATATATACCTTATAGATTAAATAAGTATTTAAAAAAATCTAAATATAGGCCATAAATTTATGATTTAAGATAACTTCTATTTAAAATATATCTATTTAGTATGAACAAGAGAAGAATTATTGAGTTAGATGCTATATTCAATTTTTTTACAATGAGAGTAACGATATAAGAAGTCGATATAAATGATGAGAAAGGTTGCATTTAAGATTCCTAAATCAATTATTATTTTAGAAGAATTATGAGATTTGAAATTAAATACGATCCATTCTAAATTAAAGTATTTAAATGATTGAAAATGCAAGAAATTATTTTCTTAGACATTAGGAAAGATCAAAGACCATAAGATTTATTTGGTTTAGTTGAAAAACAGGATTTTTAGCTAATTTAGTGTATTTATGATGTAGGAAACTAGAAAAACTTGTGTAAGTAAGACTTAAAAGATATATTTCTAATAAGAAAGAATTTAGTAGAAATTTTGAAATAATCCTGTAAACAATAATAAGGTAAATCCTTATATATTTTCTTAAAGAATTTAAAAAAGAGATACTTGCCGAAAATAAATTAGAGTAACAAGTATTATATATTAGGTTAACATATATGCTACACACAAGGATTTTAAATTATAGCTCGATGAGATAGTTTATCAAATTATACATTAATGCAACAATTTTATACTATGTAATTGATATTATAAAAATAATTACATGAAAATTATATAGATATATAAGTTTATTCAATCTCCTTTTGGTAGATCTGTTCCTTCTTCTTGAGATTATTTTTAAAAAGAAATTTCAGAATCTTGTTATTTTTATTTTTATTATTTTTTCATTGTTAATTTAGTTTAGATATTCTAATTTTGCAGGATTTATTTAAGTTATTCAAAATCTTCGTCGTCTCCTTCACTTTCTCCTTGTCTTCCTGCTCTATGAGTTTTAATTGTATTATTATTTGTTCTAGGTAATTTGCTTAAATCAATTCTGGTGTCTAGTGCAATTTGAGATTTGGATCCTCTGCTTGACATTTATGGTTTCGAGGCAGCTCTATCTGTATTATTTCCAATATTCAACTTTTGTTTCAACATGAATTCTTCTATTTATTTATGAACTGGTTTGTTGACATCAAACCATTTAGGCTGTTTAATAACATTGTCTCTATCAAAATGCTTACGGTATTTGTAAAGATCGGAAATGGAATTTCTAATTTGAAACAATTATAGGTAGAGTTCATAAAATTATAGACAAATATGTGTGGCTAGATGTCTATAATAATCTAACAATTATAAGATCTATTTGTTACGGATGTTGATATACTTCTTTACTGAGAAAATTATAGAATACTATGATGTCAGACCAATAAACTAGGACGATCTCTTTCAACAGCATATCTTCTGGGACCATCTGCAAGGCTTATTTTAAGATTTCCATCTGTCCCAAGCCACTATTAACCTTATAATGTTATTTGAAGTCTTACTAGATTACTAATCTTGAAGAGCCAAAGCAATTTAGTTTGGATGTCAATGAATTTTTATCCCTCTTAAAACAAAGGGTATTGTTGCACTTTGCAAGCGTGGAAGACTTGTATGTTCACAGCCAATTTTTGAAGATATTAGAAGTAACTTAATTAGATGTTTACTGACAGCCATTCTTCCTTCTGGGAGGTAGTTTTAACAAACACAGGAGATTTTTTATCCAATAAAACTGGGAATTTCTAATTGAGGAAATGATCAGCGAAGTCGATACCTAATTAAAATTCATGCAGCATTAAGTGGCAGGTTAAAAACACTTTGTTTCTAATGATATAGGAGTTGGCATATTCCCTAAAGAGTTATGAATTACTCATTACTATTCGTTAGCTAGTGTAAAGTATTATTCTATGTAATAAGATGGGGCTTTGGTTATAAATTCTGAATGGTTATTCTCAAAGCAAGAAATGAGGAACAATAGATCATCTAACAATATCTCATCTGACTGACTTAATAGGGATGAATTGGCCACTCTCTTTTGAAAGGGTGGTCTATTCTTGAAATACCCCATAAATTTATTGATCATTATTTAATTTATTGTTAATTATATATATCATAAAGATTGAACATCATCACCAAAAGCACAATCAATTATTTGATTAAGGAATTCTTCTAGTTAATCCAATCTTAATGATTAGTTAATGTGAATGTTGTCACTTTTGGGTAGCATATTTTTGTCAATTGGGAATTGCATTTGAATGCCATCAGAAACACTCAATTCAATTCTGAATCTATTGGGATCCTCCTTTTCAGATGATAAATCTTCATAAAGTTTAATAACAATATTTGACAGATATTAAAGCATTAAAATTTGTTACAATTGTTTTTGTTTGAATTCATCTTCGATTAAATAATGTCCTAATCCATAATATAAGATGTTGAACAAAGAATATAAGTGAGAAGCAGATGTAAAATATAATCTCGTTCTAACATGTCTCCAGGGACTATTCAAATCGCTTTCATCGGTTTATCTGAACTTCCAATAATCCTCCTCCTATTACTGATTTTTTGATTCCGATCTATTCCACCATAAGAGATCCTATTTGATTTTATTGCATAAAGGACCGACTACACGTTTGGCTATGGTTAATTTTTGTTTGGTAGTGATTCCATACTCAAATGGAACCATGAAATGACTGAGCAATTCTGCCAAGTAATAGAACTCTTTTGAATTTTCATAAAACTATAATTTATCCTGATTGTGAAGCATGTCGTATTTGACACTATCATAAATATCTGGGATTTTAGAAATATTGAATTTCTCCTTTTACAAGAAATCATATTCTAATTTGTACCATCTTTTAAAGAATAATGTTAGATTTTCTGATTCAAACATAGTCTAAACTCCCTGTTCCATATCACTTGGAGTAATGTAATAATTCTTTTCCAAGTGGATGTGAAGTCTAATTAGTTTATTCTAAAATTACCTTATATTTTTGGTTAATTAATTAATGTAGGTGTGTAATTAAATAAGCATAGACTTTGGACATTTAAATTTGCTAATTAAATCGTGTTGAGTTTGAGTCATATTAAAATTAGGAAAGTACTAGTAAATCTACGTCAACATATCCTCATCATTAGTTAACATTTTTTGGAGTATTGTTTTTATTTCTACTTCCTCCTCGATTTCTAGATTATTGCAATCCAATAATTCTTGGGCGACTTCATTCTTTTACACCATTGTGGCTAAGATAGGAGTCACCTCTCCTTCATAACCTAATAATCCTTTTAAAAAGGCTGCCGCAGTATATTGGCATCTGCCTTCATCTGATGTGAATGTCTTTAAGTCATGTCTATATGTGGAATGTAATCTAAGTAATCCATCCTTCTCTGTCGGATACATATCGTGTCTAAATACTTGACCTAATCTAACGGCATGTTCTTCACCTAATTAGGTCAATTCCCCACCCCATTTCAAGATTAACAAGACTTCAACTGGGAATTCAATGATCGAACCATTTTTCTCTATTTTTTATGTTTTTAATGGTTTGATCTAGACCTTCCTATTAATACCTTCGAAATGCCCTCCTAATTCAAGAACTGACTTCATTTAGAGTAATTTAATGATATTATCATCCTGACAAGAAGTCTTGGCAATACATTCTCTAGTTAAATTGAGTAATTTTAATAGTTATTTTGGATGCTTCAATTTAATTTCTTTAGATGGATCAGCAACCTCATCAAAGAATGAGAGAAACAATTCATTAGCAGATCTCATCTTCATTTTTTACTTAGGTGTTCTATCTCCATGTCTAAATACTGCCACTACAGATCTCAATTCAGAATTCTATTCTTTTCCGTCTAAATCTTTTGAACTGGGTCTAAAAGAGTTCTTGTAGAATCCCTTAACTAAATTGATATCAGAAATTTGTTTCTATAATAAAGTTGGTCTTAATTTAGCCAAAATCATATTCTACAAAATAGTGGCACAATCTTGATAATACTTGGCATTTCCTTTAACAAAAGACCAACCATTAACATCGCAAACATACGATTTGTTATTACTTCTCAACAAATCGAATCCGCAAATATTTTAACCAAATATATTCACAATCTTTATGGCCATCATCTTCTCTTCCATTGTCAAACAAACAGGGTATCTCATTTCCTTTCCATTCTATGATCTAACAACCTTACCATCCAATACTGGACTTTTTCTGGCTTCAGCATGTGCATAAAACTCTCCTACAGTATAGACTTTAATATCAAATCCATTTGTAGGCAAGAATACTTCATAAATATAGTTTTCATTATCATTCCTAATACTGTTCTAAGTTGGATCAAATATACTACTCTGATTTCCAACCTTTCTAAATAGTTTCTTACATCCACCTCCATCTCTTGAGTTGTAATAAATGTAGATGTTATGATCTTCGGCATCAAAGGGCTTTTCAACAAATGGTTTAACTAATTTCTACCCATTTATTAATAAATAATCATCACATTCTTCAATCTTAGTGATCTAAAGTTCTTTAGGATCCTTCTTAATATCTATTACAGCTGATAATGATCTAGCATCATAAGATCTCATTCCTTATTTCATTTTATTTTTATTTTTTTCTTCCATTGTGTCTTACCTGGGAGGCAATAGCAATTCCTGTAATTATTTTGCTGTCTAAACTGATTTGATATGTTGGGATGAATCCTCATTCTATAAAAAACTTATAACACTATCAACGTTGTCTTCTTCCTCAATTATTTCCTATTCAGTTTTCCTTGGTTTATACTTCTTTTCAATTTCCTTCCGATTATAGTCGTCTATGATATATTTATTCGGGTTTTTAAACACAAAGTAATGTTTAGGCACTGGCACTTTATTTTTCTTTAGTAAGGTATAGACTCTTTCCCTATCCCACAGAAGTTGCTATTTCTTTAGGTCATTTATTATGAATGGCTTCCTCAAATCAACATAGGCAATGGCCTTATTCAAAGGGAACCCGTCAGAATAAAAACTGATAAGAGTTTCAACAATTGGCCATGATTCGATAGGATCTTCAAGTATCATTTATTCTGAAAATATCTCAATTTTAAAAAACTCTGGGTTTATACGATTAAGTATTTCTTGCATTTCCTTGGATTAAGACTTCTTAGCCATGCAGCAAACACCAATGGTGACTATTTTATCATCCTCTATTTCATCTGTAAATTGGGACTGACTCTCCGTTTTCTCTACAATCAATATTTTATTTCGTACCTCTTTCGACTGAATGTGATCTTATCTTCCTTTTTATCTCTTGGTCCTAATCCATCAACAACTAAATTAATATACTAAAAATAAATAATGATATATTGGAATTAATTTTCATTTCAATATTAGAATCAACCTTAATTATTGATTATCTTAAAGAATTCAATAGGTGTAATTTCCTTATGTTCAGGGCTGATAATTTCAAAATCCTTTTTTATCCTTGCCTCCACTTATTGTTTCTAATTCTCATTTAGATTCAAGTATTCAGATGTCTCCTTATACAACCTCAAGAAATCTTCAGCACTAAATGATCCTTTTTTCTGTAAATCGAAAACACTAAAAATTTATGCAAACTCTTCGCTTTTCAAATTGTCTGTATTGATTTGAGGATCCAAAAACAAAGTTTTGAATTGCTCCTTATTTAGAGTAGTCTAAAATGGTTTCAATATTTAATTACTGATTGCAATTGATCTAATGTTCTAACAACATAATTAAAAAATTGAGTCTCTGATTTGTCAATGTTCAAATAGAGCAGTAAAGCCAACAAGGTAGACTTCTCAATCTAATCGACTTGCTATCCTTGCTTCTCGACTACAATTTCTTTAAAGATGATTACTCTTTAGAGATTCGAATAATTCCTCCAAGTCTTGTGTGATGTCTTCTATCGAGCTTCCTATTTTCTGTCCTGGTTACTAATTCTAGTGTTGTTGTTGTTGACTGTGTTATGAAACCTAACTTAGTGATTGCTGCGACATTAAATTTAATGAATTTATTTATCAAAAATAATGAGCTTCGATAAACTAATGCTGAATCGACCAAATTATACTGCAAGAAAATTATTAAAACCCTTCTTTGCATCATCCAGACCTCAGAATTTTGTACCCACTCCTACTATGAATAAAACTGAAAATAAGGATAGACCATTAAATTTAATAGAAACTTAAAGAAAGACTTTTCATTAAAAAAATGATTCCAATAAATCTTAATCTATAAGCATCAAAAAATAAAGGGTTCAGGATGCCTATAACACATTATCAGATTTTAATGATAAAAAATAAATCATTGCATCTCTAAAGACTCTGAACTCTGCCGATGAGAGGTTCATCATTTCTAATAAATTAGAATACAATTAATCGACAAAATATTAGAGAGAAAAGATGAAATGATGATAGCACAATTAAAATTAAAGGCTGTCAAATTAGAACCCATCTTCAATGTAATCAGAAGGAAGTTGCGAAAATAACGTCTAGGAAGTGCTACGCCCAATTAATCAAAGAAAGGAACCCTCATTCTGCGGTAGAAAACTTCAGAAGACCTACCTCAAACTATGCCGGATCAAACCAGAGATAGCAAGGACAAATAGGACCACAGTCTCAACCAATAAGAAACCACCAATGAAGATTAGATCATTGAAAAATTATAGACCAAATTCACTGCAGGAGTAGCATTCTCATGGCTTGCAAATAGACATGACAACAAATAAGGTATTACTAAATTCTTACGAGTTTAAAGTCCATTTAGATCCTGATCCCACTGAACGGCAATACTTGAGGAGATCAACTGCCTTGCAACACGGAAAAAACACCATGAACAGGCTTAAACAATAGGTTTCAAAAAAAGTAAGTGAAAACTCTGAAGAACTAATTAGAAGAGGTAATTTTAATCCAGAACAGAAAAAGGAGAAATTTGATCTTAGTAGAATCAAGGCCAAAGTCGATTCGGGATTAAATAAACCTTAGCTGTCTTCGTTACCTAAGATTAACATTATAAAACGGTAAGAAACTCTAGGATATGTAACATCTGACAGAAAGGAAATTTCTGCACTTGGAGAAATCTAAACATTAAGAAGTGACAATAAATTAAGATTCTAAAAACTCTGATTTTAAAATTTGATAAAAAAAGAAATAACGAGTTAGGTTATCGTATCAAAAAACACAAATAACATTAATTTATTGGTGTACACTCACTTTAATGCGTCGAATATGTTGTTGGATTTAACTGCTGATTTCTGGGATTCCTTCTTTTACTTATCATGATGCGAACTAAAAGCAAACTCTTTTATTTCATTCTAATGCTAAATAACTATTTTACTTGTTAATTTCCTCTGTAATACTATTTTCTTTAAGTCTCTTCCTCTCCTCCCTATTATTTGGTTTCATATCCTTGATTGTCTCTATTATGGTAATTCCTCTACTTGTAATGCTCTTTATTAGAGTTTCTATTATTATCCTGATCATTATTATAATAATTTCTATTATTATTATTTCCATCATTATTATTCTTATTAAAATTAGGTTTATCATTATCGACTTCATTGTCTTTGTCATTTCCTCTATTATTTTTATTGTAATTGTTTCTGTAATTCCCCCTATTATTTTAATAATTTCTTTGACCTCCTCTTTGGTTATCTCTTTCCTCTCTATTATTTTAGTCATCTTAATCATGATCATCATTTTAATTTCTATATTATTGTCTATCTCTATTTCCTCTATAATTATTGTTATGGTTATTCCTGAATTAATTTTAATCATCCCTATTTTATCCCTCCTGATCTTAGTTTTGATTGTTCTATTCTCTGTCATAGTTATTGTGTTTATTGTATTATTTATAATTTTAGTTGTAGCCCCTATTTTAATTATCGTACCCTTTGTAATTATTTCTTCTTTGATTCTGCTCTTATGGAATGTGTTGTTAATTATTTTCTTCTTAACCTACAGTCTTATCATCTCTTCTCTCTTATTTTTAGTTGTCTTATTGTTAATGATCTCCTTAGTGTTATTAAGCATCAGTTTATGACTATTATTGTTATTCAGGTTATTATTACTAATAAGGTAAATCATATATTACATTATCATCAACTTTGGAGGATATGTTTCTAGAAATTTTAGTAGGTTCAAAATTATTCCTTTTGTTTTAGTATTTTTCATCTCTGTTTCTGTTTCCAAAATCATTTTAGTTATCGTTATTTTATTATCTTTATTAATAATTATGTTTCTGATATCCTCCTCTATTGCCCTAATTGTTTCTATCGTGATGATCTGAACCTATTCTCATATAAAGTTTTTGGATTCTACCATCTAATTCCTAATAAATATTTAAAAAACAGAAATAATACAATTTATAGTTTGTAAACTTCTAAAAGTTTAAGGGCATTCTCTTTATCTACATCAAATTTAGTTTAATCTTCTGTGATAATAAAGTTTTTCGTTGTAATGTCTTTTAATGTTTCTTTTATTTAATTTTCATCAAATTTATAATGAATTAATATATTTATACTATCTCCATTATAATTGCTCAATTGTTCCTTCTTTTACAAGATTAAACCTAGATTATTATTAAAATATAGATACCAGCATTATCTCTATCTTAATGTTATTTTCTGTCTTATCTATCATTTCTGTCTTATCTATCATTTCTGTCTTATCTGTCATTTCTGTCTTATCTGTCATTTCTATCATTTCTATCTTATCTATCATTATTGTTATAATCTCTATTTTTAAAATTCTTCTAATTATCTCTATTCCCTCTATAATTACCATCTCCTCTGTTTCTCTTATCTCTGTTATCTCTATTATCTCTGTTATCTCTATTTCCTTTTCTTTATTGATTATTTCTTTAATTATAGTTCCCTTATTAATTAGATTATTCAGGATTGTTAATATTGTTATCATGTTCATCTCCTTCTTAATTCAAGTCGACTTGTCCCTAAGTTTATTCTTGCCTTTATCTTTATTGTCTTCCAGATGAGCCTTATTATGATTAATTGTGTCTCTAATTTTAAGCTCCCTATTAATTTTAGGCTTTAGAATCAGCCTAAGGTTTTTCATTTTCTTCATCGGAGGATAAATCTCCCCAATTTTGAACTTAATTGTCTGCCATGTACGATTGCAATTTAAATAAATATTAAAGATATTATTAATTTATTTGTTAATTAGCATTCACAAATAAAACACCATAAATTTCATATTGAGTTTAAATTATAAAATATTTAAAGACTTTTAGAGAATCACCTCCACTAACAAAATGATCTTTAAGTAGATATCCCAATATCACACAATAAGGCTAAAATTATTCTAAAATAATTCTAAGCTACTTAGTTTATTTGAATGGCCATCCTCAAATTGATAATAGTCTTTGTGTGGACCTTATCTGATCAATTTGATCGATTTTTTAGTGTTAGTAGTTAATCGCAAATATTGGAGTCAATAAATCTGAAATGTTAAAAAATATTGATTGTTTATATTGACAATATTAATTAAACATATATTTGATCCAAAATTATGGATTAAAAGAGTCCCTAAAAATAGTCATCGTCGCCAATAAAAATGTCTATCAATAATATAGATAAAATCACATATGCAATTAAGGATTCTTGGAAGAATTAATAAGATGAAAATCAGAAACTGTTTGATTAGTTTTTATAATATTGCAAATCCCAATATCCCGTATTCAATATCAAATTCACGTGTTCCATCAGCGGAGAATGGTTAGAGTAGCCAGTATTTAAATTCATTATCAAAGGTGTCATTTACGCAATGCATAATAGATAAAAAACATCTGAATGATTGCTTTGATCTTAAATAGATATTGAAATATTTGATACAGAATGACAGTAATTTTATGTAAGATGGATATATATAGTGCCCTCTATGCAGATCAAAGAGTCATTTTAAAAAAGATATACCATTAATCCCAAATCTGTTTTTCCAATAACTTAAATAACAAGTATAAATCAATTATTTTCTAGTTAAATGACAAATCGAAGCCAATAACCTACTATTTATCTACTCAAACCCTGATTCCATTCTACCCAGGCTTTCTAGGGAAGGAGCAATTTCAATACAATAATCAAATTTAACAAATATTCAGTCAGTAATAAGATGCTCAACAGAGTTTCTCTACTATTAGAAAGATTATAAAGGGGAACGAATCCTTTAAATATTTTCATGTATGTTTATTAGGGAACATAAGAATCTAAATTCCAGTGAGAGGAAAACAATGCCGCCACTTAGAATGCTATGATTTTCTATACTTACATTGGTACATGCAACAACGAGATTGTAATAATAATTATATTTTCAGAAAAGTAATTGAAGTGTCTACTCCTGGGATGTTAGGAGATTATTAATTTAAATGAATTGTAATTGGACTCAGAGTTGTACGAGATAGGATTGAAAAGTTTTAATTTCTCATCAGACTTTATATTTGATCCCTAGTCCTCAACTTTGTTGGATACATACTCAATCACGAATTACGACCCTCAGATAGCTGCTTACAAGAAGTTGGTTCCAACAACTACAGAAAATATGAATTATATAAAATCTATCTATGATCTCACAGATAGAATTTATTCCTCTACACGAAATTAGGAATTGACGGATAAGTTTTATGAACATCCCTTGAATGGCGATCTCAATGTTATTAAGGATTAAAGTACCAATTGCAAAGTTGAAATTCCATGTAGATGTATTAGATGTGATAAAGTAAATGTTTGCGATCTAAGATTCATGAGTTGCATCTTAAATTAAGTGCAACACCCAGAAAACAGAAATGGAGTCAAGACCTATTCAGTTTCTTGTCCTTTGTGTAATAATCCTTTTTCGCCTAAGAAAAGACACAGGGATCAGAGTGTTCACGAATAAGTTTATGTGGATACAAAGATGCTCAATTTCATAACCACCATTAAGAATTTCAATTACCTAAACAAGGAAAAATATCAACTCTTTTTATAAAAAAAACTGTATCCCTCTTTGAGATTTGAAGAATTGGAATCTCCAATTTAAGAATTAGACTAATTTAATCTAAAATTGAGAGTAATATATATCTATCTAATAAATTATTAGTGTTTAATAACAAATTAGAAGTTAAGAAATCCAATTAGAGGCATCTATTGTCATCATCCTGAAGCCTTCGATGAGAATAGTCTTACTGATTTGTGTTCGACAGGTTAATTAGATCTGAATTTGGCACAGTGTCCTTTGTGTCAATAAAGTATTCATAAGCTAACTCATGATAATACTTTAAAGGAGCTTTTAGGTTAATTATAAGGAGATTTTGATGAAGTTTAAGTGTTTCCAAAATTGAAACTAATCAAACAATTAAAATGATTATTTATTAAAATATGACAATATTATTTATTTTCGAATAAATTAATGGCTCATCATTAAGAATAGGTATTTGGAGAATTAGAGGATTGTTATCAGGCCTTTGTGCCAAAAAAATCAAAAAGTAAATAGGTACCTGAAGCGAATGATTTTATGGAATTATATCATTTGACAGTAGAATAAATTGATTTAGAGTCTAAGGATATTGTGGATAAGAAGTTTCTGAAATTATCAAACTCAATTTTATAATGGATTGAAGAAGAATTGAAGAACACAACATTTTAAATTTTAGAATTGCATAGTCTAAACTAGCAACATCATTATGTGCAAATCAAGTTTGGTTTCCTTTTAGTAGATCAAGCCAATCTATATTCAGTGTATTCCTTCTACAGTTCTCTTGTGAAGAAAAAAGAGAGCCATCCAATATTGAATTCCGATTGTGTTGAATTTACAATGGAAGGCGGGAGAGTAATTGATCATTCACTCAGCTTTGAATTATTCGATAAAATAGACTATAGTTTACCAGACTTATTAAATTACGTTTTGATTCATTGTGCTAAACAATTCAAATCAAATGTGAGAGCACACACATCAATATTTTTGATTTCCAAATATTTTGTCTCTGAAGAACTCAGCGATTTAAAAAAGGCTTTGTTAGAAGAGATTAAACTTCGATATCCAAACACAATTGGCAATATCATATTTGTTTTACCTCTGTAATCTACAGCCACAGAGAATTACGAAATTACAAAAATCTATAGTTTCAGCGATCCCAAAAAGATGTTTATACACCTATTGATAAAGCTGATATCCAATCCTCAAATTCCTTTGCTGTCTCAAGAGATATATTCTTTATGGGAAAAAGACTTCAAGATCTACACCATGAATTATCAATAATAACTCTTTAAAATTAAACAAGCCTACTTCCTCATGTATCAAACTTTACACTTCATGACATCCTACAACAAGAAGAATACAACCATGAAGGAATTGCTTGACACTTTGAAGAATTAGCCCAATAACAACATAGTATACAAGCAGTATTTATAAAAAAGAAAACAACTGAGTGATGCCATCCTTGTGTTTAGTAAATACATTGAGTAATTGAAGTCAGAAGTAATAATGCCATAAATTAATTTAGAACCAATAAGACATCAAGGATTTTAAGCAGAAACTCTTTGGATTATTATGTTCCAATCAGGCCAGCAAATGGTTCACATTAAGTCACGATTGCAAACTGAATAAAGCTAAACAACTGTTCAAAGATCTTTTATCAATAGGGAATGAGCAGAACATTGATTAAGCCATTTTAGTATACTTAGAAAATGACAATTACGACAACTAGTAAGTGAAGAAACAAAATGATCGATTCACATAATTGACTAAGGACAACGAAAAGGTGAAATTTGAAGATTACGTTAATTAATTCTTAAATAAATACATTGTGACGATAATAAATGATATTAAGAAATCATGCTCTTAGTACATATTTAAGGATTTTGATAAGTATTTGGAATCTACAAATCCTGACATTTTAAATCATTTGCATAAGAATTTAATTGATACTTGTACATCGAATTTCAAATAGACAGGCGAAAACTATGCTAAAATCCAATAATAATATTAAGTAGCGTTGTCGAATTTGATTGAGAAATAAGATATGATAGACTTTTAGACTGCAATAGCCAATCTCAAGTTGTTAGGTTTGATAGAAGACACAAAACGGGTGAAGCCGACGATATAAAGGGCTGTCTATGCCAAATAAATGTATATTAACTATAACAATGAATTTTGAAAATAAATAATTTCTATTATAAATATATCATATCAAATCGAATGTTAGAAATTCAACTAAGTTCAAAGAATGTTGGAGTAATAAGTTAAATAGCTTTAGTATTTAAACTTGGGGATGCTTTTCTTAGAGACAATCTGGTATTATTATGAAGGATTCCCTTTGAACAAATTGTTGGCGATATTATCATTCTATACCAATTTTACACAATTTTCGGTTGTGGTCTATCAAGTTTGGTCAATAATAGAAGGCTTCCTATGGAATCAGCAATCTTTGCCATTAAAAAGATTCTAAACGTTTTTAGTCTATGCATGTTTTATCGTAGCGATATCATTCTGGTCAATTTACTTAATACAGCCTGATGCAGTGATATCCAAAAGGCATCCAATATCTAACTACATATTGTTGACCTTCCATGGAGGCAGTTTTCTGTATTTGTAAGATAACATTTAAAATTAGATATTTTATAACCATCTACACTTCTAGTATACAATACTCAGGGAATGCTAAAATAGTAACAATCTCTGGATGTTTGTATGTACTCTTTATAGTGTTGAACTACTTGGTTAATGACAGAGTCCCATATCCTTTTTTCAGACACATGAATCCTCTATTAGCCATATTAATAATCGCATTATCAGTCTTCATGATCAGCAGTTTATATGTTTTTGTCTGCAAGAGATACCATTAGAAGAAGAGTTTGGAAGAGGAAAACAAAAATAAATTATATTGAAGCTATAGTTTTTTATTAAATATTAAAATTAATGTTTGGATTTGTATCTCTTGCTTATAATGCAGCATAATTGATTGGATGGTCAGCAATATTGGGGTTGGTGATATTGGAATTAGTGAATGGCACTGAAAAAACAGGATAGATAGTTTGGTTAGTCTAAGTGATGTAGATATCTCAGACCTATGACTTAATTTCTAATATTGTGGGGTATGATATTGGAATTATGATAGTTTGACATCTGGTTCATTGATTAGCAATATTCTCTAATTAGGAGGTCGACTTGTGGTGGCATTATTGTTTATGTATGAGGGAGTATGCTTTTGCTGTTTGATCAATGCAGTAATTGCCTGGTCTTTGGCTGAAATCATTAGATTCTCTTATTACTTATTCAAGAATAATTCATTGTTCAAGACTCTTCGATACAATGCTTTCATGGTCTTATATCCAATAGGAATTTTGGGAGAATTGAGAACTGTGAATCAATCCTTGGCTGTTTATGGTGATATCTAAATTAGAGGATTGTAAACCATTTTGATTTGTAACTATTGACAATTAATTAGAGTGGGAGGATTCTTCATGTATGCCTAGATGTTGAACGCCAAGAGCAAACACACCAAGTAGACTGCAGTGGATCAGAAGTAGAATGTGAAACAGAGATCGAATAGTCCAGTCAATAGACCAAAGAGAGAATGAGTAGTATTTATAAAGGGATATTTTATGTGATACTTATTATGTGTGTCAATCGATCCAGGACTCTTCGACACATTCTTCGACTCTCTTGAAATAGGTTATTTTATCTTCTAAGTACAATTTGGCTGCCTCGCTATTCGCAGGGGAATCAGGATTTGGGTCGTTGAGCAGAGAACGTATCGACGTGAGAATAGCCCATACGTCATAGATGGGGGACCATTGATTTTACAAAATGTCTAAGCAAATCTTGCCATCTGTGTAAACCTTGCATAAATTAATTGGGTTATGGTTGATACATTGGGATGGAAGATCTTGGTCTTAAATATGACATTGGGGGGTTTGAGGGGATATTCTTCTGTGAATTCAAGAAGTAACTTGAAGATGCCTCCATCCCAGATGGTTTGATCTGGTCCGAAGATGACAGCTTCCCATAATAAGATGTTATCATCGAAGGGTGCAGCTTAAAATCCTTGTGGAATCATTTACTTGAGTTTTTAAAGATCTCTAACCAATCTCATTCTTGAGTTTGTGGACATTGTTATTATACTTTATAATTATTTATATGATTTTAAGGCATATTTATTAGGTATCAAAAATTTATTTGATATTTAAAAAATGGTTTTACCAAGATTTTTTTTGCTTTGCTTGATCTTCTTCATGGGGTCGACGATGTTCTGTAATTACTATCCCATGGATGCCAAGGCATGTATCTCAAAAACAGATGGAATTATGTGTATAAATCGGTTTTTAAATAAATTTAGGCGAATTTAGTCTGTTCGAAAATGCGTGCCTTGAAACCTCCATAACCACTTATGGTTGTGAACCTACTTTGAATAAGTTGGCTTGTTTAAATTAATTAACGAATCCTGACGATTCTGAAGCCACATGTATTCTCATTTATATAACCAAAGGCATATTCACTTCTAAGTGTCAGCCTGCCAAAAAATAGCATTTCAAGAATTTGGGGTGCTCAATAAAATATTCCAAATACGGATGCATGAATGCCTTAAAGAAAGATTGTATTTGGAATAATGGATGTTAGGCATATGAAAACGAAATACCCTTGGGAGATGACTGTTCGCAGATCTTCGATGAATCTGTGACTCCATCTTTGTGCCAAAAGATTCAAAACATTTAATGTATTCAATGAAATCATAATTCAAGGCATGAGTAGTGGTTTCAAAGGAGATTACTAATGTGTCACTGTCACAGAACAGCTACTCTCTAAGATCTCTTGTGATTAGCTCGGATTAAACCAATAAGGATGTACATAGATATCCACAAAAGATTAAGAGCTTGTATGTTTAAATATTAATACTATAGGTATTTTTGAAAATAACCAGTGTAAGAATGTGATTTCAACATACCCGTAAAAGTGTGGTTTATTGCTGAATCGCTTAGGCTGTTTATAAATCATAAACCCAAAATTGAAGTGCCAATGGAAAAACAGTGCATGCAAGGACTTCGTTGACACCAAATAGTCCTGTGAACAAATAACAGAAGTCAACTCAATAGTTTGTTCTGGATTTGATGGAATTTGCTTGTATGATTCAACCTACAAGAAATGTGTCAATCCTACAAGTAATTAATTGGAGAAGATTAAGTGCAACACTTATGGTCTAACGAAGTAAGCATGTCTCCAAATTAAAAATTAATATTGTACCTTCTTTAAAGGAATCTGCCAAGAGATGTCACTATCTGATTTGAAGGTATACTAATGCAAAATGGATTTGAATGAAGATGCTTGTATCAACATTGAGACTCAATTTCAATATTGCAAATGGGATGGAGTCGAATGCACAAGAATCCAATTAAATCAGGATATCAACTGTCCATTAGATTCTCTGAATGCAGAATCCAAAGTCAATGGAAACGTCTGCTAATCCATATCCAAACCAGGAGTCACATGTAAATATAATTCCACTACTCACCTATGTGTCAGAAGTACTGAGAAGGATTATTGCAATTCCTCCTTCCTCAACTTACAAGGCTGTGTCAGCATTACTACTGCAGGATACTCTTGTTAATGGACAAAGGATGGATGTGTCAATGTAAAAATAGTACCCAATAACACTTTATGTGAATCTCTTGGATTTGCTAATGCAATCTCTTGTTCACAAGTCTACGAGAGCAACTCTCTAGGTTGCTATTATGATCCATCATATTAGCAGTGCAAATCAATTATACTTAAGGAGGAACAAGTATTCCTAAACACAATCAATTGTTCTGACACCAAGTTTGGTTATAATAAATCAATATGTGCTTCGATTACTACTCCTGGCCAAGTGTGTAGATGGTACTAGAATCAATGTTCATAAATCAAATCTAAAGAGCAAATAGCCTAAATTTAGTGTATACAACTTTAGTTTGTTAATAAATATGCTTGTGGATTGGTAGAATATGGCAAAGAACCATGTAGATATTTGGATCTTCAAAGGGGTTGTGTGAATTCCATTGTTGGTAATATGAATTGTTTGACTCCTGGATTGAATTCCTATGCCTGTGCAGTAGCAAGTGGAAGTTGTTATTTTGATACTTCCAGCAATTCATGTTAGTATGTTTCAAACCCATATTAATAATAAACATAACTTACTGCTGCTGCCAAAGCTGAATTATTAAGCACAATGACTTGTGATTCCAGTTCTCCAACTATTGATATTTGTGCCTAGATTGTAACTGTAGGATAAATTTGTAGTTGGTCTTTTAGGACAAATAGATGCCAAAATTAATTTGTTGCTTCCAATTCTCTTTGTTCGAACTTTTCAGGATAAAATGTTGTAGTAAATGCAAATACTTGTGCAGCTATAGAGAATGAATTTCCAGATTATGATCCAATTGGAGGTGCTAAGGTTGATGTCAACAGAGCCAATTGTAAATTCAACTCAAAAACATCGAATTGTGAAGTTAATAAGGATAGTTGTTCCACTCCTTGTTGTACAGAACCTGAGAAGATTGGAATAAATGCTCATTCTTGTAGTAAATATTCATCAAAAGCTGCCAATACCTTCTGCTTTTTTAATAATGATCTTAGATGTCAACAATTAACAACATAAGATGTTGGAATAGTGAGTGCAGACACAGCCAGGATATATTTCAATGCAAATTAATTCAAATGCTCTTAGATGTCTGTTAATTCATGTTTTATGATTACATGGTCGTCCAAATAAAGATGCTATTACAATGGTTCATCTTGTGTTAATATTAATTATGCAAATTATAATGATTTTAGTGTGTTTGTTACTGCAGCTAAATTAATGAATTAATATGCTTGTTTAGGTATAGAAGCAGCAAAGACAAATAAAAATACTAAGAAATATTTTACTTATGATTCAATAGCATACAAGTGCAATTCATAAGATGCCCCAATTGATTAAGATTCCTGTGAAAAAGTAATTGGAAATAGAAATCTATGTCTTGCTACTAAAATAACTGTAGGGGATGGCTATTGTAAATGGGATCCTACAAATTTAAAATGCATAACAATTCCTAAAGACGAATTCTTATAAATAAATACTTGCAATTACAATTAAAATAAATAGGCGTGTATTAAGCATGCAAATTTAGGATGTTAATTCAATAATGATACTGATAGATGTATTGAAGCTCAAACAGATGTAACTTGTTCATCTTTTGAAGCAACTGGATAGGTGAGTTCACCTGTATGTTTAAAAGTATCCAAAGGTAAAGAAATGTGCAAATTCGATGACACCTATAAATGCGTTACTCACGATGTCGATGCAGTGAAATGTGATATAAAAGGAGGCAATTCAATAGCTTGTTATTATAAAACAAATTCAAACCAATGCAGATGGGATCCAATATCATTAAAGTGTTATGAAAATAAAACTAGTATTTAACTCTTGGGTTGTAATGATAATTTAAATAAGAATTTATGTCTAAAGGTAACTAAAGAACCTTGTGTTTGGGACATATCATAATATAAATGCTACAAACTAGAATCGTTTGACTCTGCTTCTTTTAACAAAATTGAAAGTGGAAGTGAATTCAATAAACAGACATGCATGAGTTTAATAGGAAACTCATACTATCATAATGTATCGACTGATAGTAAAGGTGTAGAATCACAACTATGCTCAATTTTGTCCTCTTAAATGAGTGCATGCAATTAATATTATACCAATAAATAATCTTGCCTATTACAGACCAGAGGAATTTCTTGTTATTACGATGCAGATGAAACTGATCTCTCAAAACGATGTAAACCATTTACTGCAGAATAATCATCATGCACTACTTCAACTCTGATCAGCATTTAAGTTTGTATGGATATTCCTAAGCAATGTCAATTCAATACGACTTCTTTATTATGTTTGAGTACTACAATACAGGAAACTGATTCATGTTCAGATTTAAAAAATAAATCTGGATAATATTATAATAAATTGGCATGCTCATCAATAAATTCTTTAATTTCAGGAACATATGGTATTTCTCAATGCTTAGGTAAAGAAGAACACTAATAAACTTGTAATCACGAAAAATATTGTTATTGGAATTCAAGCACTTACACATGTGATATTAAAACTTTACATGCTATTTCTATGGGGACGGAGGAGCATTGTGAGGACCAGACTGTAACAAATCCAGAGACGAATGAGACTACGACCGAAGAGGTTTGTACTGAAGTACCAAAATGTTAGAACGATTAAAATAAAGATGCTCTATATGTTAAGGAATGTTCATATAGATACTCAAAGGCTCTTTGCTTAGAAATGAGTGAAGCTAATTGTTACTTTGACTTAAACTAAGGAGGGTGCAATCCTCTAACTTAAAATGAAAGGAAATTACCCAGTTGTGACAGTGTTTATAGTGTTGTATAAAATAACTGTGTAGAAAGTTAATCAAGATATGCATTATGTAAAGTAGAAAGCAGTTCTGAGACAGTTCCAACAAGTTGTAAGACCTTGGAGAGAACTGTAACTAAATGCACTTCAAATTCTGTTCTGATGTCATCATATAAATGCGCCGATGTTCCTGCATAAAGTATATCAAAAGGTGCTTGTGCTAATGCAATAGATATTTGTCGTTATGAAGGTAGTAAATGTGTGACAACCATTACCAAAGATACCAGTTGTACACCTGCTTGTGATTCTAGTTTTAGTAAGAAGTTGTGTACCTATTGTGGATGTGATTTTGATACTTTAGGATATTGTCAAATTGCACCCATTTCACTATTTCCTTAATTAAATGAAACAAGTCTCACCCTTACAAAAGAAAATAATGAAACTGAGTTAAAAACCAATAAGTACTATTTATGTTATGAAGTCAATTTATTAAATTCGAGTAAAGCAGAATAAGTGTGTGGTAGGGTATCCTAATCTTGTATCTACACAAATATGTGTGTTGATGCAACAGGATATACATGTAGTTAATTAGTGGATCAAACAGTATCAGAAAAGGCTTGCGTTAGATGTACAGGAGATTTAGTGGAGTATGATTCCAATAAATAGAGATGTAAATCATTATCAAGTTCAAAAGCTTCAAAGTGTGATAAACTTAATTAGTTAGCTTGTTTGTAAAGTACAACAGCTGAATGTAGATGGTTAAATTATACTTGTCAATCATTCACAACAGCTGATAATAGTGATTGTTCAATTTATAATACTGTCTCTTGTTCAAAGGTTTCTAATTGTTGGGTGAATCCAGATACTAATTTATGTACAGCTTATATTGAATCTTTGGGAAAATGTAGTTAATTACCAAACCAAAATCTGTGCAGAATTTCCAATGCTCAGGCTTGCATCTGGGATAGCACATCCAGTTCGTGTAAAGATGCAACAATGGATGCCAGTTACACTTGCGATAAAGCCAATAAATATGGATGCTTAAATAATAAAGTACATCCTTGTGGATGGTTAAACAGCAATCAATGTCAAGCAATTACTTTGGATTCTGCTAATTTTGTCAGCTGTTCAGACTTTCTAGGAAGTGATGCAAGTCTCCCTGTATACTTATACTTTAATGCATAAATATGTAGTTAATTAGTTATTACTAATAAAGATGCAAGTAAATTATGCTTTAGAGATTAAAATTATTAATGTAGAGAACCAATCATTACAGATACTTTTACTTGTACTACTCCTGGGCTGAATAAGTATGCTTGTATCAACCTAGCAAACAGCAATTGTAAATATGATAATAATCAATGTTAACTATAACCAAGCTAAGATGTTGGATGTCTAAGCAATTTGAGCATTGGTGCTTGTATAAATTAAAAAAAGACTTGCAAATTCACAGAAGGGGTTTGTGGAGATTTTACAGTAGATACCATCGATGACTTTTTAAAATCAGAAGTAAATTACCCTTATTCAATATCTGTGTGTTCTAAACTTGATAGCAGCAGTGAGACATATAAAGAATCCTTCATCTACAACACAATCTTATAAAGATGCATTTAAATTACTGATCGAAGTCCTTATATTAGTGATTGTACCCTACCTGGCATCAATAAATTTGCCTGTCTCACTAAAACCAACACTTTTTGTAGTTACACCAATAACCAATGCTAAAGTCAAACCAAAACTTCACTTCAACAGATTTTATCTTGTTCTGACACTTTGAATTGGTATTCTTGCTCTTTGATAGTCACAGACAAAGGAACATTATGCAAATTTAAGGATAATAAGTGTTAAGATGTAGATGACAAACTAGACACCTGTTAAACCTTATAAGGTTAAAAGGCCATTGTAAGCTCAAGTGTTTGTGCATCCAGAACTGATTTGCCTTGTAGATTGAATACCCAAACCAATTAGTGTAAAGTAATTGATAAAAGTGAGATTTATGTTTGCAAAGAATCAGGGTTAAACTTAATTGGATGCCGATTCCAAACATAAGGTTCATTGTGTATCTTTTAAGGTGGTACTTGCTAAAATAGTTATGGAAATACTAATTGTAAAGATCTAGTCAACAAAGACAAGTGTTTATCTATAAGAACCAAAAAGCAATTTTGCTATTTTGATGACACTCTGGGATGTCAAGATATAGTAATCAACGCAGATATAGCTAAATGTGGTGTATTTAGCAAACAAACTAATCCCCTTGTTTGCGCTCTTGCTACTGCCTAAGCTTCTACAGCATGCTATTACAATGATAATGAAAAGAAGTGCGAAGAATTTAAATCAGATACTTTAACCGAGTGGGCTAATAGAATCTCGTTTAATTCCAAAGCTTGTCAACTCTATGAAGCTGATAGCAAATTAACCTATTGGAAAGATGAGTGTTTAGAAATACCTACATAATAATTATTGTATCTTGATTGCGACAGTTAGGCCAATCGATTAGGATGTATAAATATTACTAATCCCAATGCTTAATGTATATTCAATAAGACCACCAATAAATGCGAAAAAGTCACAGATTTCACAAAAGCTTGTGTTAGTTACGAAAATATCAACTCTAGCATTATTTGTGAGAAACCTACTGACAGTAGTTGTTACTTTAGTACTTCCGACTATAAATGTGTAAATCTCAATCCTGAAGATGAAGTTGATTGTAGTGTATAAACTAATGGATACAATAAGATTGCATGTGCAACGAATAAGAATTGTGTATTCAGTGATCGTTGCTATTAAAAAGAGGAGGGTGAATATTCTCTCTGTGCTGATGCAACCAATAATAAGACGAATTGTTAGGCTGTAAAATATGAAGCATGCTAATTTAAAGATAATAGTTGTACTCTGATTTCAGATTTATCCTCAATTAAATGTCAAGATGCTGTTAATATATTTGGTTGCTAAAATGTTACGACTAATGGAGTATATTGCCAATTTATAGATGAGAAGTGCTAAGAGATCAATCCCTTAACTATCAAAGACACAAGTTGTACAGAAGTAGGAATTATTAATAGTTTTATGTTTTGCGAATAAGTATCAGTAGAAGATGAACTATGCAAATATGATGTTAAGAAGAAGTAGTGTGTTCTAACAGAACCAACTGATGAATTCAGTTGCAACAGAGGTCTAAATCCACTGGCATGTTTGAACAAAACAACCTAATCACTCTAGTGTAAGTTTTGGAATTATTGTTATGGACCAAATTATTAGATTTTGAATTGTGATCCCAAACAAGTTGCCGATTGTTGTACCCTCGCTTCCAATTTAGAATCATGCTTATTCTAATCTTAATTTAATTGTGTTTGGACTAATTAATGCTTAAACTATACATCCAATTAAAACTGATTGCAATTTGATTGAAAATGCATCTAGGAATATATGTACATCAATCAGTAGCAGTTTTTGCATCTTTGACACCACTATTAAAAAATGTAGATCTATCACTCCAACCAATTGTGACCAAGCATAGACACCTTCATAATGTAAAATGATTTAAGGATTACCATGCTATTGGAATTCAGAAGTAGATCAATGTGAATACAAAGAAAAAAAATTATATGACGAATGTTAGGATATTGAAGTTGCATCTGGCAATATGAGAGCCTGTTTAGATGTGGAAAGACCAGGACAATTATGTTAATTTGTAGATAATCAATGTAAAACATTTAATGAAGTACCAAGTTAAAATAATTGTTTAAACAACATTAATAAGGTTTCATGCACCTAATAAATAAAAAATGAATGTTTCTGGGATTTATAAACTATTAAAATTAAAAAAACATCATTAGCCAAATAAGAAACCGAAATAACTATTGGTGAATGTAAAGTGTTCAAAGAGTTCGATACTTGGAATTGCTCAGATCAACTTAGTTATTTGTCTTGTCTTAAGATTACTACGAAAGGTGTGTAATGCTATTGGAATGATGAGTAATGCTAAGCAATTCCAATAATAAAAGGGGAAATAATCACTCCTAATACTTATGTTTTGATTAATAGTAATGCTTGTTCATTAGTTAACAATGGAGATATGGTCAGATATAATTCAGATACTTTAACATGCATTAAAGATACCGATTTTAATAATTTAACCTGTTTCCCAATGACTCCTGGTCTCAATAAATAGGCTTGTGTTAAGAATACCTTATAGAAATGCAGTTGGGATGAAAAAAATCGCACTTGTGTATTTGAAGCCAAAAGACTTCTGGTCGAGGAGTAACTATAATCTCATCGACTATTATAATCAACAACCTGCAAAAGAGATGGACTGGGACCACAACTGTGTTCTCAACTCTCTCTACAACTACCATGTGGTTCAGGTGAAGTTGGTTGTGATCTTATTGATATCAATACAGCCGTCTGTTCAGATAAGGGACTTAACAAATTTGCATGTTTAAATTTAAAGACTGGACCATGTGCTTGGATGGAGGATTCAGATGGTAATTTTGTTTGCCAAGAGTACATACCATTTACTTCTTGTGAATAAGTGCTTATTGATGTGAATTCTTCCGTTTGTTCGTATGTATTAGATGATGCATGTGTGTTTAACTAAACTCTTAATAGATGTCAAATTCCTACTCAAACTTATACGAAATGTGATGTTGATGGAATTAATGCTGTCGCTTGTTCTTCGATAAATGGTTGCATATTTAAGAATCAGAAGTGCCAGGCTTAAGATCCAAACGTAAATGTACTTTGCAATTAGGCTGAATTAGCTAATTATTAAGTATGCACACTTGCTATAGACAGATGTAAATATAGTGATTTAACTCATGGTTGTATTAAGTCTACGATCACAGACAATTGTAATACGCTAGGCTTAAGTGCTTTAGGTTGTAATGTCTTAGATGAGTGTAAATGGAGTGACTCTAAATGTCAGTGTCTTGCTTATCTTGAATAGTTCCCTGTATGTTCAACCATTCTTGAATATAATAAATGCGAGAATTTAGACTATTGCTTTTTCGAAGTTTCAGAATCCAAGACCAATAAGGATATTACTTAGTATTTGAAAAACACAAATTATGGTACTTGCAGAAATAAAAAATGTTCAGATATGATTGCTAGCGAATGTTAAGGAACTGTGATTGGAGATACTACTTGTTATTTAAATACTAAATCACAGTGTTTACCTGCAAATAACTGCAGTGAACTAATTGCAACATCTCTTGATTGTTCTACTTATAAAATTAACAACTAAAGATGCAAAAATAAGACATCATTGACTGGTTGTGAGAATCTTAATTGCAATTATTTAGATTAAGCCAATTGTGAATAATTTATCAATGAGTGTGTTTTTGTTGGATATTGCAAAATCAGAAGCTGTGAATATATGGGAAAGACATAATGCTTATAGAGTAACTGTGATTGGGATGATTAATAAGAAAAATGTACATTGCAATTGGATTGTTCGTAGATCTCTACCAGTGACAATTGCATTCTTAAAAAATAGCAAGGAATTCAATGTGCTTGGATTGCAACTCTTAATAAAGTTGAAGAATGCACATCTACTGGGTGCAGATATTTAGGTATTTCTTAGGGAGATTGCATGGGTACACATATTGGAACAGACGTCTGTGTTTAAATGAATGATTTCTCTTGTGTTTCATGCGAAGAAATCAAAGATTCTTGTATCTGTTTAAATCAATCCTTGTTCTGCTCTTATGACAATCTTAACAAAAAGTGTAGATCAAAGAGTTGTCAACATCACAACCAAGATGACTGTCCAAGTACTCATTGCAGGTTCAATAATTCATCAAAGGTATTTTTATGACAATATTAATTTAGATTTGCTAACCATTATGCCAATACAACTATAACCAGTTATAATGCAATTAAGCTGATGAATGTGTTTGGGATTCAATCAATAAAATCTGCGCCTCCCATTTAAGTAATGTTGTTGCACCATAAATCAACTTACCAGCCCCAAATAATGCAAATATACTAATGCCCATCTTTCTAACAATTGTAATGAATTTATGATAATTCATTATATTTAGTATCAAAATTCTATTCTATTATTATAATCTTACATTTCAGTTATTTACACAATTTATAATACAAAAATTAAAATTTGCAATTCTACTTAAATTAGTTGCCATTAAGATAAAATATCAAATTAATAGTTTAATTCAAATAGGTTTAGATGAATTTTACGTAATAGAATTAAAATATATAACAAACCATTTTTCTAATATCTATTAAAATTTTGCCAAAATATTATTTTTTACTCCGTGATCATTTTTAATTAATGGATATAACTATTTTTTGAACTAAGGACAATATTTATAAACCTTATAAGTTTTATTATATTATCTAAAAAAATTAATTTAACTATTTTTAATGAGAAGTTTGCTTTTTAATAGTCTATTGATTAGCTTACTTTTGTTTATCAATACTTAAACAATAAATTCATCGATTACATGTAACATTTACCTTCAGTCTCCCCTCTTATGTATAAATAGCACAAGCCTAGTAAAATGTAACATTGTTCAAAAATTATAGGTAGGTATGACTTAGAAGAAAATATGTGTTTGGAAATAGATTAAAGAAATTTAGGCTGTTCATCTAACCTAAATAAGGAGGCATGCATTTATTAATTAACAGACGAAAAAGGACAGGATGTTAATTGTAGAAATCTATATATTTTAGGCATTTTTCTTGAGAGATGCCGATTAATAAACGATGTGCAACTTTAGACGTTAAGTTGTTCTGATAGAATTAACAAACTAGCTTGCATGAATTTACCCTAAAAAGTTTGTGTTTGGAACAATAGTTGTAAAAATTTAGACGATAATTCTAACTTAAATTAATGTTATGCATCCAATTTGCCTGTTACTCCTTATACTTGTTAACAATCTCAATCAGACTTATGTATACTAAGATTACTAAGTAGGCATGAGTAGTTGGAAGCATGGTAACTTTAGATGTTTAGAAGTACCAATTGACTAATTAAATACAATAACTTGCAATTAGATGGGATTGAATTAAAAAGCATGTATTGCTATTAAAACAATAGATTAAAAATGTAAGATTTAAAAATTATCTTAGGTATTTTTGAAAATAAACGCTGTAGTTCTATTGAGCCCTCTTAAATCACATCATGTGATCTTAAATTGAACATAAATGCCTGTCTTTCATCAAATCAAAATAATGAATTGCAATGCGAATGGTTTGAATCTTCTTGTAGAGTATTCTAAAGTAAAGAAGGTGATTGTCCCACTAGAGGCATAGTTAATTCTTCTGTTTGTTCAAACTCTAAAGGAGCCTGCATGTATAATGGAAAAGAGAAAATCTGTTAAAAAATTCAGAGAGATACATTACATTCTCTGAAATGCAATACAATTGGATTATCAAAGAAAGGTTGTCTTTTAGTAAAAAATAAAAATTGTTGTTTTTATGGAGGAAAATGTTAAGAACTTAATGAATAAGATCTTAAAAATTATTTATGTGAAATGGATTTGAATGAATAGGCATGTGTTAATTTAGAAACTGAATTTCAATATTGTTAATGGAATGGAAATAATTGTGAAAGAATATTTATGAATTAAGATATTGATTGTCCTTTAAAATTTAATAACGATTTAATGAAAGTTAATGGAAATGTTTGTTAAGCTATATCTAAATCAAATGTTTTATGTAAATATGATAAAAACACAAATTTATGTGTTGCAAGTACAAATTATGATGAATGTGAGACTCCATTTCTTAATTTTCTTGGTTGTATTAGTATTTAAAAACATCATTAAACATGTTAATGGTATCAAAATAAATGTAGATTCATCATAATTCAATAAAATAGCACTTTATGTGAAACTTTAAAATCTGTTAATGCATAATCTTGTTCTTAAGTTTATGAAAGTAATTCTATTGGTTGCTATTATGATCAAAATTCATATCAATGTAAATCAGTTTCAATTGATTCAAATTAATAGATTTTAAATATAATTCAGGAATTATATACAATTTCATGTAAAGACTTATCATTAGGAATTAATAAAGTATTATGCGCCTCTCTTACTACTCCATCCACTCCCTGTAGATGGCATTAAGATTAATGTTCATATATAAAACAAAGAAAAGATATCGCAAATGTTCTCTGCATGGACTTATAACATGCTAACTATTAAGCTTGTGCTTTAGCATAGTATAATAATGAACCTTGTATATATTCTTATGAATAAAAAGGATGCAGTAATAATCTTAAAAAGGAAACTGATTGTAAAACAGATGGATTGAATGCTATTGGCTGCGAATAAATAAAGAAAAATTGTTATTTCGATAAAGTCTCTTGCATTGTAAAATAAGAAATAGATTTTATACCAGTTGTTGCAAATCTCAATGATTATTAAATTATAAGACCTAATTACTATGACTCTGAAGAATGCAAATCAATCTATCTAACAAAACTTGCTTGCTCTTCAATAACAAAGAAAGGATAAACGTGCATTTGGTCATTTAAGTTAAATACTTGCACTGAAACATCAATTACATACAATGAGAAATGTTTCGCTTATTCTGGTGCATCCGTCATAATAAATCCTAATGTCTGTGCATCAATTTTATCCGATGTTTCAACATTTTGTACCTTTGATGGAAAAACAAAAAATTGTAAAATTCCACTCAAAATTGATTGTAACACAAAATGTTGTACTGAATATAATTTGATTGGAATAAATGCACATTTATGTAGTAGATTTTCAGACTAAACCAAAGGGGTTTATTGTTATTTTCGTGATTAAAGATGCTAAGAACTAAAAGTTGAAACTGTTGATATATCTGATTAATATAAAGTTAAAAAATACTATAATGATTTGAAGTTACCTTGTTCATCTATGAATAGAAATTCTTGCCATATGATTGAGTGGTCGACTAATTAACTGTGTTATCATAATGGAGAAGTTTGTAATAATCTCAATTTTTAATTATATTCTAATTTGACAATTTTTACTTAAGAACCTTCATAATTGAATAAATTTGCTTGCTTAGCCATCGAAGCTACAGAATCAGCATTGAATAAATTGAAATATTTTACTTATAATTCTACTAATTTAAGATGTCAAGAATTTCAAGTTAATTCTGAATATAATATTTCTAAATGTGAAGATGCAAATGGAAATAAGAACATATGTACAAGATACACTAAAAATAATTGGTGTAAATGGGATCCAGATGCCCTATAATGTAAAACTATAAAAGATGATGTGTTTGATGAATTTTACGATTGTAATTCGAATGTAAACCTTAAGGCTTGTGTAGAAAACAAAATTTCGAATTGTTTTTTTACCTACTAAAATGATACATGTTTAGAATATACATAAGATGTGAATCCTATTTTATTAAATTATGATTGGTAAGGTAGTTTTTAAGTATGTAAGTGTATTAATGCTGTTGGTTAAAAGTGGCGTTATTCTGAAGAAAAGAAAAATTGTATAAAATCAGATGAAACTTTTGAAGATTATAATTGCGATATTTCAAAATTTAGTGGCAATAATAGATATTGCTATGATAACACGATTGGTTAATGTAGATGGGATTCAGCTAATTTAATTTGCTATTAAAATGGTACTGAAATTTCAGAATTAAATTGCGATGACTATCTAAATAAAGTTCTATGTCTAAAGGTAACAAAAGAAGGATGTATGTGGAATGATAAGGAATATTAATGTTAAATATTTCAATACGATCCAAATGCATTAAAAGATTCATACAAATTAATTAATGAAAAAGCATGCTTATCAATTTAAGATGCTGCGTATTATTATAAAAGAGAAAATAATGAATGCTAAAAATTTAAAGATTACTAAAGTAGGAGTGGATGTACTAACTATTAAATGAATAAATATGCGTGCTTAGTTTATACGCAAGGGTACTTGTGTTTTTATGATTAAAATGAGTCGATCCCTAATAATTTCTGTAAATACTTTAATGATTAATAATTCGCTTGTGCCCCGAAATTTGGAAACTATATCAATATTGAAGTATGTAGGAATTTACCTGTTTCTTGTTACTTTAATGCAATTACTCTTGAATGTAAAGAATTAGAAACATCATAATAATAATATAATTTATCGGATTTTCAAAAAGAAAAATAGTATCCTAATAAAATTGCTTTTGCATCTTATATTTATAAATAAACCGATCCGATCGATTATAATTTGACTTATTAATTCGGTGGACTATGTCAACTTGAAAACAACTGCTATTTTGTAGGCAATAATTCGTGGACTTATGAATTTAGCTCTGACTACTAAGAATAAAAAAAGAATCCATATATACAGATTTCAATAGAATGGATTTAGATTAATATGTTTTGTAAGAAATAGATTATTAAATTTTAATTAGAATAATAATTTATTACATACGAATAAAACTAATAAAAATTTTGCATAAAAAATACTACATACATCTCTGAAGAAATGTTTTGCTATAATTCGTCAGATACTATTACTGAAGTATATGAGGAATTAGATGATGATGCCGATAGTACTTATGTTTCTATATATACTTCTCAATTAAATAATACTTAAGTAACTTATAATTTAACTTCTCGGATTTAAAAGAAGACAACTGCAGAGAGAAATTAAAATCTTTCTTTTTCGAAAGAACTTTGTTTAAATTTCAAAAAAGAAGAATATTTTTTTGATTTAAAACAAGGAGGTTGCATTTAATTAAAAAATAATGAACATAATAGTCCTTAATTAAATGAAGAAGATTGCTCAAATTAATATTCTTTATGTTATGAAGTTACAGAGTTTGTAGAATATAATAAAGAAAAGGTTTGTGGTTATGTTGATCAAGCATGCAAATTTAAAGATAATAAATGTGAGGATGCAACTCATTCTACTTGCACTGAATTAATAGACCTTATTGTGTCTTAATAAGCTTGCATAAGATGTAAAGATTAACCAATGAAATATAACACAACTAAATAAAAATGTGAACCTATATATAAGACTATTAATCAATGTGAAAATTCTAAATAAAGAAGCTTGTTTATCATAATCAAAAGGTATAAAATGTAAATGGAAATGGAATAAAACTTCAAAATGTAAGGGAAAAAAATTTGAATTTGAGTGTTAAAACATAGAAGATAAAGATTTAGATTTATTAGATTGTGCTATTTTAAATGAAGATGCTTGTAAGGAAAAATAATATAATTTATGTTGGTTCAATTAGGAAACTAAATTATGTATGAAATATAATCCATTTAAAGGAGAATGTCAATCATTTAAGAATAAGTAAACTTGCATATAATCTATGGTTGAATCATGTATATGGACAAGTGATACTTGTTAAATTGCATCAGAACAATAACAATGTGATGGTCTTAATAAATTTGGATGTTTAAATTGCTAAAGTCAATCTTGTGTGTGGTTTGATAACAGTCATAAATGTGTATAAGCTATATTCTTTGATCAACCTAAAAATTGTACTGATTTATAATAATCTGGTATTTCACATGTGAATGCTTTAACTTGTACATCCATGAAAACTCAAAAACCTTGTATTCTAAGTAAAAATTACAAATGCAGAGAAATTATTGAACCTATACTATATCAATGTGAAACTGTTGGATTAAATAAATACGCTTGTATTTTAAATACTAAAAATAAATGTGCTTTCTTAAATAACAAGTGCATCACCATTCATACCCAAAAAGAAGGGTGCAAAAATAATCTAAATCAAAATGCTTGCTTGAATTAAGAAGAATAATGTATATTTTAAGGAGGAAAATGCGAAAGTCCAAATTTTATGCCTATTAATTAATTGCTTTAGGAACAATATGCAACTTACTCTAGCAGTTTTTGTAAGTAGATCGACAGTGACGCATATGTATATAGCGACATTTAAAAAAAGTGCGTTAAGGCTGAAAACTTAGATACGAATTTAACAGATTGCTCATTTCCCGGTATTAATAAATAGGCTTGTTTAAATTAAATAAAATCATTTTGTGAGTACAAAAACAATTAGTGTTAGAAAATTGATAAGATATAAATAGACTCATGCTCTAAACAAAAATTAAATAAGTTTGCTTGCACTTAAGTTGATCGTATATCATGTAAGTTTGAAAACAATGAATGTCTTGAAGTTAAAAAAGATGAATAATTTGATTGTAAATCATTGTAACTCAATGTGAATGAAAAAATATGTTCTTATTTGACAGAATCATGCTTTTATGATAATAAAAATAGAGTTTGCGTTAAAGCTGACCCTGATGAATAAGAAAAATGCGAAGGGTTAAATTTTGAGGCTTGCATAAATGATTCAAATAAATTGTTATGTGAATTTAATAAAAGTGAAAATAAGTGTGAGAGTTCTTATGGATACTCCTTTTGTGACGATTAAGTTAACAAAAATAAGTGTTTAGCAATTACAACAAAAGGATAATTTTGTAGATTCGAAAAAAAAAAATGCTAGAAAATTGATATTACAGGTATTAAGTGTGAGACACAATTCTAAACTAACCCAATTACATGTTCTAAAATAGAAGATAAAGAGGCATGCTTTTATGATAAATTTGAAAAAATGTGCAAAATTTATAAATAGTATTGTGATAATGTTACCTGCTTTTCTCATTAACGGTTCTACTAAAATTATTAACTGTCCAATATTGATTCCTTTAACAAAAACACTTGTGTATAATTTTAAGAGGCAATTTCTTATAATCCTAAAGATTTATAAATAACAAAATTGCCAGTCCGTCTTTTATGGAACGACGGCTGCGCTGAGGTAAAAAACATTCAATTATTGTATTTAAGATGCGATGACTATGTAAATATATATACTTGTGTCAGTATTTTAACTCCAAAATAGTACTGTTACTTTAAAGATAATAAATGTTTAAATGCTAAATTGACTGATTTCGAAGACAAATAATGTGATGAAATAATAAATATTAACTCAGGTGTCTTTTGTGCTTAATAATCGGGAAATCCTTGTCGATTCAATTAATTATTGCATAAGTGTGAATCTTTTATGGATAATAAGATTGCATGTGTGGAGGAAAATCCAGAGAAAAAAGGATATAATGAAGCGGCTTGTTAATTGGATTCTGAAAATTGCATTTTTAGTGATTAATGTTATAAAGTTAAAAAAGATCAACTATAATTTTGTCAAAATGCTTTAGATTAAGAACAATGTTCAAGAGTTTTGATTGAGGGATGTAAATCTACAGATAATATTTGCTTGAAGATCTAAGATTCAGAGTATAATGAACTTAAATGCGAAGATGTTGTAAATCGAATAGGATGTGTGAATATTTAAACTTAAGATCAATACTGCTAATTTAAAGAATCAAAATGTGTTTCGTATACAATACAGAAGAGTAGCTATATGTACTTTTAATCAAGTATATCTTCTAAGATAAGCGCACAGTGTGAAATGTTTTAAAATGTTAATCACTACAGATTTTGTGAATTAACAACAGATTTAGGATGCATGTATGATTTTCAATTGAATTCATGCAAAGTTGTACCTGAAAATTAATATTTAATTTGTTAAAGAGGTATTAATAAAATAGCATGCTTGCAATAAACAGATAACAATCTTAAATGCTAATTTCTTGATTATTGTTAGGACTCAGATTCTGGAATCTAGAATTGTTAATTTTCTGATAAAAACTTATGTTGTAAGTTAGCAGCCACAAAAGAAAATTGTCTAATTTAAAATATTTATTAATGTTAGTGGTAAAACAATGAATGCTAAAGTTATTAAGAGAACGAAAATAAAGAATGCGATAGAATCAAATTTTCTAGTTTATCGGTTTGTATTTCCGTTGAGGATAAGTTCTGCAAATTCGATAAGGATAGCGATTCATGCATTTCTTTTAATCCAAATTCATGCGATGAATTGTAATCATTAAGCTAATGTAAAAGAATGAGTACTTTACCTTGTATTTGGCCTGATGATAAATAAGATAAAAAATAATGTATATAAATGGTTGATTAATAAACAAGCGGTTCATTATAGTTAAGTTGTTAAGATGTAAAAGTATAATCTGGAAATTTAAAAGCCTGTATGAATGTTAAATTGCAAGGATAAATGTGCATTTTTAAAGATCACTAATGTGAAACTTTTTAATAAACTAACGAAAATAATTGCTTAGATAATATTAATATTAATTCATGTTTACAATAAACTAAAAGTGATTGTTATTGGAACCTAAAAGTAAATTTTGGTGAATAATGCTAAGCCTTTCAGGATTTTGATAAAAATGATTGTTCTAAAAATCTTAGTTATACATCTTGTTTGAAAATATCAAAAGAAGGTGTATTTTGCATTTGGAAAAATTAACAATGCTAAGAAATTAATGATGATCAGCTAATTGTTTATAAGCCTTCATCTTTTACATAGATCAATGTTAATGTGTGTGGTTTGATAAATAATGGAGACAAAGTATAATATGATAAAAATATATATCAATGTGTTAAAGTTCAAGATATTCGAAAATTATCATGCTCAACAGAGGGATTAAATAAAGAAGCATGTTTAAATATTGAAAAATAAGAATGTCTTTGGGATGTAGCAAATAGAAAATGTATAAAGTATATATTCAATCCATAATTAAAAACATGTAAAATATTAAATGTATCTTCACAATCGTGTACATAAATAAACGTTTAGGAGGCATGCGGATTTGTAAAAAATCGATGTGATAAAGTTGATTTAAAATAAGTTAAATGTAATTCTGATGGATTAAATAAATATGCTTGCCTTAATGTAGAAGAATATCCTTGTATTTGGATAAAAAATAGTAATGATGTAAAATATCATTGTGAAGATTTTATTCCATCTACTCCATGTGAATAAGTACCAAAGGATGTCAATTCTAAGGTTTGTACTCTCGTTCAAGAAGATTCATGTTATTATAATAAAGATAAATCAAAATGTGAAGTACCAAATCAGAATCATACTGATTGTGAATTGGTAGGATTAAACAGTATTGGATGTGTATAAATTGAAAATTGCTTTTTTAAATAAAAATGTTAATTATTCTAAAAAAACAGCTACGCAAGTTACAAATGTGATGATTTTCCAGTAGCTAATAAATTAATTTGTAAAAATGCCGCTGATTCTTGTAAATATAATGAAATTCAGTATGGATGCTCATCAGCTAATAATGAACTCTGTTCAAACGATTCTTTAAGTATAGAAGCATGCAAACATTAACAACAATGTGTACATAAAGATTAAAGTTGCCAATGCAAATACGGTACTCAGCCTGGCTAAGAGATAAAAGAAAATGCAGATTGTGAATAATTTAAATGTGAAAATTTAGAGGAAAAACTTTGTTTAAACAATGGAGAATGTTGTAAATTTGAAAAGGTTTGCAAAAAAAAATAATGTTATGATTTAACCTAATAATAATGTATTAAGAATGACTGTGATTGGAATAATATAAAGGAGAGTTGTATAGATATAATAGAATGCGAATAATTTTAGGATTAAGATCTATGCAATCGATAATAGTTTTAAAAAAGGTAATGCTAATGGGTTGAAATGAAGGGGAAGCAAATTTGTGTATAAAACAAATGTCACAATTTAGAAAAAAACTAAATTTGTACTGGATCTAGAGTTGCTCAATAAACTTGTGTAGAAATGAGGTAAGGAATTTGTGCTTCATGTGAAGAAATTTCTGACTCATGCGAATGTTTGAGATAGTCAGATTATTGTTAATACGATAATAGGAAATGTACATCTAAAAAATGTAATTAATATTCCAAAGAGCTTTAATGTCCCTTTGAATTTTGTATATTTTAAGAGGTAAAAATGATAATTATATAGAAATGTTAAACTAAATGTGAAATTATTACAGATAAATTTAATTGTAAATAGGAAGAGAACTGTGAATGGATAGAATCAATATATAGATGTAATATGAAATGCATAATAATAAAAAAATCAGAAATATGTGATTAAATTTATTACTGTTAGTGGGACGATGTTGGAAAGTAATGCTTATAAGACTTTAAGAACGAACAAGTAACCATTAGCATTTTTATTGGAACAAAGATGATATTTCCAATCTTTGCCTTAATAAGTTTTATTTTAATATGAGATTAAAATAAATTAAATATTTAGAAATAATAAATTTCTCCATCTAATTATAATTTATATATAAATTAAATATCTGATATTTTAATATCAAAAATTAATGGTATTTGAAATTTTAGCAATTCGAATCAAAAATTTGAAGGGCCAATGATTAATATTGCAATTAATAGAATAAATTCATCTTTTAAAAATCTTATTGTTATGTAGGTTGAATGTAAATTACAGTTTATTATTAGAAGTTTGAAAATTTGTAACCTGATCAAATTGTGAATACTATTTAATTGATCAATTTTAAGATTATTCGGCGAATGGAATTCTTACATATATATAACTAAGTATTAAATTTTAAAATTATTTCTGAATTTTATTATTAATTTATATAACTTAATTATAAATGAATTTTATCATTCTGATAATCTATTTGATTTAACCTATTATATCCGAACTTTTGAGGAATAGAGAATGTCAAGAATAATTTCTAAGCCTAAAGTTTTGTATAGAATCAACCAAACATTCTCCATGTAAAAAATTAGGATGTATTAGGCATTTTTTATGAATAGTAGAAATTTTGTCATCCAATTTAAGATACTAATAAAGGATGCAGCAATAATTTAAACGAAAGAGCTTGTATAAATTAAGTGAGTGATTAACATGGAAAAGAGTGTTAATGTATAGATTTAACTTAATTTAGGTGTTTTTAATTTGAGATGCTAAAATGCTTCAATAATATAGCTGTCTAATTTAGGCTGCTCTGATAAATTTAGTAAGCATGCGTGCATGAATGTCAGAAATCATAGATGCTAATGGGACTTATCTTGCCAGTATGTTTCAAATGAACAAATAGAATTTATGTCATGTGATTAGTAATATAAAATGCCTGTGTCCCCTTTGGTTTGTTCATCCATACCAAAATTAGAATGTAATGATAATTAATCATTTAAGGTATGAACTCTGGTCCCTTAGGAGATTATAAATGTGTTTCAATCTATGAGAAGGATTATTCATAGTTAAAATGCACTGAGTTAGGATTGACTGAGCTAGCTTGTAGAAAGATAGTTGCGTTTGAAGAAAAATGTATTCTTATAATTAAATTAGGTATTTTTTAAAATAATGTTTGCCGAAAAATTTAAGATAATGAAATTGTAAATTGCAATTAAAAGATCAATAAATTAGCATGCCTCTCAATAGATAATCCCAACCTTAGTTGTTATTGGATGAATCTATAATGCTTAGAATTTAAATTATCAGATGAAAATTAAGAAATCCCGTCTAACATCAGTGTAAGTTCTAATGTGTGTTCTATGCTTAAAGATCCTTATAAATTTGATGCCAAAAAGTATTAATGCGTACCTATCCCTTCGGAGAATTTTCAAATTTTGGACTGTAATACAATTGGATTATCAAAGAAAGGTTGTCTTTTAGTAAAAAATAAAAATTGTTGTTTTTATGGAGGAAAATGTTAAGAACTTAATGAATAAGATCTTAAAAATTATTTATGTGAAATGGATTTGAATGAATAGGCATGTGTTAATTTAGAGACTGAATTTCAATATTGTTAATGGAATGGAAATAATTGTGAAAGAATATTTATGAATTAAGATATTGATTGTCCTTTAAAATTTAATAACGATTTAATGAAAGTTAATGGAAATGTTTGTTAAGCTATATCTAAATCAAATGTTTTATGTAAATATGATAAAAACACAAATTTATGTGTTGCAAGTACAAATTATGATGAATGTGAGACTCCATTTCTTAATTTTCTTGGTTGTATTAGTATTTAAAAACATCATTAAACATGTTAATGGTATCAAAATAAATGTAGAATCATCACAATTCAATAAAATAGCACTTTATGTGAAACTTTAAAATTTGTTAATGCATAATCTTGTTCTTAAGTTTATGAAAGTAATTCTATTGGTTGCTATTATGATCAAAATTCATATCAATGTAAATCTGTTTCAATTGATTCAAATTAATAGATTTTAAATAAAATTCAGGAATTATATACAATTTCATGTAAAGACTTATCATTAGGAATTAATAAAGTATTATGCGCCTCTCTTACTACTCCATCCACTCCCTGTAGGTGGTATTAAGAATAATGTACTTTTGCTAAATAATAATCCTTAAAAAACATCCTTTGTTAAAATCATATTAATGCAAATTACTAAGCATGTGCATAAATTGAATTTAATAAAACAAAATGTTCCTATTCTTACTATGACAAACAGTGCTTTACGTTAAAACCAGGTGATATAAAGGGTTGTAATAATAATGGATTAAATAAATATGCGTGCTCATCTATAGATGAATTTTGTTACTATAAAGACTTTACTTGTAAATATGCTTAAGGAAATTTGAATAATATTTTCTGTCAATCAAGCTATCCGACAAAAAAAGCTTGTCTGGCTATAACGACGGAAGGTTAATTTTGTTAGTGGTCTGATAAAATCAATGAATGTATAGATTTTGTTATAGAAGAAAATCATTAATGTGAAATATAAAACGTCAACCACTTAGTCTGTGCTAAAGTTATTAATTATGCACAATAACAGGTAGAAGATAAAGATTTTAAGGGTTATTGCAAATATAACGAAAATAAAAACTCCTGTGAAGCTTTGGGTGAATATCAATGTACAACGAATTGTTGTACAGAGGCTGTTGGAATAAACGCTCATGCTTGCATTAAATTGTCTAATAAATCCTATATTTGTTACTTTTATAATCTAAGATGCCAAGAATTAACTAAAGATGTAGTTGATATCAATGATCTTAAATAAGTCAAATTATATTTTAATGCATTGAAATTACCATGCTCATCTATAATGAAAAAGTATTGTCATATGATTGATTGGTCTGAAACCCAAAGATGCTTTAGTTATGGAGAAATCTGTATCCATTTTAACACAAACTACTATCCTAATATCAAAAAATTGATTATTTAAAAATAACCAGTATTTAATAAATTTGCTTGTCTATCAGTGGAGGGAGGATCTGAGAAGAAGGATGAGAAGGATGAGAATGATGAGTTTAAATATTTAACTTATAATGAGGAAAAGAAAATTTGCTAACCGACTAGAGCTAAATATCAGAGATGTGAAGAGGTGAATGGAAACAGGAATGTTTGTATGAGCCATACTGAAAATTTATATTGTCGATGGAATGCTAGTAAATTAAAGTGTGTTACAATTACTGAAGAAGAACTCGATTAAATAAATAGTTGTGAGCTCGATTAAAATAAGAATGCATGTTTTAAAAATAAACATAAAATTTGTTCTTTTGATATTAACACAGACAAGTGTTTAAATTTTAAACCTGATGAAAAAAATGATGAATAAAAAAATGTATAATCTGTATGTGTATAATTAGAGGGTAAACCTTATTAATTTTCTTAATCAAATGAATGTTCGGATAAAGACATACAAAAATTTTCAGGTTGTGTTGAAACTAATATCAATAGCTTAGCATGTTATAAGTATTCTTAAGGATATTGTCGATGGAATTCAGAATTTTTCTCTTGTTATGAAAATGAAGATGATTTTGACACATTAGGTTGTTCTGATAATTTGAACTGGGCTCTTTGTTTAGAAGTCACAAAAGAAAAATGTATTTGGAATGAAGCTATATCTTAGTGTTAATCTTTTGAAAAAATGACAAATAATGATTGCGAAAATAAATTAAATGAAAATGCATGTTTATCTATGAATGAATGCGGTTATAATTAAAAAGATAAAACATGTTAGAAGCTTGAATAAAATATGAATTGCTCAGATATTAAGATGAATAAAAGTGGTTGTCTATTAAATACTAGAGGACATAAATGCCATTATACTGATGGAAATTGTCAGTAGTTTTAATCAGATTAAACGATTTGTGATTCTTAAATAGATATCAATATTGAAGTCTGTATGGACATACCTAAACCTTGTTATTTTAATATTGAGTCATTAAAATGCGAAAATGTTGAAATTGAAATAAAAACGACATGCGAATCTTTATTTGATTCATTTCCATAATATAAAAATAATAATATTGCTGATTAAGAATCCAAAGAAGGAAGATATTATAACAAAATGGCTTGTTCATCTATCAGCATGGATTTAGAATTAGGTTATGGAAAAGAATAATGTGTAGAAGATTCTACTGAAAAGTAATAATGTAACTATTAGAAATATTGTTTTTGGAATTCCGCAGTTTATACATGTAATGTGTATGAATTGCTAAAATCTGAATATGATAAATAATATCATATAGGTACGACTGAATATTTGTGGGAATCTAAATATAATAATGGTAGTAATAGTACTCTAGAAGATTTTGAAAAATTAGAAATAGATAAGGAATGTTCTCAACAAATTTACCTAGATGGAAATTATACACAATAGATTAACATTTCAATTTGCGAAAATGTAAAGAAAAAATGTCAAGATAACTCAGATTGCGTATCACTCATTACTTATCAAAAACCCACAAGCATAGAAGAAGCATAATATTAAAAAAAGAAATCAGACTAAAATACAAATGCTAACAGTAATTGTTAAAAGTATTGCTAGCCTGTTCAAAGTTGTTCAAATTCCACTTTAGAAACTTCTCTCAAATTCACAAACAATTTAGAAAAGGTATGCAAGTTTTTTACATTCTACGTTTCTCATCCTCTATGTTCTAATTTTAAAAATATTTATAAGATTACAGAATGTGACAATATATATTCTAAAGCTCTTTGTTTATAATATATTGAAGCAGACTGCTATTTTGATATCAACTAAGGAGGATGCAGATAATTAACAGGAAACGAACATAAATTGCCAGGTTGTTCTGCCATTTCAAAAAAATGTGATACAAGCTATTCCAAAAATGCCATATGTAAAGTTAAAGAAATATCACAAAATTGCTAAAGTATTGAGATTGAAACAACACAGTGCTAAAAGATTGTCAATTTGAAATAAATTACATTTGGCTAAAAATGTTCTGAAATTTTGCCTGGTTAGCCGATTTTATGTGCAAAAGCTAAGGATGTGTGTCGATTTGATGGGACAAAATGTTATAGTAATACTAATCAAGATCCTTGCAAATGTGATAAAAGTTATAGCAAAGAATTATGTGAATACTGCAATTGTGATTATATGTTTTTAGGTTATTGCTAAGAAAAAGTAAAAGAAAATGATAAAGAAAAAAACCTAAGTCCTTAATTAAATGAGGATTGCTCAAATTAATATTCTTTATGTTATGAAGTTACAGAGTTTGTAGAATATAATAAAAAAAAGGTTTGTGGTTATGTTGATCAAGCATGCAAATTTAAAGATAATAAATGTGAGGATGCAACTCATTCTACTTGCACTGAATTAATAGACCTTATTGTGTCTTAATAAGCTTGCATAAGATGTAAAGATTAACCAATGAAATATAGCACAACTAAATAAAAATGTGAACCTATATATCAGACTATTAATCAATGTGAAAATCTAAATAAAGAAGCTTGTTTATCATAATCAAAAGGTATAAAATGTAAATGGAAATGGAATAAAACTTCAAAATGTAAGGGAAAAAAATTTGAATTTGAGTGTTAAAACATAGAAGATAAAGATTTAGATTTATTAGATTGTGCTATTTTAAATGAAGATGCTTGTAAGGAAAAATAATATAATTTATGTTGGTTCAATTAGGAAACTAAATTATGTATGAAATATAATCCATTTAAAGGAGAATGTCAATCATTTAAGAATAAGTAAACTTGCATATAATCTATGGTTGAATCATGTATATGGACAAATGATACTTGTTAAATTGCATCAGAACAATAACAATGTGATGGTCTTAATAAATTTGGATGTTTAAATTGCTAAAGTAAACCTTGTGTGTGGTCTGATAAAAGTAATAAATGTGAATTAGCTATAATCATTGATCCATCTCAAAATTGTACTGATTTATAATAATCTGATATTTCACATGTGAATGCTTTAACTTGTAGATCCATGAAAACTAAAAAACCTTGTATTCTAAGTAAAAATTACAAATGCAGAGAAATTATTGAACCTATACTATATCAATGTGAAACTGTTGGATTAAATAAATACGCTTGTATTTTAAATACTAAAAATAAATGTGCTTTCTTAAATAAAGAGTGCATCACCATTCATACCCAAAAAGAAGGGTGCAAAGATTATCTAAATCAAAATGCTTGCTTGAATTAAGAAGAATAATGTCGATTTGAACATATTTGCATGGAATTTAAGTATAAAAATTATGATTAGTTATATTAAAGTGGCGTTAAGAATTATTCTCGCAACATTTGTAAGTAATTTGATAAGGATTTAAGTTTTAATAAAAGTTTAATATATTCTGATATTGAAGGAAGGTTTATTGAAATCCCATAATCAAATGCTTTTATTTCTAAATGTGGAACTAATGGTATCAATAAATAGGCTTGTTTATCAAATACTTAAGATTTATGCTAATACGTAGATTTTGAATGTAAAATCTTTAGAAATCAAAATTAGTAAGAATGCCTCTCTAGTTTAAATTGGGTAGCTTGTATTAATTTGGATCAAAAATGCAAGTTTGTGTAATTTAAGTGCTAACCTTTATCAGAGGAATCCTGTGAGAGTTTAAAAATAGAAAAAGCTATCATAAATTATAAGGTTTGCGCAAACACTATTGACAAGCCTTGCAAATATGATAGTAATACATTATCTTGCACAGATGAAATTGATCAAGATGAACCCTGTTCAGCCTTGGGTTTAAATTAAAAAGGTTGTGTTTTTAAGACAAAATCTTCAAAATGTAAGTTTTAAGATAATGAATGTAAAAGTGATTATGAAACAGCTTAAACAGCATTATGCACAGACAAGATTAATGAAAGGAAATGTTTAAGCATATAAAACTAGAATTGTAAATTTTTCTAAGAGGATGGATGCTAAAACATTTGCTAAATTGGTACTTGTTTAGAGCAACCTTGTTATTATGATGAAGAAGGTAAAATTTGCAAATAGTTATAATTAAATGATGATCATTTTAATGGGCCTAATTTACATTTGTTAAACTAATAGGCTTGTTTGATTATTGAAAATTCAAACACATTTTGGGATGATCAATGTATTTTGGCAACAGAAGAAATGCTTAAAACATTAGAATGCCATAAAAAACTTAATAAGTTGGCCTGTCGAAATGTGAAGACTAAATCTCAGTATTGTTAATTTTTGGATGGACGTTGTAAAGCCTATGATACAGAATCTAACTAGAAATGCGAAAATATTAGACATATCAACAATGGAATTATTTGTTCTCTAATTAAAAATCAAGATTGCAAATATGATTCGTCTTAATCTAATTGTGTAATAGTTGAGTAAGAAGAATCAAAAAAATTGAACTGTGAGGAGAAGGCATAATAGTTTTATAGTTAAAAAGCATGCGAATAAGATAAAAATTGTAGATTTATTGAAAAATGTATATAAAAAAAGGAGGTATAAGATCAAAATAAAGAACAATGTACGAGAGTGACAAATATGCCATCTTTTTGGAATGGAGGTGAATGTAAATAAAAAGAAAAAAAATTATCAGATTCTTGTTAAGATATTTCTGCAATGTCTGGTAATTTAAATGCCTGTATTCAAGTTGAGAAATTTGGAGAAATGTGTGTTTTTAAAGATGATAAATGCTAAGCATTTCATGAAAATGAGGGAAATCACACCAATTGTCCTAATAATATTAATAAAAATGCATGTTTGTAGTAAACAAAGTTTGAATGTTTTTGGAAGTCTGTACAAGATAATGTTTTAGAACATTGTGAAATATTTGTCAAACAAAATGAAAGCGATTGTGAAAATAATTTGAGTCTTAAAGCTTGTTTAAGAATAACAACGGAAGGAACATATTGTTAATGGAAGCATGGAGAATGTTAGAAAGTTTAAGTTAATGAATTAGATACAGAATTATTATTAAAAAGGTATGTTAATAGCAACACTTGCCGTTTGTTAAAAAATGTGGCTGTTATTTATGATTAAAACTTATACTATTGTGTCTAGATTAAAAAGACAGATTATCTGTCATGCAGTCCTCCAAACCCTGGAATGAATTATTTAGCATGTCTCTCAGTAAAACGAAAAGATTAATTTTGTACTTGGAATTATGAAAAGAAAGTTTGTTAGAATAATTAAGAAGCAAACCTTGAAAATTATGAGCGTAATTGTTAAATATAAGGCACCAATCCTATAAACTGTTCTTAAAGGGAAGTGAAAGGCCCTTGCGGTGGTATAGAAGAAGGTTGCGATTAGGTTGATTTAAACAAAGTAAAATGTAATCACATAGGATTAAATCAAGAAGCATGCGTTAATTTAAAGAGTTAACCGTGTACTTGGGTAAAAGGTATGAATGATGATTTCGATCATTGTGAAGAAACAATACCAGGAAAATGTGAAGGAAATGATTTGATTGTAAATGCCTTGGTATGTAGTATGGTTGTCGAATATGAGGCTTGTTTTTATGATTCTGAAAATCATACCTGTAAAAGGCTTGATAATGATATAACAGATTGTAATGTTCAAGGTATCAACTCATATGGATGTATGCAAATCAAAAACTGCTATTTTGAAAATTATACTTGCAAATTGTTTGATTAGAACAGCAATATGTCATGCAGAGATGCTAACTTTGCTAATGAATCAGTTTGTTCATAAATTAAAGTTGGGACATGCAAATATAACTAATTAGGATTTGGATGCATAGAATCATCATTTGATGATTTTTGTTCTACTCCAGGAATAAACATGAATGGATGCAATTAAATGGATTAATGTTAATGGAAGGATGAAATATGTTAATGCAAAAAGCTAATTATGTAGTAAAAGGATTGTCTCGATAATTAAGATCAAGAGAATTGCAATTATTCGAGTAAATGTTCTTTTGATATATCTATATCTGAAGATAGCAAAAGAGTTTGTAAAAAAATAAATGATGGTTTCCAGAATGTTTGTAATCAATTAGAAAGTGGAAAAGCTTGTTATTAAAATATTGCAGGAGAATGTAATGAAGCTGATTCATGCAATGATATACAAAATCCATAATGTGATTGTTCTGAATACAGTTTTGATAACATGGCATGTATAAACGGGGATAATGATAGGTGTGCTCAATTTGAAAGTTGTGAGAAGCTGAACTAAATAGAATGTGGCAAATATACTAGCAATTGTGTTTTATTGTTGTCATGTGTAACAAAACAATGTCATCATAATAAGGATAAATAAAGTTGTATCAACTTTAATTGTACTTGGATCGATTACTATTGTAGGGAATAAATATCATGTTCTGAAATTAAAACAGAATATTATTGTAATATTAATTATTAGAATGGGATGCAGTGTTCATGGCATAGTATTACTGAGAATCATATAACCAATTAATTTTGTACATTTGAAGGATGCAATTCTCTTTAAAAGAATGTATTTTGTCATGGTGTTTAAGTACTATAAAGTGTTTGTCTCTAAGTTCACTCGAATCTTTGTCTAACTTGCCAATAAATTTTAGATGCTTGTGAATGTATGAATTATGCAGATTATTGTGAATATGATGTGAAAAAGTAATTATGTAAATCTTTGTCATGTGAGAGTTACAATTAGTTATCTTGTCCCAAAACTCGTTGTTAATTCAATTAATAAATCAAAGTAAATCATATCTATTATTTATAGATTTGCATTCCATAATGCTAATTCAATTATAATAAAAAGTAATGTCAACAGTTCGATATATGTACTTGGGATGATTTATTTACACCACCCTGTTATAAAGTTGAAATCATTGAAGAAATTCCTCAATCTGTTTTTTTGACGAATAGTTAAAAGATATATTCATTGCTGATATTTATAGCTATGCTTCTTTGATTAGATGTAATGATTATTATTTCAATTATTTATATTTTTTAATATGATTACAAATACCAACAATTTAATTATCCAATTGTCAAGAAAACCTGAGACATATAATTATATATTTAGAATAAATAATTAATAATTAATGTTAAAGTTATTCTAGGATAATGTTATATTTTAAATGTCATACTGATTACTCAATTAATGATACTTTTTCTATAGGACTATTATAAATTATTAAATTATAAACTTACTCTATGCATTTGTTTTCAGTTGAGGGTAAATGATGGAATAAGGTTAAAACAATCTCTTGATATAGGAATGGACTTAAAAACTATTCGGTTGTGATGGGTAAGTATTTATATATATTATTCAAGTATAAAGATTACACACAAAATCATTTAATCTCAGGACTGTGATTAATACTCCTCTTTTTATATATCCTAGGACTCTTATTACATCATAATCGCTAAATTAGAAAATTCATTTTGATATTGCGTTTTTATTATATTTTCTATTACTGGGTTCCTTAATGCTTCAAAAAACGCTGCCTTCAATTTTGAATTATCAAATTATAATAATTAAACCTAAAACATTCTCTTTATTTTTACCTTCTTATTTATCTTTTCATACTCCTGCTAAAGTGGGCCAATCTTCTCCAAAGCTTCTCTCTTCCTTTTCTATGCTTCTCTTGCACTATCTCGGTTTCTCTTAACACACAAACACCTTTTACAATTACAAAACTCATCCTCTCTACTTCTACATTTATTCTTTATTCTTTCAATCAGTTTGGCATAATATTCAAGAGGGTTTTTCTAGGGCTCTTCAGATCTATAATCTATTAACAACTAATATACATTTTATTTTCCAATACTATCGAAATTATAGAATTCTCTATTCTTACTATATCTACAAACATAAATAGGATTTTTTTGAGTTTCTCCTCAAGTTGATTGGAATTGAATATGAATTACTTGGCATCAATTTACTATTAATTCATGAATAACCCATTGATCAATTATTCAATCACTTTAGTTTAATCAGAATTCTAATATATTTTGATTATGCTCAAGTACTAGATCGCAATAGTTGTATTATTATACCTTTTCAGCATGATACTCAAAATTTCCATTAATATTAAATTATCCTTAGTTCTCAATAATTTACTCAATCAGATTTGATTCATGAAAATACTAATTGCTTTTTTCGAACATCTTTTCTAATGCTATCTAACAAGACTATCTAGTCATAGTATTCTTGTCCTCTTCACATAAGAATTTGTATAAGAATTCATCCGATCTGTTCTCCTATCCCAATAAATCATTTAAAGTTTAAAAGTTTATCTATTGAGCATTTCCATGCAATTTCTTGAAGATTACTTTCCTTATGATACTGCTAAATAACAAAGATTAGCTAACAATTCCAATTTAAGAATCTATATATAAAATTAGAATCAATACTATTAGTGCAAATTATATCATTGGCTTTGAGACAAACTAACTTTTTACTGATTATCTCACATATTAAATCCCATAGCTTCTAATCAATAACAATCGAATTGGGGTCCTTTATGTAATTCAATGTGACTTCATCATTATCCGATGAGCATTATTTCATTAGATAAATATATATGTTGGCTATATATTTGGCCAGAATTGGCATATTAGAAGATGGAATAAAGTCCTTTGTGGAAATCTGTACTCCTTTTGATATAATCTGTTCTGACAATTATACTGCTTTTTGTTATAAAAGGGCATTCTGATTAACAGTGCCACTTTACAATTTCAGTAGTTGAGCCTGCATGATCTAATTTTAAGCCTGAATCAGCATATATTATTGCACGTTGTAGACTTGAGACTATATTGTAATGAGATTTTATACCATGTAAGAGATATAGGAATCGATTTTGTCACTGGGGATGTTTTCATTAACATTGAGTGGTAAGAATGGTTTCATCCAATATCTGTTTTTAATTATTGTAAAATTTTTAAAGTTATCCAACTATATCAACACATATTAATGCGTATTACGAATAATTTTAATTCAAACATGAAAAATTTTAAAGATTATTTTGATTTGTAATCAAATATACAATTAATTTTGTAAAATTTCCAATTAAAATTTATTTATGACATTCTTCATTATAAATATAATAAAATCGAATATGACTTGCTCATCAAATTCGTTTGATATCATTTCATAACTTGTAGCTTCAAATTTTATTCACAATAAAATTTGTTATCAAAATTTCTTTTAGTAAATAATTTTAATCTCATAAATATAATCATTTATTTATCTAAATATATAATTTAAATGATCCATCTAAATTTGATTATGAAATTCAAATTAGAAAAATTACATAAATAATTATAATAGAGTGAAGAATATATTCTATTTAATTTTAGAAATTCTCATGCAATCTACAAAATGTCTATACCAATATACCCATAAATAGGTATCCTTTCAAAATATTTTGGGGATTAGTTACTATTTCAGATATACTTAAATTTAAAACTATTCTTTAGGAATTAAATAATAAAATAAAATAATAAATAATGGGACCGAGTTGGGGAAGCCCTTAAAAAGTACAAGAAAACATATATAGAAATAGACAATATTTGCAAGAAGAGAAAGATGCTTAATTAACTCCTTAAAAATGCCCTCATCTAAGACATGTGAAACATTTTGATTTTATTTACAAAACTATTAATCAAGATCGAGAAACCGTCTAGATGATCACATTCGAATGCTACCCTGATTTTACAAAATTGAAAAGTCTTGAAGAACTCAGTAATAATAATGAGCTAAATCCATACCATTTTAAGGAAATATTCAAATAACTTATCGAAGGATTATATGAATTGCATACAAACAAATTATTTGGAAGATGTTTATCTTTAGAATGCATTACTTATGTAAAAGAAACCAATTAACTTAATTATGGATCTTTTGGATTTTTTCACTCAGCAGATCAACTGTAATTTCCTCCAGAATGTTTATATAAGTTGATGAATACATATGAGGCAGATTTTTGGTAAGTGGCTAAAATGATGTGGTAAATGTACAAAAAAAAGAAAGATTATTATGGTAAATAAATAGTAGAATTAGGAAAGGATTTGTTAGCACATAAACAAATAGATTAAAAGATAGATGACAAAAATGAGCCTAAAGAAGTGGTTAGGGTGGTAAATTCTCTGCTCTCTTTTTATTGTGGACAAAGAATGACTATTGAGGAATTGTTGGACCAAGAATGCTTAGATTTTGAAGTATAAAAAAGAGAAGAAATGAAGAATTTTTATCGAACGGATCCATTTGAACTTTATTTCTTAAACCTTATGAAAATAACACGCTAGAGGGATTCATAAAAAATCTTTGTTTATTATATTGATCTTGAAAGCCCAATTTGTTAGGAATATAGAAAAGAAATATTTTAAATTCTATTAACCTATATAGCCTTATAATTGTCTTTACATTACCCAAATAATAATTAATAGGCAGTAGATAGATATCCAAAACTATTAAGCACCTTATCAAAATATTTAACTATGAGTTCAAAAATTTTGAAAGATAAACTTGTGCTCTAGGAGAAAGGATTTTTGGATAACAGAAATAAATTTTTAACATTTCGTGATGAAATAGTTAAATCACATGATTAAGCATACAGGTTTGAAAAATTTGTTTTAAAATAATGGTAGTTGGATTTCTAAGAATTAAAAGGTTATGATGATGAATAGATTATTAAGATAATTCATTTTAAATTGTATCAATTCAAAGCCTCAGCAGCTAAGCCTAAATCCGTATCTTAGAAGATCTTATTGAATTTGTTGTGTAATTTAAAGGTGAATGATGATAACTTTAATTCTGGTAACTTCAAAGAGGATTTATAAAATTTGCTTAAATAATTTTAATTAGGCAAATGAAATATAAATTATGAGCTAATTAGAAAATTCATAAAATATATTAATCAAAATATGTTCCTTTTAGCTATATTGATGGGTCTTCTTTAAATATCTTGATCTTTCACTAATCCAGCAGTTCTATCAGTTTACGAGTATCCACTGAATGCTGAAAATCTCTATTTTTATTCAATTTGATTGAAAGGTTTCGATGTAATATTTGATATGTTGGGAACATTGGGTTAATTCGATGAAGCAGCGATTCTTGAATGTTAAACTGAACCCTAATTCATCTAAAATTAATTATGGCTTTATAAATAATCCCCATTTTGTTTTCCAAAGACTATGTGATTTGGTTTATTAGATCCATTCTACTAATCATGTTTCCAACTTGCTAAAACCACATATTGCATTTGCTCAGTTTCAACATGTTCCTCCTCTGATTATGGTTAACTTTCGTTTTAATAAGGATTATCGGATTAACAGGTGCCCATTTTTTATTTAAGAATAAAAGTAAATAAATTTTATCAATTAATTAGTAAATAATGATAATTCTCATAGCAAGGCTTTTAGTTTAGATATGGCATCATTGAACCAAGGAATCTCTTTCAATATAACTGGTGCCAAAGCATTTCTGAAAGTGAGATCCATTATATTCTGATAAATCACAACTTCAGTATGATTAGATTGTATTGATTTAATCAGAATAAGACTCATTTTTTGACCTAAACTTATTTGAACTTTGAAATTACCTTTTTGATCACATTTCAATTTGTAATGGATAGGCAATTGCTTATTATTTGGTACAATTGTGATTTGATAAGTGGAATCGTTAATTTTAAGAATCTCTTAATCACTAATGAAAGCCATTTTCTTAAAGGTCGACTTGTCTTCCCAAATGTAGTATTCTACGATCACACTTCTATAATCATCAACCTTCTCCAAAACATCTTTCTATAGCATTCCATGGAACCATTATTGTTTAAGATCAGTGAATATTTGTATGGCCTTTTCAATTGGACATTCAATTGGATGAACTGTCTTGATAAATTATCCTTAAAGATGATACATAGTGTGTCTTCCACATTCTTCTATTACTATAATAAAGTTACCTTGAACATATTTCCAATTTAGGTTCATCTGACTTATTTCAACTAATTATTCAAGCGTAGGTTCCTATTCTAGAATAGCATGTTCGATTGAATTAGATTTAGTGGGCAATAACTCTTACAGGTTTTCATTGCTATCCCTTATTTATTTAACCTCATCATTCATCTTATTCACCTGTTTCTAAACATAGGAATCATATTCTCGAATAGCCTCATCATCAACTAATAAATAGTTAATCATTTGATTTTTCAATTGATTCTACTGAATGTATTTATGTAGAATCATTAATGAATCCTATTTGCATAACTTCTGCTATCCACAAATATGAGATTATATCGTCATCGTTCTGAATTACTTAATACTGATTTCACTAAATAATTTAATTGCCTATTCAGCATCTATTGAATATCTTGATTAATATTACTTGGATTATAATCATATTCCAAAATTTTCCTAAAGAACTAGAATCCATTAATGCAACTGATGTGACTTTGAACATCATTAGTTTAAATTGAGAGCATTTGCATGATTCCTTGAAGCTCCCTTTCATCATCACCAATTAATAATACTTTCAAAAGCAGAGGAGAGATCTACTGAATTTTACCAAAAAAATGCTTCTCCATCTTCCTAAAATTATAAATTCATTGAATTACTAAAATATTTTGCCTCTTTCATTAACTGTTTCATTTAATTTCCATAAAAAATGTAATATCATTTATTCTGCCTAGTTATTTGGTTATATTTTTTTTGGACTTGTTTCCAAGAGATCACACAAGGCATTTTCATCTTTACTAAATTGATGCATTTTCACATTTTAATCAAAACCCCCTTTCTGGAATTACTCTAAGATTTTTATATATTTTACAAATACCTTTAATTTTTATAAAGTCCAAAAACAAATATAATGAATGGTCTAAATGATGTAACAAATATTATAAAAATTCTAATTACTTTATATTATACTTTCAAGCATTTCTTATCTTTTTGCAATTGTTTTTCTAGAATTTGTTTAAATAACTTTCTTTTAAGGAAATTTGGGCATGATTTTCTAAGAAATTGGTAACTAAATTTCATTTGATTTATTTACTGAATCGTATAATCTCTCAAACTCAGAATATCTTTTTGGAATTGTATAATCGATATAATCTGTTCTTATTTGGATTACATAATTCACAATATGATTTTTGAAAATTGATTCTCGATCTTCCTCCTTAAAAACATTAATAATCCTAATCTCTTTAATCATATTGTTATTGACAATTAATGTGTACAAATCTTTTGCATCACATTCTTTTTGATTCCGCTATCTTTACAATAAATTCGGTCTCTCTGACTGCTATCTAAACAATATATGTGCTGTTTCTGGTGTAAAACTTTGAGAGAGAATCTATTTCATAAAAATATTAATAAAATTTACTATTATTGCTATTTAAAACTTATTGAATTCTTGGGTTATTTTGAATTATTACATAATAAGTTTAGAATCCATTTTAATATTGTTTAAAAATATTTGATAACTCAACTGCGAACTCCTAAAATCACTTTTGTGGACAGAAACTCTGTTGTGAATCCCATAACTCAATATCACCAGAGATAGTTATTCTATCATAACTTTTAATATTCAGATCCAATATTTGTAATGAATTATGCAAGAATCAAGTCCAACTTTTAGTTTATATTTAATATCAATTCTATTCTTTAAGTAATTTAAATCCTAAGAACTATATTAGACATAAGGAAATGTAGCAATCATCAAGGAATCTCTATCATATCAATATAGGCATATAGTAATTATAATTTTGAGAAAACTAAAATGCCTATTCCTTACTTTAGAATTATGAGATTTAACATAAATGTTTCGAAGTGCTTCTACCAAGTAGAGCTTCATTACTAAATTAAGTATCAGGCAATCAATAATAAAATATAGATTCAAATTAATTTGTTATCCTATTTATTTAGATAAAGATAGATAGATAGATAACCAAAATTAACAAAAAAATAATTAAGTTTGAACAAAGAAAGTATTTAATTGAGAAAATGTAAGTAGTTATTCCTTATAAATTTCGAAATAGAATAGTGTTTACTTAAAATGTTATAATTTTGTGTTTACTAAAATTTTAAACATTTCGTTTCGAACAAGAATCAATCTTTTTAACCATTCATATGAAACCAGATAATTATAATCAATGTAAATATTAACTTAGGTTGAATTGCATATACAATATTATCTTTTAATGATTAATTTTATTAGTAATTATGAATTGATAGTTTCTAATAAATTAAATTAGCGAATTGCATAATACAATCATTTTATATGTATAGAATCAAAATAAATATTTTTAATTCAATCACAATAATAATCCTTGGCATTGCACCTATTTTTTTTATAATTTGGATAAATAAAAAGAGTATTAAAAAATAAAATCAAAAAGAAGTAGAAAGAATACTTGTTAATATAAAACAATACGAAAAATAGTATTCGAAAACTTTTTCAACCAAATTTCTTAGTATCTTAAATTTCTGCTTAAAATAAAATATTATAAATAGTTTTGCTTTAATACTAAATTCTAGCAACACATATAAAATAAGTGCTAAATAAGGATTATTCGATATTATATTTAATGTTATTATACTGATGATCACTTCTTCTTTCCTTTCTTACCACCAGCGGCACCTCCAGCTGCAGCTCCTCCTGCTGGTGCTGCGGCAGCAGCAGCTGCTGCTTTAGCTGCTTGTTATTTTTTGATAGCTTCTAAGTTAGCTTTGATCTAATAATAATTAATAGATTCTTACGGTTGCCTCGTCCATTCTAAATGTTTAATGGCATGTGCCACAATAGTGTCTATCAAAATGCTTAGCCATATATACACCTTATGGACATTATGGGCATTGTTTGTGAGATCTTTAAACAACACCTTTATTGTCAATGGTATATAGCTTGAGTGTAGCTAATTTGACTTTTCGGTGTCGGTGCTTCTTCTTTTTGGGTTTAGCAAAATTCTTCTTCTTCTTCTTTTTCTTCTTACCTCCTTCTGCGTCAACAGTTACATAGTAAAATACCTTCGGTACCTATAATTTATTAGTGGTTGTAATTACCTAAAAATGCAGATGCTGCTACAGCTTCTCCAGAGTTGACTAATGAAACTTCACAACCCAATTCAGATTGAATAAGTTACATCAAATGACCGGCTGAGGTTGAATCAGCCAAATCATATAGTTTAACTTCACCATTAAGGTGACCAACTTTTATGATCATTTTAAAAATTAAAGATTTTAATTTAAAATAAATGGCAAGGAATTTATATTCATTAAATAAATTCTTAATTTCTACACAGAGTACCAAAAGCCTGAATATTATACTCTCATAATCAATCAAATAGGATTTTTAAAATAATTTGAATCGCTGCAATTTTGAGTAGCTTCCAATATTTAAAGAATCTTTAATAAATTCTAGGCTACTCTGTCATTATTTTAAATTAGAATCAAACTCAAAAATAATTACACTCAATTTATCATGCTTGATCGATCATACCTTTATTTTCTTCAACAAACCAATAGCCCTTCTTTAAACTTTAAAATAGATATTTTTTACATCAGATTAGCTATTTTGTTATTTTTTTATTGAATTTCTATAATTAATATTAGAATTTTATTCAGGACTATTATTATTATATTTATAATACCTAAATCTACCTAGACTTTAGAAACTATATCCAGTTTTATTCAATAAAGTATAAAAACGATCTAAATTATAGATTATCTTCAAAATAATTAATTCTGAGGCAAAAGTCAACTAACCAAATCTCACAACATTAAATGAATTTATAAAAACTCCTAACAAATTCTAAATATTATTTTTGAATTTTTATAATTGTAGAAAAGTTGTATAAGTTAATTAATTTTTAATATCTAAGAAAATTCAAAATTAATATTACATAAATTCAGTATCCATCACATTATATTAATTAATAAATTGCTGATCATTCAAAGTATCAAGAAGTAAAAAAGAGTTAAATCTATAAACTCGGATAGTTTTTTACATTTGAATAATATTAATTCAAAATAACCATATTCTCTACATTAATTTGTTATCCAACTTTCATAATCTGTTAATCAAGAATTAATAGTCTATAAATTCTTTCTGCATGACATTTGGAGTATCCTGCAAATGGATACACTAAATGATTTTTACTATTAATTTCTACCTCAATAATAATAAAGATTGAAGACATGGTTCTGCCTTATAGAAGAATTAGTTGTATTTATTCCTTCAGTTAAACAATTCAAAGGGAAATAAAGTCTTTTAATTGTAAAGCATAAAAGCTATGCTATAAAATGATTCTGAAAGATCTATTTGTTTAATATGATGTTAAGTAAAAATATAAATATTGAAAATTATATCTATTAATGCAACAATCAAATTAGTTACTTGCTACAGTAGCAAATATCTTAGATGAAATAATCAAGGAAACAGATGCTTTAGAAATTGAGTAAGAATCTCAATCATATTTCCATGCCAACAAAGCACCTTCAATATCAATTCACAATTACTTATAAAGAATTGCAAAATATACTCATTGCAGTGAATAATGCTTTGTTATTGCATTAATTTACTTAGATAGGTTATAAGAAAAACATCCTTATTTAGTGCTTAATTCTAAATGTATACATAGGTAGTTTAATTTAAATTATGAAGATTCCTCTTGTTAGCAATCATGATTGCCATAAAATATCAGGATGATGATTATTATAAAAATGAATATTATGCAAAAGTAGGTGGCATAAGTGTTAGAGAGATATTTATTCTGGAATAAGAATTCTTGGAGTTAATGGACCATTAATTGTTTATAGATGAACAATATTATTTTCTTTATGAAAAGAAGTTGCTTGAATATGGAGAAATAGAAATGCCCTGATAATTTTGTTTATTTGTTTATTATTTTGTGTTTTTATTATTGTTATATTAAATATACTATAAGGTTTTCACTTTTATTTTCTGTGATTACAACGATAGAGACAATCAATTAATTATATAAATTTCGGAATAACGAACTTATGATAATATTTTATAAATTCTAAATTTTGTAATGAATTCCGAATCATAAAATACAATCAAGATAACAAAGATTTTCTTGAATTGATCCAAATTTGATCTCTATCTGAGTGTTTAGTTAATAATAGTAATAAATGAATCTAAAATTAAATGTATCTATACTTTTCTTGATTATTTCAATAAGCTTCTGATCTCATTATTTTGAGTCTCTAATTTATATTTACTATTGGACCAAGGATTAGCATTATAAAATAATAATAATTTAACAATTTCCCTATGCTATTATTAAATAGCATAATAGAGTGGAGGCAATCCTTTAAAATCGTAAGAATCAGGATATGACCCACATTATAGCAACCTTTCAGTTGTTTCATAGTAACCAAGGATTGAACTTATGTGTAAGGGTGTTTGTCCTTCTTCATTGATATCAAAAGCATAATATCTACATTTCTAAAGCATAAAGGTAATGAGACCGTGGCTGTTATTTTCTACAGCTTCAAAAAACTAGAAAGATCCTTGTCTTTCATAAGGTTTCTTTTAAATTACACCATGTTAAAATAACTCTTTTATTGTAAGTTTCATTTATTTCATTTTTTTAACACAATCAAGGATTAAATGGAACATTCTTTTGAATATAGTCCTTACTTATCCACTATAAATGGCATTCTACCTTTTTTTATTTATTTGGGATGATTTTATAGAGTACATATAACTTTTTTAAGTTTCTATTTGTTAACTTTGTTATTGTTATAATTATTATTATTCATAAGTTTTTTCTTATTATTATTATCCATTAGTCTACTCTTATTATTATTATTCAGAAGTCTGTTCTTATTATTATTCTGAAGTCTATAACTAGTCTTCAATAGATTGTTATACTTAAAATTTCTATTACTTATCTTTTTCAACTTAATGAATGAATCTCTTTAAAAAGGTTGTTGACATTCTCATATTTCCTTTATTTATATTAATTTTAATAGTTTCCTCTTACAATTTAGTCTATTAAATTTCTTCTTATTTTGCTTTTTCTTCTTAGAATGATTTCTTCTTTAAAAAATACTATTGAATAACTGTTTGCAACTTTTTCTCAGGAGCTGTTGATTACTGAAGTGATTCTTCAAGAAATTATAAATTTCTTGTAAATGCTTCCCTATCCTTGTTTCTCTACCTAATGGGAGTTCGTTTTTCATTAATGGCAAGCATCCTTCCAATATGTTCTTTGATATTTAAAGGATGGTAATTCTCTAAGCGCTCATATTATTGAATCTCATTCTCAATAGTTTTCAAAGCTTTAGAGTTGTCAAGTGTTTTCTTCCTCAACAGTTTATTGTCTTTATTTATCAATTCTTATGCTTTTGGAAATGAACTACTAGTTTGTCCACTCATGATTGCTATCTATTGAACTATTTTGTTAAATGATGTATACATTAAAATTGAGATAATTCATTTAGGGTATGTTAATTGATCTCTTTTAAATTGAGTTTCTTATATCTGTAATTTCTAATTCATCTTCCAATCTGCTTTCAATTTTACGAATTGCAATTTTTGGAGTATTAGAATTAATTGACTAACTTCTGGGTTTTGGAGATTATTTCATTCGTCTACTAGTTTAAGCCCTCTTTTGACTCTGTTTAATGGTTTCATTCTATCATCATCATAAGTAATCACATACATTAAATTAAGTAATAGGTTCACTCCTTTACATTACACTCTTTCCTTCCTTTAATGATGTTTTTCTTTTTATAGTGAATGATTTCTCAGTCTTCCCATCCATGTAACTATATTCGAATGTATCAATCGACAAAGGCTTGAAAACATAGTTGAATCTACTCATTTCTATACGATTAAAATTTAAATATTTTATTATTAATACATAATCAAAATTCGTAAAACACTCTGCAATAATTAATCCAAGTTTACTATCTAGTATTATAGGGTGTCATCATCAGCAACATATCAAGCTACTCTGTTATAATTGTATATTTACTCTTCTAGCTATTTTGAGCATCCTTGTTAATATTGGATCATCAGTTCCATAGGTACAACCAGGAAATGACCAAGGATTACATTTGTGTGACAACAATAGTTAAACTAATTCTTTTTGATTATTCATGAGCGCATAATATAGAGGAGTTCTGTTACTGACATCTCTAGCATCAGGGTAGGTTCCAAGTTGAAATAGTATTTTTGCAATTTATAAATGTCCTTTTCTAGAACATATATGCAAAGCAGTCTAGAAATTTTCATTTACATCAAAAGCATAAAATCTACACTTATCAAGCATCAATTTTACTAAATCCTAGTCATTTTTAGTCACTCCTTTAAAAAATACATAAGAACCTTCTCTTTAATATGGATTTTTTAATATTGTCCTATTTTACATTAACTATTCAGGATCTAGTTTCATAAATCTTAGTTTTTTAACACAATCTAATATTAAGGCTCTCATTTTTTCTAGTTTCATCCTTACTGATGTGCTGAATACTGCTCCTACCTTCCTTTTCTTTTATGGGTCCTTTTTAGTTTTTATGGCTTGGGCCCAATATTTATAGGATTCCTTTAATAATTCTGGATCTTATTTCTCTTTATTCTTTAATTATTAGGATACACCAATAAAGTCCTTGAAAAATCTAGAGGAAATCTTTAAATCTCTCTCAGCTGAACTAGTGTATAAAATGGATCTTTTTGATACATTAATATCATCCATTCTTTAAGAAAGTCGTTAGAGATGTACACTCTTTCTGGATAAATAATTTTGAACTTTATCTTATATTTGTTATTCTGCATTATTTTATTATGTTTTTGATTAAAATTCTAATTTTTATTGTTATTGTTGAGCTTTTGGACTCAATTAAGGACTCTCAACTTTTCTAAAAAGCGGTCCTTAATCCAACATTGATAAGGCCTGCTTTTTCATCTATTTCTAATGAAATGATTTATGCTATTGAGTGAGGATTTCAGCAAAAGTCTTAATTTTATTTTATTTTCTCATTAGTTTGTTATCCTATATAATAAGTTTTCTGACTCTTTAATTAATATGGCTATTCATAGGCTTTTCTTTAATCTAATTTCTTCAAATTTATACATTAAACTCAATATATTATTGTATATTAATATCAGAATTTCCTAATTTTTGATTCAATGTCATTTATCTTTTTGACTTCTTTTTATTGGTACTTTGAGTATCTATGTGAAATGACTGACTGGCCACCTTTTCTCTAAAGTAAGGATAGTAATCAACTTTTTTTTTTATTGAGAATGATTTCTCTTCACTCCCTTATTAGTATTTATATTAACAAGTTTCGATGAGTAATGGTCTAAAAATCATAATATTATTTATTATTATTCATTATATTATATTAAACTAAGCCTAATTGTAATACAATATATTTAAATTTTGAATATTATAACAAACTTTATAAATAATTGTAAAGAATCAAAACTTCATCCAAAACCAATACATGATTAAAATTTTAATACACTGATCACCTAAATCATAAAAATTACATTTTTAATCTAAGCAACGCAGTCCTCTTTCTCCTATTGTAAACCGTTAAATCTAAATTTTGCAGTCTCTCTTTGAAAATTAAATTGAAAACTACTTAACTTACTTAAAGATCATCAAAAATAGAATTATGATCAAATTTATTCATCAATATAATTAGATCATTAATCAATACCATTTTAGATTGTTTCACATTTTCTTATTGATATTTTAATATATCCTTCCTGCTCTTTAATTATATTCCCAGAAAAATGGTTTCGAAGATAATTATCAAAAATTGATATAATTAAAAATGGACAGATGTTAACTACTTAATGTACGTGATAATGAATAATAAAAATATATTAATTTCACATATCTTTAATTCTCAAAACATAGGTCAGCAAGCAGCACATTTATATACACCTTAATCATAGTCCTCTTTATTCAAAACTATGTCTTATTAATATTGCTTTTAACAATTTTTACATGATAGTAGTTCTAAGTACTTACAACCCTTTTTACAAATATAAATGATTTAATCCTAAATATGCAATTATTTTAATATTTTCTTACATTTGGTTTAACAATAACAACAACTGCTTTTATTAAGGTCGCTGCAAATATTTTTGCAATCTGAACAAATCCCTAATTCACTCTGACATCTTAATTACAGATTTTGAAATGATTAAAAGGTTTCTTTACAACACTTGCACTAACTATTGATAATATTATCATCAGCACTCTCTGTTTTGCATTACTGGCAATTCATAATGTAACTTAAGTGATTTTCAGCCTTTTAAGCATCCAAATCAAATTAAATTAATTGATTACATTTAGCACAAATTCCATATTAATGCGTTTTATCATTAATCTACCATTTTGTTAAATCTACATTTTAGATATTTTTTATTTAAAATTAATCTCTTGATAGTTATAATAATTAACAATAATAGCTGCATTCCTTATGTTGGGTTTATAAAAATATTTCAATTCCTTTTTCAAAATGATTTGTTTCATCCTAATCCAACTCAGGAATTTCTCCCTTTTTGGTTTATATTGAAGGATCAGATAGAATATTTACACATCCCTATAAATCTGTGATAACAAAAGTATTTCCACTTTCAATAAAAGAGAAATGACTGAAAATAGAATAATAATAATATTTTGGGTCACTGTGATGGTGGTTAGTAGTATACTTTTTGAATTAATGTTAAATGTTAATAAATGTCTCTCCATATACTTTGGTCATACCATAAAAAGGGGTTTTGAGAGTGTAACAAATAGGTAACACATAAAATAATGGAGGAATTTCTTCAACTGTTGACGTTGTTATATTAAAAAAGTGGGCCATTTAACAAGCATAAATGGAAGAATAGAATCTTGATTCTGCTTATTATTCAGCCTTTTCAATTGATTAATTATCTAGCATACCTTATTTATGCAAATCTACAATAAATTTTGGTATTTTTAAGACTACGTACATATTATTTATTGCATCAAATGCTTTGAAAACAAAGGTTTAGCAATTTTAATCTTCTGACTAAAGAGATTCAATAATTTACTTTTAAATTTATAAATTTGTGCCTCCTTATCTTAAATAATTAGATTTCAAAAGATTTTTCCAATAATCTACTTTATTCTATTATGAATTTTTAATATTCTCATCTATTTTGAATTTTTTAAAGTCAGCTTTGATTCCAACTTATTTTTACAAATTAGATTTTATAATATTTGATTTTGTTAAAGATTATCTTAATGTAAAAAGAACTTATTCACAAATTTCTTTAGGTTCCTTTTTAGTAGTTATTGTTAAAAGAGGATACACAGCTTACATTTTTGAAAACATTTTGTCTGTTGAATTATTTATTTTAATGTTGCATAGAAAATTACATTCTTTGATTTTTTTGTATCTCATTAGTGCATTTTCTAAGTGATTTTCTTCAACCTTATCAATCTTATCATCAGATTTAAGGTCATGATATTATCGTCCATGGCAGGGAGCATCAGCAATCAGAAATGTGCATAATAAACTTTCTTCATGTTAAGAGAAATTTAATTCTAAAGCTTTTTCAAATCCAGCCACAATATCTTCAGCCAGGTCCCCACCACCTTTTGCTTCAAATTTACTAATTTATTTTATGAATTTCTCGATGTCATGTGTCAGATTTATATAAGTGATTTTATCATTCTTATCACATTCGTCTCTATATCCAACAAAACCAAACCTCATTTAATATCCTTTATTTGTTTAATCAAATTACTATAATATTTCATAAATGGCCTTTTCCATTTCTTCCTTCCAAGGTTTCATAGATCCGGTGAGATCCATAATAAAAACAACGTCTATGATATTAGACTCTGATATAGTGCTCTTTAATTTAAGAAACTATGCTTTTTCACATTATAATTGTATTTATTAATCATAAGACAACTATTAATCATCAATCTTAGTACAAGGGTAGATACAGTTCTCTATATATATTTTCGGATTAACATATTCCCACTCAACATGATTTTTTAAGCAGTTTTTTTTTGGACAACTTCCTTTGAGATATGGAATGCATAAATTTAAGTTAGACATCCAAAGATAATGATGACTGCATTAACAGTTTTATTTATCACATAAACTATCAGGACAAATACTTTTAATATATGAACATTCCTTGGCAATAGGTTTAAGATCTTTCCATTCTTTATGAATAAACTTACAATCCTTGTCTTTCTTTTTACATGAATTGATAATATCTGTTAAGCATATATTCTTAGCCCAAGGTTTATGAATAAATTTACAATAATTTAAAGAGTTTTTATCCGATGGGAATTCATGTGACGGACAATCATAGGTGCCACATAAATTATGAGGAAATATACCATTTACTGAGATTTAAGAAACAAACCTGAATTTACTTTAATCGAAATGTTTTAGTTTGCATTCCTTTTTATCACAAATTTTATTGGGAAAATAATCATCTTCTGAATTATTCTATTCCCATTCTTATTCCATAATCAAAAATCTAATACAAAGTCCTAAGTAAATTCTAGAATGGTCTAATTAACAATTCTCATTTTTGCAATTAATGGAGTCTTAACAGATTTTAGAGTACATAAAATTTAATAGAAATAAAAATTAATAATTATTTGAAGAAAGTGTTATGGTTTAATTTTATCAAGTATTTTAAGATTGATAAAGAAATCTAATAATCATATTACTATAATACAGTAATTGAGATCGGACGATCAATTCTTATATTCTTAATATTGCTGAATAAATTTTAGGAATAAAAACAATATCACAAATAAAGAATCAAAATGCTTAAAGTGAATATGTTTATTAACCCCCAAATTTTGACATTTTCTTATGTAGGAACAACTTGTACTTCCTTACTTTTGCATTTTTCATCCCAAGTGCATGTACGTGTGTTTTTACATAAATTCTCGTCAGCAATATATTGGCATTTAGGCACACACTAAATAAATATGAAATAATACCTTTTATGAAAAATCACAATGTTCTTAGGGACATTTTGATTAGTCAACTTAGTTTGAGCAGGTTCTGGATTCACATTTTTAAGAATTAAAATTATAATCGCAATATTGATTGTGTTGCAGACAAATGCAAGGACGTGAAATTTCCTCACATGATAAACAATTGTCAGCATCTACTTCGACACAAATTTATTCTGAAATCTAAAGTCCTGAACAACCAAATTTCTTAACCAAGAATCTACAAGGTGAATCTGTACAAAAGGATTAATTTTCTTATGTAATCCAGGAACATTATCTATCTTCATACTTCATTGATGTGCATTAATTCTTATCTGATATCTAAGAACATTCAACTTAATCTTGACAGACACCCATTTTTGAATTCCAATAACAAATATTTGAAGGACAATTAATTTATTTTAGATCACTGCATCTTGAAAATCTGCAAAATTCATCAAATATGCAATATTTGGGATAACTTTAACACTGCTATTCATCCAGGACTTCACAATTTAAAAGTTTATAAAATTATGAATCTGAATTAAAAATACAAGGCTTATTATTTAAGGTTGGATTGATAGAAGCAGGATTATGAATATCTTCGCATCTTTTAGCTGATTTGCATTGCTATGAAGAAGTTTAATAACAATAGAATTAATTGATCTACTGACCATCACAATAATTGTATTATAAATCCTCACACTATTTCCATTTACACTTCTTCGTTTCCTCAACATATATGCAATGTTCAAGTTAATTGCATTTTTCAACCTCTTGAATAACATTACAATTCTCTTCCATAAAGCCATTGGTACATTAACATTAATTATTTTCCATTAAGCAATTACTTTAAATACAACCTAATTAACTTAATCCTTTAGTATCACATAATTCTATATTGGATTGCTAACAGCCATATGTTAATTCATTGAATTTACAATTATCTTATGCATTTGAACAAACGTGATAATTTGCCAATGGGAATTCATTACAATTATATAATTTTTCGGTCACTTTTATACATTAATCTTTGAATGCGCATCCATCAATCTCAATGCAACCTTTAAGATTTAAGCCTATAGTATCACAATTTGATAACAAAGGTTCTAGAGCTTTGCATTTGTTATTCTTGATATCATACTAACAAGAATCTTGATCAACTAATGAACAAACTTTTGGATTCACATTAATAGGTACTGCCAAACAATATGTGTAAGGAATATAATCATCACAATAATCATTAGCAGTCTGTTCATTATATTTCCAAATACAAGGGTGATTTTTAATATTCAGGCAGGCATATTTATTTAAGCCTGGGTGAGTGCATGTGATAGAGTTTAAGTCAACAACATGACAACCACCATCAGAATATCCACAAGGGTGATCAATATCAAGATTTGAGCATGAAAAGGCATTAGAATTGGGCCTTTCACAAAGCTAGGGTATATCTTAGAACTCTGAATAAGAACAACTCTTCGAAATGATATTCCAAACACAAGACTAGTTTGTTATGGTCATACAAGCCTCTTTATTTAGACCTATAATTTGAGGATTACAAGTTAGTTCATTTGGATTTTCAATGATTACACATTTCTTAAACATTTCATCGTACTTTACTATGTCTCCATTATTAATTAAACCACATGCATTTTAATTGACAAGAATCAGTTAATTAGGAGTGTAAACTTCCTATTCACTTATTTATTGGCATCTAAAATCTTTCCAGATGCAAAATTCTCCAATCCTATTTGTTTTCATACAAGCAGTATAACTAATGTTCTAATAGCAAAATGTCTAATTGATATCTGTGATTGGTTGACATTCACCATAAACTATTTCCACTTCAATAGGTGAATTTTAGTATTTAATAACCTTGTATACCTATTCAACCCATTAGCAATCATCGATGGTTTATTGCAGACATGCATTCTTATTAATTGAATCCAAACAATTATTAGAAGTTTCTGATTAAACAAAGAGTATGCATTTCTCATCCTTGTAAATACACATCTACCCTTATACTTCAACATTCATGCAGGCTCTTTAATTTCCAGAATATTAACTCACTTCCTAGCAAGTCAGATAAGCAGAGTTTTCTGAATATGTGCAGATTTCTTCTTCTTAATTCCATATACAAGAAACTGACTTCATTCTTTTACATTGTTAATTTGTTTATGAAAAACCACATGTAGTGGGTATTTCAGTTTAGCACTTATGATCACTAGGTGCATAAACACAGAGTACATTTTTGATTGCAGCACAAATCAAAAAGCTTTTATTTACGATATCATTACAATCCTATGTAGTACTTGTATAAGCTCGACAACCATCTGCTGTCCACTCACACTAATAAATCTTTTAATTTAGACATGTATCAATTTGATCAGCTTCTCTGCAACATAAGTCATTATCATTATGAATACAATTCAAAATTCCATTATTAGGACCATAACAATAATCAAGGAATTTACACATCAAACTTGGTGTTGTTTGATTTAAACATGCTATCTTATTCAATCCCCTTTCACATGAGAACACTTCCTATGAATATACATTCCTACACGTATTGGTTTTCAGATCAAAAGTGCAAGCGATATCCTTTGTTTATTCGCAGAATGAATAATGGTTTATATTCACTACGCTTAAACAACTAATATCTGCGTATTCTTTTACATTTTCAAGTTTACATTTTTCTCCATCAAATTAGCAAAATTGACCTGTTGTTTGAATATTAACACATCCAAATCTATTACTTGCTTATTCGCATTTAATTTTACTGTATGTATCATAATATATCTTCTTACAACTATTTGAGTCAATGATACATCCCTCCCCTGTAACTTATTTGCATTAAAATTAACTATCCACTTTATTGATATCCTTACAAAATTGAAATCCACTTTCATTTAATCTATAACAATTTTCATCGAAAACGCAGTTTTTTTTGTCAATCTCACAAGCTGGTTGATTTAATCCTTTCTCTTCTGGATCTTTTTCAACACAATTTACAGTAGTTGTTGTGGCTTTATCAAAGGACTCGCATCTGAAAAAGGTCTTATTGTATTGACATGGAGTTGAATTTGTATTTACAGAACAAAATGCTCCAGAATTGACATCCTTTATCTAATCACAACTCATGCTTTTAAAATCTTATAAATTAGCATTAACACATTGAAAATTCTTATATTAACAAAACTAAAATGGTGTCTTTATACTTAAACATGCTATTTTATTCAAAAATGCACTGCACTTTAGATAGATTAATTATGAACTTTTCACAATTGAACAGGTTTCCTACCACATGAGAGCCTTTTCATAATTAAACATTTAGCAGGCTCTCTTATTCAATGAATAAATGTTGGATATATTATAATTCGCTGGATTTGAACTAATAGATCCATTGGAATCAGTGAATTCAATACAGTATTTATTTGTTTTATCATAAAAGCATGGTACATCTGTGCTTTTTGAACAGGTATTTGGATTTGTTCTCAAGCTATTTTTTTCACATTTATTGAGATCAACTTTGGTGATATCAACATTTTTACACCCTGTTAATGAATCAAAATAGCAAAATTGACCTTTGGTGATGATTGACAGGCATTTGTCTTCATTGATATCAGCTACACATCTGGGATTGCCAAATGAAGTAATGCACTTGCCTGATTTGAACTCGCAATTGTATCCTTAAGTAGCAAATATACAACCCTTTTTATTTAGATCCTTGCAGTTTTAGGGCGTCGTAATAACTACACAGTTCTAAGTGCTATCATTGAACATACAAGGTGTCTTTGGTTCTCTTAAACAAATGACACTATTTACAATAGCTTTTTCTTGCTATAAAGTAGAACAATCATCTTTCTCATCAAATGAAGCACATTTATTATCAACAAATTTGCATGCAACATTTAATCTGGTGCAAGCATATTAGTTTAAATATTCATTACATGTTTTTAATGTAGCAATTACCTTCTAGTCAACAAATCTACATAAACCATCCTTATACTCACAATAGGTGTTTGTCTTTAATAAGCATGAGTACTTGTTCATTCCAGAATAACTACATTTATTGATTATAATGTTTTTATCTGTAATATCTAAACATCTTTATTGTCCTGCCCCATAAATTAAGGATCTTCCAATACTTATATCTCCTTATTGTACCACTATATTAGCTGTTTAACACACACCTGAAGTATAAGGAAAGATGGTTCTAATTTCATCCAAGGAATTTATAGCATAAGGTTAACAAAATATATCAAATTTACAAGCACCATTCTAGTATAGACAAGCTTCTTAGTTCAAATAGTTCTGACAACCTAAGTTAGGATCTTCCGTTTTATCACATAGACTTTATTAAAACTTGCACATTCCTCCACACACCCTTTCGACAAATTTACACTTTCCCTTGGCCAACTTTGCACATGCAAATTCATTTATATTAGAAATTGGTGATACTTCACAAGAGATGACATCAAGTGGAATAATTGCTCTACATTTATAATACGAGTCATGTATGCATCCTTACTAAACTTTAATTTAAGTACAAGTGTAAGAATTACAACGATTTATAAATGATTATTACTCGCTACTCAGAAATTCAACACATGAAGCAGGTTCTGAATTGAATACCAGTTTATAGCACTTTTCATATACATCTGACCATCCACATGAGATATTTTGAGCATTTAGACATAAATATTGATTTAAATTCTCGCATGTATCATTAGGGATCACACTGCTCTGAATGCATTAGTTTGAACTCCATTTACAATTCTCATACATAGACCTTACACATAGAGATTCAGTTTTTAATAGATCACATTTGCCTTTATAAGGATCATAATCAACACATAGGGAAGTTGCTTAATCAATCCAACAAATATTGACTTATGAACTATAACAAGCATCAAAATTCAAAATAGAACATTAAATGACATCACTCTTCTATATTGATATCGTTTAACAACTAAAGTTTTCCCATTTGCATTTGACTCCTTTAGTATTGAGAAGACAAGCAATTTAATTTAGATTATCACATGAATTCTAAACAGTATTGTCAATTTTACTGCACTTCTATTCAGTAGCATCATATTTAGTTGCATATTCTTAGCATTTTTGACATGCTTTTAATGAACCAGTATACAATAATAGTTCACTGCATGTATAATGATTAGCATCTTAACATGTAGATCCACGATATGCACAAGCTTCATCAACCTTTCCGCATATTTCCTTTATAAATGATGTATTTAATAGATTCACTTCAAAACACAAAAAGTATTTATTTGATTTGTCTGGTTTTACTTAAGGTACTTATTTAGTTTCTTAGCAATACCCTGTATAATCATAATCACATCCGCATTTGGTACATAATTATTTACTAAAGCTCATATCACAAGGACATTTTCCATTTGACTTGAGTGTAGGCATTGTACTTATACACATCTACCCATCGAATCTGCAATCATCGCTAGCCTTAGAACATAAGATTGGTTGAGCATCTTAGCTCAATATATTTGAACAACTGAATGTTGATTGATATGTAAGAAGAGGTACACAAGTCTTATGTGGTTTTTGAACTGTTTTGCATTGATCGCCTGGTTTTATACTAGATTATCCATTCTAGCATATTGCTCTGAAATTTGAACTAACGTAACAGTTATTTGCAATTTGATTGCAATCTACAATTTTATGTTCATTACCTGCTATGTACTTACAACCTCCTTAATCACTATCATAGTAACAATTATCACTCAAATCTAAGCACAATGCCTTTGAAAAAGTGTTTAAGCATACATCCACTATATTTTATTTCAATTGGCACCATTGATTAAAAATATAGTTTTTTTTTGGTAAACAACTTCCCTATATTAAAGACTAAAATGGATAATCCAATTCCAGCTGGCAAGTATTCTGTTATAAACAATCATTTTTGGCAATCCTACACGAGTATTCAGATAATTAAGAGCAATCCAAATTCTCACAAGTATCTCCAGTATCAAGATTTGATCCAATGCTATAAATAGAAGAATCGGGAATATCAGATGACGCTTCTCCAAATGGAATTATGGTCTCTGTAATTTCATCAACATTGCAAAAGTACTCTTCAATTATGGAACACTCTTTTATAGTACAATTTTAGGTATTATTAGAAATATAATAATAGTTATGTTCTCTTGTAAACGTTGTTATGTGTTTTATGCAAGTCTCATTTTCCCAATCCCATGAACTATCAATCATTGACTTCCTATCTTTTCGAAATAATCCAGAAGTATTCTTGGCAACTTCATCTTCACACGCATTTATTTCCTCAAAGTCACATTCTTTTATTGTTTGTTATTAAAAATCAGGTGTGGTTTCTACATCATACACAATCTTGAATATTTCGCAACCATAATTGAACCATAGGCAATACTTTTCGAATTTACATTATTATTGATTTTATTTGTCTTCAAAACACTATAATTCTCCTACAGTCTCCTCTAATGTATCAGCAACAGATGAACAAACTCGTTTATTAGGGTGTTTTAGGTCAGCAGATAATAGTGTAAGTTCTGAGCATTTCTTTGATTCACCAAAAGAAGTACATTATAATGTAGTAATATCGAAAACGCAAGGTTACTATATATCCATGCAAACTTCTATGTTGATCTGCCACTTAGAAGAGCATATAGATTGGTCTTAATTAAATTTTTTACATTTGTTATTAGGTACAACCTCATCTTCATCATAGAAACAATGATGTGTTCTTGTATGATACAAACAAGCATATTTATTTAATTGATATGTGTCACAATCTACTGTTTGAGATACCAGTTTTGTACATTTCTGCGTTACTTTATCATAATAGTAGGCATCTCCTGTGATTATTAAACATGCTCTTTCATTAAACTTATGATTTCCAGTCTTATTGAAGATCTCAAAATCTGTTGAATTCTGAGTAATGAAAACTTAGCAATCATTTGTTATATCATTCCAAATGCAAGCCTCTTTTGTTATCTTTTTACATAATTCAATATTGATATTATCTTAACATGACAATTGTGAAATATCTTGGTGATTCACAAAGCATTAACAAGTGGCCGGATCCCATCTGCATAAACCTTTGGTATTTTTGAAGCAAGATCTGTTATTGGCTAACTAGCCATCGCAACTTCCAGAAACTTTAGTTGAATCTACACAATCATAATTGAGGAATTCACACTGTTATCCAGGTTTGTTAATTTATTAACATACTTACCAACTTACCTTACCTAACAATTTAAAATGAGTGCAATCTATATTAAAGACATCAACAACTTGACTCTTATAAGCATCTTCACAAATATCCAACTCCTTCTAAAAGAGACAACTACTCTTTTTAATATCAGTACATGCTTTAACATTTAGATTTTAAACGCATGTTTAGATTTCACCATATTCATCTAAAGGTATAGTAATACATCTGATTAGTTGTTCATCCCATTTGCAATAGTTCCTACCTGTGTATCTTTGACAAACATTTCTATTGGCCTTTGCATCTTCACATGTGGCATATGAAAATTCGTCATCTAATAACAACTCTTTGCATCTTTTATTTTCATCATCATATCCAATATATTTGAGTGTGTTCTATACTGTTATCCTCCCATCAATGGCAAAACATGCATTCTCATTTAAAACAGAAGGATCCTAAATGAAAATACGATTATCCTTATAATAATTGTAATTGATATTTAGACAGACTATTCCATTATAATAGCAGCGTTGATCCAATGACCAATCAATCATATGACAAGAATTCTTACTCATAGAAGTGCATGGCAATTTAAGTTCATTAAAATACAATTTGATTTAATCTTATTCTGATGTGTCCACAATCTCATCTGTCAATTCTTAACATTTTAAATTATTAAAGTAACAATAGGCTCCAGGTTCATTACTTGAGAATTTAATACAAGAATGGGCATTTATTCCGATATTTTCAATTTCAGTACAACACTTAGTGTTACAGAATTCCTTTTTAACTTAACATTGTGATATTTGTTTATTATGATAGCAATACCCTCTGTTTTTATCCGCTTAAACCCCTTTTACAAAGTCGTAATCAGGAAAATCCATGATTATAGATGCACACACATCCGAATTAACAGAAATGTCCGATCCCCCATACTCAAGACAACTCGAATTTTACTTAACTTCTACAGTTTCACAAGCACTCTTAGATTTAGTCCATTTGCACAACAAGGAAACAAAAGACAAACACACAGTCTTAGTAGGTGATGTTATTTCACATGTTAATGGAGTCGGTGGATTTGTATCTACATCACTTCCAGTTGATTAAGTTGGTTAAGGGTTTGTTTAACCCCCTTCAGATTGTACACATTGATTATCAATATATTAACAAGAACCTTCAGCCTTGGAGCATCCAAATGAATTTAAGCCTAACTCATTGCATTGCATATTCTTGGTTATAGAATTAACACATCCCTTAACCAATGACGAGTATCTACAAACTTCCCCACCATACAAGACATAAGAACAGGCTTTATAATTGGCATACACTAGACTCAAACATGGAAGTGTTTGGATGTCTTTTGGATTTTCTATCTAAACACATTAATCTCTGCTCCATCTACAAGCTACTCCGATTGTTGTGATAGATGAACAGCCTATTTTATTTAATCCCAAGGCAATATCATTGCACGATATAGTTCTCAATAGTTCCAAATCCTTCTGCTTCTTTATTATTTCCTCTTTGGTAGCATATGGACCAACTTCAATGTTTAATACTACACATTTTTGTTTTTGTTGATCAAAATAACAACCCACCTTCTGGTCAGATTCAAATACTTAAGAGCATGCAATTGGATTTGCACTCCCCAAATTATTGCAAGTAGTTATCTATTGTAACACCTCAACATTCCTACAACCTTGCATCGTCCATTAACATGCTTCATCCTTTTTTACGATACTGAGACAACCAATTTTATTTATAAAAGGAGTGTTGCATCTATCAGTAATAGAACTCTCTATGCATAAATTAGTCTATGCATTGTATTTGCATTTCTTCTAATAATATGAGATGGCCTAACAAACATTTCCATTTACTCTTGTTTTACTATTCTCTACTTTTAATGGACAATCGTAATCTTAATTCATCACTCTTCTTTCGCAATTATTCCCATTCCAAAAACAATATTAGAAATGAGTCTTAATATTAACACAAGCCTGTTTATTCAGATCCATGTGACATTGAAAAAAATTAAGATCTAATTCCGATAACTCCTAGCATTTTCCATGGACAAATGTACAATTTTAATTAATAACTGATAAACAAGCTATCTTTGACAATCCTGGAGTATTGCATTAAAGATTGTTGATATGATAATTTTGAATAATCACACATTTAGATTGACTCTCATCATATTAACATAACCCAGTCGATTTTTAACAAACAGAAGTATTTACCTGATTTTTTGTTACGCACACTTATCCTGTTTCATATTTAAAGGTTCTACATTGTTTGCCGAACCATTCACATTATAAATCATTGTTTTTATTAGACAAACATGCTGATTTACTTAGCTTCTGATCACAGGATTAGATGTCTGATAATTTTAACTCTTAACATTTTCCATTCCTAAAAGTACCTAATTTTCATTATTAAATACAATATTGATCTATCTTATTCAGCGCATAACAGCCTTCCTCATTTAAGCCTATTTCATTGCATGACAATTATGATAATTGCTCTGATCGTAATTCAATACATTCGAAATCTCCCCCACTCATACCTATCATAATAGAACTACTTACATTTAGCTGAAGGTATCTAAGAACATGTGTGAGGATTCACTGGTGTTAGGAAGATATTACATAATTAAGAGTCACTATAATCAATTCCCTTTGTTTCTGTGCATCTTTAATTCTCCCAAGTGCAGGAGTAATTCTCAACTATTAAGCAAGCGTATTTGTTGAACATTTCTGAACATCCAAATTATTACAATTATATCTCCTTTGCATTCATACATTTCTCTTGGAAAAAACCTATTATATAATTTCACCATATATCTACAATACACTCTATTATTAAGATAATCTGTCAATTGATTTACACAGGCCTCCCTATTCAATTATTCCGAACATCCTTAATTCGTTTGTTAGTTCTCTGAACACTTATTATTGAAATAATCATATTAGCCTATCATATCAAAGTTGGATTACATCGAATATTTTTTGTTTCTTAAATACAACCTACAAGAGAGTGTTGATAAATATTGCATTTATCATTTGACTCAACGCACAAAGATAAAATAGCAATCATTATCATTATATTAAATAGATTGGTTTTCTTTTCTCTCATTTTAATTCTAATAATTAATGATTCAAATATTATATAAATTATTTAATTATTTTTCATTTAAATTCCTATCATTACTTGATTTAGGTAGATAAATATTTAGATCTAAAGTAACATATATTATCTTTAAAAAATATTGTTAGATTACAATAATTTTTAGATATAACACACAATAAATTCGAATGTTACGGATTAATATAATAATAAATTCAGGGAATTATCCATTTATATTTAATTCCCATTAATTTATAATAAATTTACTATAATGATCTTAACAGTTATAATTAAAGTTCTAAATATCTCTTTATTATTCATTCTAATTTACATTTTCCAATTAATACAATCTCAGATTTTTGACTAATATTATTCCTTTAGAACCACTGATGGAAGGTAAAATAGCTTATCCTGTTGCTTATGTTGCTAACTCTTTAAATGATTACTCTTTTAATTTATCTGATCTATCTTTTATTATTAATAAATTATGGCTTGATTATTTAAGATTTTATTTTATTTTCTTTAAATTCATTTTTTAAAACATTTAGTATCTTTATTATGAGATTTTGAGTAATTAATATCAAAAATTAGTTTTGAACTACAGTTTTTGCATAGATTAATTTCTTCATTAATGGTAAGTGAAACTGCAAATGATAATTAGATTTCAATACTTTTAAGTGAGTTAGAAAATATTTCTAGAATGAAAACTGATAATTGAAATAAATAATATTTATTATACTTAATCATTAATTATTTTTATTTAATGCCTTACAGAATCCCTTTGATACACAATAACAACAAGCCCAATCTGGTTTGACCTGCTACCGATAAATTGACAATTGATGTCCTTAATGACAAAAGTCCTTGCAAACTTAGCACACCCAATGTATCTTACATTATTGACAACTATAGTAATCCACTAATTTATCTTTATTAAATTTAAATGTAATGCATTCCTGAGGTTATTAGCTCTTTAAACTGATGTCACTAATAACAACAATAATTGAGCCTTGCTTAACCTGACCCAAAGATGCCAAAAATATCTCACTATTCATAGGATAAATTTGATATTATTGAGATATAACATCAAGATCCTTATTTAATACTGACTGGCTAATCTTGTAGAGATCTTAAGGTTTGCAGAATATAATTTTTAATTTCGATGGGTCGAAGTTCTAGATGGGATCATTTTTTTTATCAAAGTACTGGAAAATGACTTCCGCGATTGAACTAATTCTATTGTTAACCTTAAATGGCCAAGGAAATTATGCATTCTGTCTTGGTAACACAATTTATATTAGAATCTAAACAGTTGTTACAATTCTTACATCAATTTATTCACATTTAAATTATTCTAATGATTTATATACGCATTCTGCATAATAATCTTTGAGTTATTTAAAGCTGGTTTCAATTTGTTTCACTGCCTCTTTATAGTTATTGTTGATTTATTCTTTGACATGATCCTATTTTTATGACTCTAATTAGATTACTTCCATGGCTGCATCTAACCTTTGTGTATAATCAATTTTAAGTTCCTATTATCGAGCTTTGTATTCATCAATCGCATCAATATATTTGCTCTCATAAACATTGTACATTTGCTAGACTGCATTTTTAAACATCTCTTTTATTTTATTGATTTACATCTGATATCATTTTATAATCAGGCAAGAAAGCATTCGTATTTTAGTCTCCGAATACATTGTTCACTTTATGGTTTAATTATTATTTTTTCTGCTCCTCAATGATTTCTAATGTGAATCAACAAAATACATTTGATTTGATTAATTTGATTATTCTTATAGATATCTGTCTTATTTAGGTCTAAGTTGCACAAAGGGCATTTATGGTATCTGTTGATGACTTCTTCGATGCAATTCTTTTTTAAATGTTTCAATTCATACATAACAAAAGCTATGACCGCATTTTGTTAGAAATGGGTTATTGAATTCATTGATACACACAGCACATTGTAGCTGTTTGATAATTAAGTCAGCCTACGAGAAGAATGTAAATATACATTGATCATGAAATCACCTTAATGTTACATATTAATTAAATATATTAGTCATAATCAAAAAACTCTTTGATTTTTCCATTTGATCATATCTTCATCTTTATATTCAAAGCCATACAAAGAATAGTCCAATTTAATTTAAGATTGTGTTAACTAAGATAGATTAATACCATTCATTTGACTCATCTAATGGAGGTCTCTTCAAAGGTGGTTCAAATAAATTTAAAGTACTTCTCCCAGTTCTCACACTTCCATCTTGTTTTACAAATATTATATACGACCAACCAATGACTTCATAATCTCCCATAGTCATAGTAGTATTGGCTCTACCTTTGGAGGCATTCTTTTCGACCACTTAAAATCCAAGATAAATAGTCTAATTAATATCAATAAAAAGTATACTTTTCCAGAACTCATGGCTTACTTTTGAAAATTGTAAAAAAATCTATATTCTTCGTTGAATTCAATCAAAATTGATCCGGCAGCTTTGTTACTGATTCCTTTCATTTAAAGATCAGCCTCAATAAGTGGAAATGGATTAGATTCTACACTTTAACCTGAATTAGGACTACTAGCATCGTGAATAGTAGTGTTAAATGCTAGTGGTTATCCACTTGGATCCAACATCAAATGTTAATCAGTTAATGCTGCACATATGACTCTCATAAAATTATTGGCTATTTTATTCTGAATGTGATGTATCTATATTCGATACCCTTTCTTTGTGTCTCCTCTTAAGACATATTATTTAGTTTATGGAGTGGGATTTCTTTTGTTTCCAAACACTGCTACTTCTTCAGTCACTTTGTAATTTTAGCCATTTAAACTCAATTCCCCATTATCTTTATTGTTTTATTCCTTGCCTTCAATGGCAGCTTCATAATTTCTATCAAGTAAGCTTCTCAAATGAATATATGGAATATTGTATTCCATGGCAGTTTATTCAGGATAAATTGATCTGACTTATCTTAAATCTTCATCATTTGGATAAGTAATTCTCATATGGAACAAAGCATTTGGAATGGGTTCTAATTTTGCAATATTCTATGTAATAGAAGCATCTGTAGGTCGTTTGTATAATGGACACTTGAATTGCCTCTTTTCAGTTGTCTTTATTAATCAAATAAATCAATTTATGTCCATCCATATGATTGAGTTTTACCAGTATTCTCCTCCAATTTCTTACTGACAGGTAATTGCACTTCCTCTATCAATAATACTTCTGGATGAGCAGGTATTTCGTGTAATTGATTAGTCTCTCTAATTAATACACGATTTGAACTCTCTCCTTCTATCTCACAATCATATGGTTCTATAAACTTTGGTTAATTTAATATTTGCATATTGTTAAAAACTGCAAAAACAAATTAAGCAAGTTTTGTTTTCCTTGGTAATCCCAATGGATTACTAACTCTTCAGCTGGATCATATAAGTGACCTTCCTTTCTCACTTCTCCAAAATCATTCCTTAATCTATTTTCTATAATAAATTTTCTTTAATCATCAACCCATTTATTAATCTCAAATTCTTTATCTTTTTGTCTTCTTTTCTTCTCAAAATTCCTTCTTACTCTTTATAATCGTTGCACTTAAATAATCTTTTCCATTTCTGCTCTCATAGTTGACAATTCTTTATATTATTCCAACTTAAATCTATAAATTTCAGTTCCTATGGGAATTCTAGAAATCATTCTCAAAGAGTCTACTTCTTATGCTTATAAATTCATCAATATTTATTCTTCTCTTGTTAAATCAAATCCTCTCACATTATTTTATAAGAAAAACTCCTTCTTTCTTGAAAATTATTAAAATGGATCATTGAAATCTTTCTTCTTTGGTTTATTTGATTAAATCTCTTATTATTAGAGATTAATAAACATAGGTTATTATTAAAACATTTACACTGGCTGTTATTACTATTAAAATTAAATAGGTTATTATAATTATGGTTATTATTATTATTATTAGTTTAATTACTATGGTTATTAGATTGCTCCTTTATAAAATGATTCCAAATTATTTACATCATTTACAAATTTTTAATCCTATCCACCTGCCTATTAGTAATCGTTCTTCAATTATTGTAGTTCATCTATAACTTAATTTGACAAATGAGATTAAGGTCTCGATGTTTTTAATCTATCAGCTCTTTCCATTTATTCTCTTTTCAATTGTTCCAATCTCTAAGCATCCTAAGCTATCTTTTCTTTCATTCTAGCAATCTCATCATAATTCTAAGTAGTTCTTATTTAACTTTAATCATTCAATATTGATTAACTATTACGTATACTATTCATGGATGATTGTCTTCTCCTTACTTCTCCAAAAATCTCCTAGTTTAATTCTCTCCAAATTATCTAAAATTCTATTTCACTCAACATCCATATATTTTAATCTAGTATGTAATTTAACTAATTATAATTTTGCATCTGAATATTAGGTTGATGCTATTATTCTATTATCAGTAGCCCTTTATGCCTATTCCATTGAAAACAATGTCTTGTGTCCTCTTGTAAATGATCTGATATCGACTATTAATTATAATTATTTATTTTTCAAATCCTTTCTTTCTAATAGGAGTTTATCAAGCATTTATTTCTTTTACTCTTCCAATACAGACATCTTCCATGAGTCCATCTCATTGATCAATTTACGTATTTGTTTTTTTTCAATTCTACATTAAAATTCTCTCCCCTTCTTTAATTCTACTTCTTGTAACAGTATTGAATAGATGTGTTCATCTTAATCATTAACTACTCTCATTTATTATCTATCTACTTTAGTCTATCAATTTAATCAATAAATTCATCCTCTTTCTTTCTCAGAACCGCATTTTCTAATCTTTTAAAATCACCATCATTAGTTTTGAGATTAGATCTGATTTAGTCCTGATTTATTAAATCTACATACTAATGTGTATCCACCATAATTCTTAAGTGATGATGGATCCTATTATTTTAGATTAGGTTTCATTTCTGGATATGCAGATTTTGTAGCATATTCATGTTTCTGTTCCAATTTATTTAAATTAACATATTCAGAATTAACACAAAACTATCATCAATTTATGCTTTAATACTCTTTTAATATGGTTAGCTAATTATTCACTTAATTCAAATGTCATTTTACAATCCTTGCATATATTCTCATTCATTAATAGGAATGAAAATATAATTAAATTTTATTTGATAATGAATCAATAATTAGATGACTCAAAAGAAAGCGTCAAATCGCAGTCACTAGAAAGATATCTCTAAATTGAATCTACTAAAAATTCCTTGTCTCCAGTCAGGTAAGTATTCACTGCCAGAAACACTTCAGACTCTTCAATACTAAAACTGCAAAATGGGAAATTTTCTAATTCCTAAGCAGTCTTTCAGGATGCACTTAATAAGAAGAAATGTGAACTCACCAAGAAGCCACAAAAGCCAGTCATTGAAATGCCTAAGAAATCATTTCCTTAACCATAAAAACAAGTGAAAAGTAACATATGCATCTATAATATAGAATTTGATAAAGTGTAATAAAATATCAAGTAATCACAATTAAAGTCGGAGGAAGTAAAAAAGAAAAAAGAGCAATAGAAACAAAAAGAGCAGGAGAAGTAGAAGAATGAAGCAGTCTTAGAATCCGATGAAGGTAATACTTCAAATATATAATATGACAGCATTTTTAGAGACTGTGAATAGATTGTATGATTTTGAGAAAAGAAGAACAAAGTAATTGTAGAAGATGGTGGATGAAGAAAAAAACAAAGAGAAACAACAAACTATAGCAAGACCATTTATCAATTAAAAAAGTTGTATTCTATTGGACAGAAAACTAAAATAGTTGATTGAAGAAGACGAATCATATAAATAGATATGTCAATTTAAGGATATGGCTGTTTAAGCTGATTTATTACCAAATCTTCCAAAAATAAAGGACTTTCAAATTATTAAGTATTGTATCACATTTATGAAAGCCAAAAAAATATTAATCTTACTAAATCATAATAACAGATTGTAATTGTGATGGATTAAGAATTAAAGGAAGAAGCAGAAGTAGCTGAAGATGTTTAATATAAGGAGGATCAAAGTCATAAGGTCGTTTAAACTAAAGAGATAAAATATAAAGTGAGTGACACTATCAAGAAATAGGAATCTGGATAATAGCCAGCAGAGACTAAACAATTTTAAGAGAAGGAAACACCAAAAAAATAGAAAGTTAATAATTAACGATAGAAGAGACAAGAAATTATGGAAACTTAAGTATAGAGAATTAAAACTGAATGTGAATACTATGTGCCTATTCATATCAGATAACAATAAATAATACAGAAAAAGCAAGAATGGGTCTAGTAATAATAGGAAATGAAGAAACACCATGAGAAAGAATAAGAGAAATAGTTTTAAGAATAATGGGAAAAGGAAAAAGAGAAATTCAAGAAAAATAGTGTTTCTGAAGTGAATGTGGAGGAATTTGTTAATCAACAAATCAGTTGGTTGGAGAAGAGAAATGATCATATCTTGACTGAACAAATAAAGAAGGATAAAGAGACTGTCCAATAATTGACATTTAAACCATAAATTAAGAGAAGAGGAAATAACAATAATGATAAAAATGATAAAGTAGAGTTGAGATTGTTAGATTATCAATAGAAGAAACAAGAAAACTTAATGAAATTAGAGAATAAGTACTTACCAACATTTAAGCCTAATTTGACACAGAAATCAGTAATTAATTATATTATTCTTAGTTATTAAGTATGGATTGGGCTTCCAAAAGCTTTAGCAATGCTTCGTTTAACAATCTTTGGTCGTGAATGTATATATTAATTTAATTAATATTATTCATTTTTTATATAATTGATTCTTAAATATTCATGTTCAAAATTGTTTACTTCTCCATTTTATCATGAGAATTACTTCTGAAATATCTACAGAGACTAAAATAATCTACTTAGATTTCTAAAAATTATTAAAATAATATAAAGAGATTGTAAAAATATAAAATGGCTGATAAAGAGCAAATAACAATGCCTAATTTAAATTTTAGTATAAAATCGCCAAATAATATATTAAGCATTTCAAAATATGTAGAATATTAAATTTAGCGAACATTTGACTCTATAAAAACACAGATCCATGGAATAATTATTAAAATCTCCTGGAATTCAAGAACTGATCAAAGATTCTATACAATCAGTTTTAAATAATCCTAATCATATCACATCCTATAGATATCAATATCAAGAGAAATCTGAAAGTCCAATCCCTTCTTCGTAATTACCTTAACTAGAAAGGTACAATAATACAAATGTTTTGAAGTAAATCCACCAACTTAAAAAGAAGAAGAGTAAATAAATTACTAATAATAGATGGCAATTCTCCAAAAACTACTAAACAATCTTACAACCTCCATTAGAAGTTTAAGTAAGGTCGTTATCTATAGATGTTTCCATAGGTTGATGGTTAGAATACCTTGAATATATAATCAAAGCCTATCCATGTGATAAGTATTATTGAAATTAATAATAGAGAGGATTAAATTGCAGGAAGCATTTCTAAATAATTCTATGGACTCTAAAGCAGAGAGAGACATTATTGAAAAGTTGAAATTGAAGATGGAAATGGACAAACAGAACAGATTAAATGAAATTGAAACAGTAAAGGCCTTGAAATTAATAGAGCCTCGCAAAAACTCGTAATTGCTTAAGACATCTAGAAATTCCAAATATGAAAATATCTCTAATATGTCTGGCTTTTCTTTATCACAATAGATGCCTTAATTGGCAGGTCCTGTTACATTATAACCATTATAATAATAATTATAAGGGTAAAAATAAAAAATAAAAAAATAAAAAAAGTTTGATGGCATTTACTTTATTGATCCAAAATATCCCTAAGATGTTGTATTCTAAGAAAAATATGCTTCAATGAGACATTATTTTAATATTTTAAATCTTTCAAATTGCATATTTGTTTAACCAACAGTAAACATTTATAAGGCATATGTTGGAAAAGGAAATAACGGTATGTTGATTAGATAAATATTAAAATCTCGATGGTGGTGGAGTATATAAGATGAAATGGAAACCTGTCATTTTGTATGGACCCAATTAAAAGTGAATTCTATTCATGAGAATATGAAATCATTGATCCGAAATCCAAATGAATAAAATACATGTTAAAGTGCATCCTCTTCAATTACGACAATAGGATCATTGGGATTAAATAAATAAGATGATTAAAGTGATAATGAATAACAAATTAAATATAATAAAATAGAACACTCTCAATGGAATAAGTTTTTTTCTCTTAATGAGATAAGATAATTTAGCCAAATATTAAATGCCAAAGGAAGATCTTCGAAATTATTAACTATAGAATAAGCTTCAAATATAAAGATGAAATTAACGATATATAATGAGCCAATAAAAATGCACAATCATTTGGAAAATAATTTTCATTTGGGTAATAAGAAAGCTTTGTTTTACAACATGAAGGCTTACTATGAATCATAAAATATCAACGTATTCGACAATTTGCCAGTCACATATCATATTAAAAGTTAGGATGGGCCAGAATATTCTTAATTTTTAGAGGCCTACAAAGAAAGATAGTAATTGATAACTTTTGAATAGGACAAAAGAAGAAACATTTGGATTATAAAACCAGGAGAAATTACAAATAGAGGCAATGGTATAAAGATTTCAGAGGATTTGAATGAAATATAGTCTATATTAAATTCAAAGGAGATACACAAAAATGGAAGCTATAAGACATTCATAGTGTAATTGTATATTGATCGTCCCTTTCTTTATAATAAACGAAAGTTTGATATCAGATGTTACAGTTTATATGTTTCTATAAATGGAAATCAAAAGGGGTATTGGTATACCGAAGGATATGTTAGAACATCAAGCAAGGAATTCTCGATGAAAAATTTGACAAACAAAATGATTCATCTCACTAATGATGCTGTATAAAAGAAAGGAGAGGATTATGGAAAATATGAAAAAGGTAACAAAGTGAGTTTTGAAGAGTTTGCTGTGTATATTGAGAATTTAGGAGGGGATTTCACAAAAATTAATTAAAAAATGAAAGTATAACTTTTTTGTAGTTTATATTTTAGTAAATGGCAACTGATTAATTTAGAGCAGTTTATGGTAAAATGGACTAGAATAAAAAGGAGAACACTTTCGAAATATTTGGATTAGATTTTATGATTGATGAATCATTTAAAGTTTTAATGATCGAAGCAAATACTAATCCATCCATTGAAATTTGCTGTCCGCTTTTGTCAAAGTTGATTCCTCAAATGCTAGATAATGCGTTCAAGTATTTAATGATATAACTGAAAGAATATGTTTAGATCCAATATTTCCACCTCCTAATTTTTACAATCCTAAAAAGATAGTGTGTGATAATTATCTAGATAATAAGTTTGAATTGGTTTTTGATGAAGTTACTGATGCACCACTTTTAAATTAAAGTTAATAAAATTGTAATATCATATTTGTTTATAGTAAAAGATGATATTGGTCTAATTGAAGAGGAATCTGAAGAGGAAGAACCTTAATGATTAAAATAATATTAATTTTAAATTATTACTTGAAATGGGAAATTGCTGTCATATGAAGGTTACAGAATATGCAGATACGGAGCCTCATTCGCAAACTGTCTATTAATTCAACTTCAATTCTTTAAAAGTCAAAGAAATAAGATCTAAATTTCTAAGAAGGAAACATAAGTTTGAAACGGACTTAATAAATATATCAGACAAAAATGAGTAAATTCAGACTATTACCAACTCCAAATAATCTATCAAATCTAACAAAACCATTACTTCCAAAATAAAGAAATCAATAAATTCATCTACCCATACCAAAACTTTTTTATTTGAGGATGATGACTACTGATAATCAAATTACTAAATTACCTAACATTAAATTTACATTCTCCTCTTCATTATTATTATATTTATTTTAATTATGTATAACAACAATACAGAAAAAAACATTTACAGTCCTGACAATCCATAATTCAAATAAAAGGTTTACGAACTCCAACTTATTATGGAATAATGCAAATATACCAAAAAGTAGCTTCTCTTTATATCCAATATAGAAATAAAGTCATAGATGATGCTAAAATTGTTCTATTAAATTATAAGGAATTGAACCCAACTTTGACAGCCATTAATATTACTATGCTAGAATTATAAGGAAACAGTATTTATTAATTTATATTCAGTTCCCATTCCATACAATAATAGCATCTTCTCAATCTTTATACATTTAAGATTTCAAACCTCTCATCCTGAAGTCTAACCCTTCATTTTCCTCAAAAACGTGGATCGTACTTTAAATATTTATATTTTAGCTAATAAATTTGATGCTAACCCTTTATATAAGTCGGCTGAAATACAAAATGGATTGTATATTACTTTTAATAATTTCATTCCCTCCATCAAGAATTGGAATAAGAATTATAAAATTGTATCAATTCTATGCTAATTAGATCGATTTTATGTTGGAAGTACAATAAGCCTTGTCCAGGAATTTTCCTTTTTTCCTCAAAACAAATCCTTACAATTAGAATCAATCTTAATACTAATATAACCCTTAATAGATGATGAGTTAAGTGAATTAATCATAATTTAATAATTATGGACTTTGGCAATCTTAAATGTAATAGCCACAATATGTTTAACAATAGTAATAACCTCAATAAAATCCTTATTCTTAAATATAATAAATCCCATAATCGCAACAGCAATAATAATAATAATAATAATCTCAGTTTATTTAATAAAAGGACTAACCAAAAAAGAAGTAGCAATAAGAAGAACCAGGAATGGCTAATAAATTGATATCAATAAGTGCATCTGTTTTTGAATTCGGAAAGGAATTGTTTATGAGTTAAGAAGCAAAAGAGGAGAAAATAAAAACTGAAATCAAATCCAAAGTGGATATTGAATTATTTAATCAATCTAAGAAACTCATGGATTCAATTAGATAGTAAAAATAATTAACTGATGTTTTGACAGAATAATATTAACAACAAACGAAAGTAATGAGGGAGATTCAATTAAAAGATTAAGAGATAAATTCTAGTATCTATGAATTAGACTAATAGATGATCTAAATGGAACATAAAATAGAAGCTTGTGTAACCACAATCAGCAAATTAGAATAAAACAATATTGAAGAGTAATTATAATTTAATATATACAGATTAATGTAGACAGATCCTCTTAGTAATTAGATTATAGATTTGACAAGTGAGATTCAAGCCTAAAAGGAAGGGTTGTATTATGTTTAGAAGAAATTTAGACATTAAAATTTAGATTATGATTAATTAATCAAAATAACTAGATAAATGAGTTAGTAGATGTTCGATCAATATTTATTATTGAAAAAATGTGTTACTAGTAAATAATGAATAATTTTATTAATTATAATTATTTAATATATTATAGATCATGGATGTGATTCTTATAATAAGAATAATTTTAGAATAATTGTTTAATATTCATTTAACAACAATAACAAGTTAATATAGATGATACTATTTTTAGAATTGTGTAAGAAATCAGTCTAAAGTGTAAAAAGTATCCTTTTTTAAATGAAATTAATTAATTTAAGTTAGAATCTTATTTATTAGAAATATAAATATATATTATTGAATGAATTGAATGCATTATGTTATTTTTGATAATAATAATCATCATAAATAATAGAATGATGATCTTAATTTATTTATTGGTTCTGTTTAGAGGATCTCTACTAAGAACTTGATCATTTTTTAACAATTCTTTACTATTGCAGGTAATTTAATAGATCCTGTCCAATTTTAATAATTGTAGCATTAGCCATAAACGAAGTCCTATAAACTCTAAATCTCTGATATACCTATAATTATTCCATTGGTATTTTAATTGTATCATAAATGATACGATACAATATTGGTCTTGGACAACCTCTTGAACTATAAACAGGAACCAAGATAAATTCATAGTTTTTTGTTGTTATTTCACTATCAACAACTGTTCCAGCGGGTGCATTAAAATATTGGTCTCTCTCTTCTCTAAACAATTTAGTGATATTTGTATTTTAAATATTGATAATAATGATTTAATCTCCAAATTAACATAACTAGTTTGCAGCCAAAACAATTTCTCTGGTTTCATATTATAATAAATGAGATATTGATTCTTCACTTAAACCATCTCTAAAGTATATGATTTTTTGAGGGAAACAACCATTTTCTTATTTGAATTACAAAAAAGATTATTTCATCATGTCCCCAATATCTTTAATTAAACATTTTTCAACAATTTTAGTACTCATTTAACTGTAGTATCTTGAATATGTTTTATCTAGACTTGACAACATACCAGCAAATTTACCTTTTTCGATGATAACACTCACAATCATAATATTATCAGGCCATTTCTAATATAATTTACACAGATACCTAAGGTAATTGAACAGTCCATAAACAATTTCCAACCTTATCCATCATTTAAATGGCTAATTTTTGAATTATCGAAAACAATCCCTTTTTTTATTTTGAAATAGAATCACTGGATACCATTTAAGTAAGAACACCGAATTTTTCAGACATGCACATTTTCTTTAATGGAGCATAGCAATTTTTCATGTATCTATTCAGTACAATAACAATCATATTAGTTGTATGTGGTACATTTCTCATAATTGTTTATTCGATTTCAGCAATATAGTTTTATCTTTGTCCACTTAAATAATGACATTTAGTTTGCACTCCCATTTTGATTCCATATTTTTATATTAATTCATGAATATTCTAGGTGAATTCCTCACAATCGAAATCGTATGGTGATATTATGGCAATTCTAACTTCATATCTCTTAATAAAAGCAGATTGATTGTTACAATTAAACGAAAAGTTTTCTTTGTCTCCTTAAGGCATCACATTTTGATTTCCAAATACTATATTAGGAGGTCTAAGTTATTTTGCTTTTACATATTAAGGAGTACTATTGATATCAATACCAAATTCTTCTTTTAATTTTTACATGGTTAATCCTGTTTAAGGTTAACGATTGATTAAATCAAATAACATTTTCTTTATTTTTTCAAATCTATCTTTTGGATTTGTCTAACACTCTTTTTAAATCTGTTTTCTTGTGAATTCATTTAAATTATCTGGAACCCCTGCCATAATACATAATTCGGCCACCAAATAGACTTTTCTATTGGTTTTTGTATCTTCAATCACTAATAAAGGTGCTTTCTTATTCTTGATATCATAATTATATCTTTATTTAAAATATTGGTCCATTGTTATAAATTACTGCTTCCCTTTTGAGTCTGCTAACTCTATAGAATATTCCGCCGTATTTTGGTCAAATAATAAATTGTCAACTGAATAAGTTCTATATGTTCCATAATTGGCAAGTACCAATTGTTTGGTCATTACATGTGTGACATACTTCCTTAATTCCTCTTTCGGTAATCTAATTCTATAACTCTCTGCATTACTTATTCGATTGTTCTTTCCAAATTTAATCAATATATTATAATACTGTGGTTGTTCTGATAATTCTATGACTGATATCAATTTTAAAACTAAATCCCTGCTCATTAGTTTAAAAATTGACAGCAAAACCAGGTATTACTGATAATTCGGTTTCTGGAATAGGTTATCTTCTGGATATATCCTTGATAATAAGTAGATTTCATTACATGAAACTTTCTTGTTTTTCCATGTTCTTAATATTTTAAATTTTTGAAGAAATCTTTAATCAAGTAGTTAAAAAACATCAATGGTTTATCAGCTTCTATTGGATTGGGATTTTCTAAATCTTGCATGTTAATAACTTTAACCTTTTTGATTTCTAAATAGTAATCATAACTATTTAAACATAAAAATAAAAAAACTTACTCCTCAAATTTGATAGGCTTTTCCAATTTAAAATTAAATGTTGAAGATTCTTTGCTTCCTATTATTGTATTGCTATAGTAGACAAAAGGTCCTAAATATTCTCTCAGAGCATCTTCTTAACTTTTGATAATCTCTCTCTTTAGGTTATTATTTTATCTAAACTCTAATTGAAAATTGTTACGGATCTATAAATGGTAAGAATTTCACTGAATAAACAACTATGATTCCGTTTCTTTTGGACCGAACACTAAAGTTATTGGTCACCAAATTGATTTCTCTAAATTACTATGGATAATTTGGACATTTGGGAGGTCTTTTAGGCAAATCTTTAATATAAGTTAACTTTAGATATTAAAATTTGGTTACTTGTCTCTTCCCTCTGGCTGTTTGAGGTATGTTGGACTCAATCTTGACATTCTAATCACTTCCCTATTTGTCATCTGTGGATTCTGTCTTTTCAGTCTTCCTATCTCGTCTTTGACTGTTCGACCTTGATCTGGATCTTAGTTTACTAATAAAATAAGAATAAATTAGGATCTTTACGAAGAACTGCGAGAACTATTGGAACTTGTAGTATGTTTTTAAGAGCTTTTTTCAATATTCATATGAATGGAACATTTTTAGATTGATTTTCACTTTATACTACAATAGTACTAAATATTTAGAAGATTATTTAAGATGCGAATTTTATATATATGCTGTGTGGAAGAATAAAATAAAATCATTTATCCACACTATCCCTTATAATGGTAATAGTATTATAGCTAATCTAATCTTTCCTCTTGATTCTCTTCATCAGGAAATCTAATTATTATTTAATTGGTTCATTTATTTCTATCTTTTATTCATTATGCATCAAAAACATAGTTTATATCAATGACTTAAGTACAATATCATAAATATACTTACAATCAATTAAGCATCAATCAAGAATTATTTGTTCTTTAACTCTTGGAAGAAGGAAGAATTAAAAAATTCAACTACATTTTCAGTATCCTTCTCATCAATATCTCTAAAATCTGATTATGAACATTTATCAACCATCTCACTAGGATAATCTGTTTGTGTTGATTTCTCTTATGGAAGATCTTGCAATATTTGATGATCAATAATCTAGTCTTTTGAAGTTAATAATGAGAATGATGATATTGGTTGGTTCTCTTCGTAATCTAAGATATGAATTTTTGAAACTGGAAAATCTGTTTAATATTAATTATTCTAAATTTATTGATTTGCATATTCCGTCACCATTTGATTTAATCTCACATTTTATTAGTGACTTTAATTCCATTTGATAATAATATCTTCAAATTCTAGTTCATCTTCTTTATTTTCAAAATGTATTTTATTGCGTAAATTAAGATATTTACTTTTAATTATTGGGTTAATATCATCATGATTCATACTAGGATTTTCTATGAAAGAATCAAAAACACTTAATTATCGATATTTCTTAATAGATTATATTAGATACATGAAGTTAACTAATGACAGTATTCTAAACCTAATATTCAATGTTCTAAAGGCCTGAGAGAAGAAATGACTCATTTTGAGGAATTATCATTATGAAGTGAGTTTAATTTAATTAATTTTATAAAATTTATCATAGTTTGTATGTAATTGATTACAATTATTCATAATATAAACTAGAATTCTTAAAATCTAAAGAGCACAATTAATTAGATGTAATAAAATGTAATCAACTTGTATTTAATGTGCCCAAAGCATTTTAATATGAATATTCAAAAATTTATTTGCCAATAAATACAATATATTGAAAACTTATAGGTGATTATTAATTTATTATTATATTAAACTAACGAATTAATGAGTTAACATAATAGTAGAATAGATCATCATTTTCTCTCACAATAATATGGTACTAATTATTATTTAGATAATAGAATCATTCAATTAATTAAATAAAGAAAATATATTTGATGAAGTCAATAGGATGATCGAATTATATAAAAGTCAGAATGAACTAAAAAGTAATTGTCATTAAGTATTCCATTAGAAATCAAATAGTAGAAACACTTATCGCCTTAGAAATTAATCTATTCACTGTTGACCAAAACTAACACAAAAAATAAAAATAAAGTTAGTCTATCATAAAATATTGGATAAAAGAAGTTGACTCAATCCCCTATTTCCATTAAATAAAAATCATTGCCATAATAGTCTTTGCAATGCTCATTTCATTAACCAAAAAAAGTAAGCATTCTATTAATTGGAGGCTTAATTTTTTGATTCTAATTTGAGAAATCAAAATAAAATTAATTGTTAAGAATTTTCCATCTTGAATTGCAAGAATAGTCAAAAGTTGAACGTCATTCACCACAAGAATTCTCTTACAGAAAATCTATCCATTAATTAGCCCAATTATAAATCATTATGTGAAGATGCCTTCTCCATAGAATATGATGAAAATAATGAAAATTAATATAAACAACAATAGTTAGACAATTTTTAGTAGGCCATCAAATCCTTATTGAATGAATGCAATAATATAGTTTAGATATCTCAAAGCAACGATTATGAAATAAAATACAATAGTTTACAATATTAATTGGAATAAATGTTAACATCAATCAACAAGAAATCATTGAAGCTTGTTAATTAGTTATAATTTAATGAAAAAGCATAGTAACTATCTGATATTCAGGAAGAATTAAACTCAATCTAGGTTGACATTAATTAGAATGAATAAAACATCTTGACCAATATGTAGATTAAACCTTTTAAGTATTTTATTATTGTAATCATTCTAGGTATATAATGAGAAAATACAAAGATAAATTATCTGGATATCATTAAATTATCAAAAGTAATGAATTCAATCAATAGAAATAATTCATAGATGAAAGATTAAAATAATTAAGTAAAATTAAGACAATGCTAAATAATTATTTCAATCGTTAGAATCAATTGGATTCAATATCTTAATCATAATAATTAAGTTCTCGAAGAAAAATTAAAAATAGTAATGTATATATTTCTTTTGAAAACAAAGAAATGTTTTAGATAGCAGCCTAAAGTGAATAAGGATATTTATTGGAGTCTCCAAATTTTATTCAAATTTGATTATGACTATCATTACAGCTAAATTTTATAATAATAAATATTAACTTAATATTGAACTTAGTCCAAATTTTATAATAATTTATAATTTGATTATGAGCTTTATATTTACTAAGCTAATAAATGTAAGATCGAATGACAAGACAATATATTAAAATTAGTAGATTGGATGAGTATGAAGAGACCAATAAATAATATATTTGTAACACGTGCAATTAATTATATTCTAATTATATAAATTAAAAATACCATTATTTATGGAATAAGAGAGCTAAGAAATCAGATCTGCATTCCCAGAATATCTCACAAATACCCAAGAAGACGGTGAACATGTAGCGATTAATACATAATTGTAAGCTCGACTAGTGTTTGTAATAATTCGAAACATTGATCAATAATTACAAAGATGAACAAAATATCTTATCTGCGATAGAATCAAAGATTACTATGGTTATTAATTAAACTCCATTGTCATCAATAATTGATTGTTATGTTAACATTTCTAAAGACTATAATTTATAAGTAATGATTATTTTGAAAATAGACTAAAATGTATAGAGTATCTAAATTCCATGATTAAAAATATTTGCCTCAAATTCCAATATTAAATCAATATCTGGAAAACAAGATTAAAAGTCTACCTTGGCCAGTTATTGGTGATGTAAATTCTAATCAATTATAAGAATAATTGATCAAACTCTATAATTTTAACTATGGGAGAATAGCATAGCATGAATTATTGTTATTATGGTTTCCATCATTGATAAAACCATATTTTAATGTGCTAGATGGTTTATTAAATACTCAAACAAAGTTATCATAAGATGAGAAATACTATTTTGCAATAATGGTAATCAGTTTTTGATAATTTGAATAGGGAGCTGCTGCATCAGGGAGCGATTAGTTATATGATTTATTAGTCTAGCAGTTTTATTTGAATGAAGGAGACAAAAATTGGGTGGATTTGGGTTATGAGAGTGTTGATGACAAGATCAAATCCCTAAATACCATTTGCAAAATCTTGGTTTAAAAACCATGGGAATAATCTCTGAAAAATACATTGTAATAGATAATGAAGAATAATAAGTGGAACAAAAGAGAATTAATTCAAGCATTAATGATATTCATCTTTTATAATAATATTGGATGTTTCTCATAAGGCAATGGAATACTGAAGGAAATTGATTATACTCTCAATTTATAATCTGGTAATACTAGTATTAGTTTTACATTACCTTAAGAACAATAATAATAATAGCAAATAGATTTAACATAAAATGAATATATCATTCAAGAATTAAAGAATTAAGCACTTTTAGATAATCAAAATTGCTCATCAGATAAAAACATATAAGTCAAATCCAAATAACAATCCATTGATGAACCTTAAGAAATGTCTGATTTGGATGAAGAACAATTAATATTAAAATTCAAAGAGAAATTTTAAAAGTATTTCACAATTGATGAAATTAAGGATTCTACTGGATATTAAATATTGAGATTTTCTGTACTCATTATCATATTATTTAGGAATATAATTTTTAAATGAATAGTTATCCTGTTTTAAAGTCATTATACCCTGAAGGAGCACAGAAAATGCATGATTTTTTATTGGAAGTAAAATAAATGACAAGAAATACATTTGGCAAAGAATAATAGATCACTACGGCGGCTTTCAGAAAGGCGATAAGAGTTTATGCTTAGAATATATATCGATATTAACATGATGATATTGATTATTCAACTTAGGTATATTATTTATCCAATTATGAAGATGAATAAATTATTACCAAAAGAACTGAAGGCTTTCATAAAGATTGTGAGTTTGACACCAAATTTATTATAAAAGAAACATCTAGAGTTTATACCTCTGAAATTAAGTGCTGATGAATTATGTCATATCACATTGTTGACCATTGCTGCCAAAATTGAAGTTCAATTGATATATTTATCTAAAGCTTTAGTAGATTGTATGTGAACATTTAATAAACATTTTTAAATATTTTAATTAATTAATGCACGGTCCTGATATTAGCGATTTAGATTTACCAGATCTTACATTATACCCTTCAACTACTGGATATTCTGAATAAAAGCGTTGTTTCAAATAATGTGTAAAGGATATGTCAATCTCTTATTTAAACATTGAAGAAGAATCCTGTTCAAGTACGTAAATTTGGTAATTTAGAAAATTGCTTATCTAAATATATACAAGCCCAAATATTCTTATCGTAAAAGATGACTAACACTTTGACTTAACTTGTGACTCAGGATCCATCCATTAAAATTGCATTCAAAAAACCATATAAATTGCCAGAATAATGAATATTTTTATGATATATATTTATTATTAATAACTCATGGCGATGGTATACCTAGTAAATCTAAGTACTTTCTTCCCATATGTTTTTTTCCTTCATAACTGACCATATACATTGATTACCCATCAATTCCCATATCAGTCTCATCAAAATTACCTAGAATATGAATTGATATTACTATCTTTTGTATTTAAGGCAGGATCTGTAAAGTAATTTCCAACTCCTTGAACATCATTAACCATATAATTGAAATTGGAAATGAAATATGTATAATAGGTATATGCCTAAGCTAAATGATTGATATCTAGGTTTTCATCTGAAATAAAACCATAATTATTATTATACTTAACGAATTCACCAGTGAAGTATCTTTCTGCAATCCAAAATGAATCTAAATATAATTAACATTTTCATACTTGATCTTTCCAAATCCTTCAAAATCAAAAAGTCTGAATATTACACTTCAGGAATCTTAATGGATCTATCACTTTTATCTCTTGCATCCTATAATTCCCTAATAAACTTTTTCATTAAGCATTTTGAAATTAGATGAGATCTGCATTCTACAACAGCTTATTCTTGACTGGAGTATGTTAAATCTCCAATCGGCATTTTTATCACATATAACTCATTTTAATTGTTCTGTCTTTTCATCAAAAACACCTGTTTCATTTAACCTTAAGCAAAGAATTTCTCAGTTCTAATGCAATCCCATTACCCTTCTTAATAAACGCTATAATCCCTATTTATATCAAGTCTCTTAAGGTTTTCTATGTTGGCTTCAAATGAATCCTACTTCAATTCAACTCGAAAAACACCAAACTTAGCTGGAATAATGCTAACTCCAGGTAATTTATCAAATTAAAATGGATCCTTAATTTACTTGCAAAGTGCTTCCATAGCACCAGATTAGGATCTTTTATTCGCCTAGTTATTTTTTGATCTAGTTCCTTTATTATTTGTTTGAGTTGCTCTTTATGATGCTTAAGAGACCAAATCAACAAGCTCCTACCAAATTCTGCCTTATTCTGTGTTTTCTAAATCTGCAAATAATAATAATTCCTCTCTATCTGCACGTTGATACATCTTCTTTATTTCTTCAAACATTGGTAATGTCACTTTATTAAATAGGATAGCAACAAATAAAATGTTATTATCTATAAGTAAATTAATAGCATCTTCAATATCTTCATTTGGGTATCTATCGCTCACTCCACCATTATATCTCTTACCATGAGTAGGAGCATCACAAATCAAAAGAGCAATTTTGAATGTTTTACTCCAATGCAAATTCTTAATCATTTGCATTATGCCTCCTCTAATATCTTCTGCTGCGTCTCCACCTCCAGCACAAGGAATCTCTTACAAATATTCTTCTATTTCTTTAGGATTTGGAGTGAAATTTAATTATTTGTATAATCCTCCCAATTATTTCAATTCTCCAAAATCTTAATATGCTACAGTTGCCCATAAAGCATCCCTGTTTGTCTTTATTTTGATGTTTTTCATACTCTCCTTAATACATTTCATTGCCTACTCTTTATATGGATCCATTGATCCTGTTACATCGATCAAAAAGCAAACTTCAATCTTTCCATGACTTTCCAACATCTATTTCTTCAAAACTAAGATATTTACTCAAAATACATTATGCTGTTTTTTGCCTTTGTTCTTTACCTTTCTACATCAAATCCGAATATTATTATTATTCCTATCTTAATTTTTCTTATCTACCTTGCAGTTCCTCTTACCTTTACTATTCTTATCGTCTTTGTTCTCTATTTCTTTACTCTTCTCTCAACTTTAACTTTTCTTCTACTTTTAATGCCTCACTATCGATCTCTAACACTTTTTTTGGATCTGCTTATTAGGCGATCTATTTGAAATTGCTTAAATTCTTTTAATATATCATCATATCCTTCTTTGTTTCTTCCAATTCCCCAGTTAATTGTTTTATAGTTTACTCTCTCTCCTTTATTCCTCTATCCTTCTCCTTTAATAAATATGTAAGACTTTCCACACTCTTCTCCAATTCCATTATTTTCTTTTCACTATCAAAACATTGCTTCTTTGCTGCAGATAGACATTATTAACTCTCATTAAATGATTATTGGCTTGACCTAAGTTCAGCATTTAATTTGGTTATTTATAATTCATAACCCTATTGTTATAACGATTATATTACTTGAATCTTTTCTGCTGATGCAAAATCGGTTCCCTTTATAGAACTTCTCATCTCTTCTTATTATCTATTTTACAATAATCTCACTTGATCATTTAAACTTACCACTTGCGCCTTGTATTCAGTTATTCTTTTCTCTAATTGAGTATTTTATGATTATAATTCATTCAATTTTTCTATCTATTAAGAATCAATATGAAGTTTCATTTCTTATTTTACCTTTTCTACTTCCAATTCTTGATTTTTTGTCTTTACTTCCTCTAATTGTTACTCCAATTTCCTAAAAATTAATTATTGTTCATACTTTATTTATTATTTTGAGAAATCTAATTCTCGATTTATTTCATCCTTAGTTTGACTTCCTCGACTATTAGCGAATTCTAAATCTTTTTACAATCCTTTTATTTCAAAAGTCTTAACTATCAAATCCTCCTTTAATTTTTAATAATCTTCCACTTTCTTTTGTAAATCTAGCTTCTCTTATTTGAAATATGCAATCTATGAATTTAATTCAGTTCTTTCCATATCAAATCTGCTAACAATTGCTTTTTAACTTGCGAGTTCTAATTCCAAATTTTTCAAATCATTTCCCAGAAATGATGATTAGGATGCTTAGAATTATTAGGAATCTGCGCTTTAAGCATTTTTTTTTTATTATTAATCAAGCTATGTTTTAACCTAATTAAAGTCCCGTTAAATTGTTTCCTTCTCCTATTTAATCCTATGCTTTCAATAATATTTATACTAATCTAATTAGATTAAAGATTCTTTCAATCTATCTTACAATTCCTCCTTTTATGCTCCTTCTTCTCCAAATTTTTATTGCCATCTCTGTACTTCATTTTCAAGTGCATCTTTTGAATAATATTTATGAAATACCTAATTTCTATTTATAATTTTTGGTTAGTGTTTCTGCTGTTTCTGCCTCAAGTTTTGCCTCTTTGTCGATTCCATACTGTTTTAATAAAAAATCGTTTTTCAAAATCTCCTCTTTGAAAACTAATACAATGTCCTCTAATCTCAACCCTGATTTTTCCATCACCTTCTATTTTACATCATTCACTTTGGTCTTCTCTAACTAAACATCTATGAGTATAGTTTTCCCATTTGGCATCTATACGTAGATTTACATTGAATTATATAAATTATTGTGTTCAAAATCATTTGAAAAAAATAGCTTTAGAACCAAAATAATTACTATTATTATTGTAATTATAAATACGAAGAAAATGTATATTATAAAGATTGTATTTCTTCATTAATCAATTATCAAAAATATTAATCCTAATCAATTTGTAAATTAAACACTAAATTTTATCATTTATTTGAAAACAGATTCAAGTCTGAATCTCCTTTAATTAAATCTGACATGGAAAATTATTTTATTCTAAAATGATTGTCTTGTTTGCAGAAAATATGTAAGGTGAAACTAATAATACATGAATTAGATACCAAACCTTCGCGTGTCTTGAATTAAAAATGAAGAAAATAAAAATATAATATTAAATATTTAACAATCGATTTTACAATTCTCTCCTCTTAATTTATTTTAGCTCTTCTGTGAATGCTAAATACTTCAAGTTGAGAATGCATCACCATTTTTAATCTTTATATTTGATATATAACTCTCTTGCCATTCAAACCTTGTTATTAATTTTTATTTCAAAATCAAAAAAAATCAGAATTTTTCACTATTTCTTATTATTTTCTATAACAACTATTATTCTTAAATTCAAGTCTATTTAAGAACTTTAAAAGCATCTATCAATATTAGATTATATCAAGTTAAATCTAAAAGTACTGAAGAGTTCATTAAACATCTCTTTAATTTTAAACATCTAAAGTTTTTGATTCCCCAATATATTTTAAAAATTTATATCTTGCTCTTGAATTTATTTATTTTTTAGTATTATCACTCTTTGTTAAAGATGAAATCATCCAATCTCAATAATTTTCTCTAATTTTTTCTTGTGATTTGGAAGTTAAGCATCATTTACAAAATTTTGGATATAAACTGCAAAAATAATTTTGCTGACAAATTTTAATCACTACTAACAATTATTAGAAATTCAATAAGTTTATTAATATATTCAACTGAAATTTAATGGATTGAAAAAAAATTCAGATTATCACAATAAATACTTACTCTCTAGTCTATTATTTTACTTTTGTGTAAGCATATCAAGAATTCGATTAATTTTTATCAATATTTGGTCTCCAATTTGATTTTTATTTAATTAACTCCAAAGTAATGTTGATGGTAAAGTGCTGGCCTGCCTATTTAATTTTCATACTGATAAAATATCAAGGAGATTATAATAATGTTAACGATTCAATTTAAAATTTTGAAAGTGTATGATTACTAACGTGGAATGAAAATAGGAATTTTATTTAAATGATTCATTAAATTTTAATTTACTTAACTGGGTTGTGGTGATATTTTTATGTATTTCTCCACCACAAATTAATATATTTATTTCAAGAAATCTCTTATTCAAATATGAGAGAATGTTTTTTCAGTCAATTCATTAAAGAGTTTATTACTTCGATATGCAATAGTTTCACAATTCAAAATAATAAATTACATTTTCTTAATTATAGAAAAATTTAATAGAGAATTTCTGGGCGATGATTAAAACAGATTCTTTAAAAATAATTATATTAAATAAATAGCCTAATTATCAAATAGGAGAACTTAAGAAGCAAAATAAAAAATAAATAAAACATAGGGTAGTTTTTATTGCAGCCATACCGGTCTTTTGATTGTATGTTAGGTTGATTTTTGCAAATAAATTCAAAAGCAACAAGACAGATAAATATTATTTAATAATGGGGAGAGATTATATTATGTGGATTAAAAGAAATTAATGAATATGAAAATAGAGGTCATGTAAAATATTGACTCCTTATATTAAGAGCTTTTAATATAATTTTAAATTAATAAAAAGCAATATCCAAATTGACATTTAGGGTTAATGTAAAAGATTATGCGCGGATTAAATAAATTGCAACCCAAAAATAATGTATATCCTAATAAAAGCTAGCTTCAAGTTTCTTCTAGAAATTTATAAAAATCAACACTTGAATATTATTGGAAATAAATATTATAGAATAATCATTCCATTTGGTACTTAGATTTTTTTCATTAGCGATACAATTTTGTATTCATTGATGAAACAGGACTAGGACTAAAAATGGTAAATTCAAGTGTTGGTAATTTAATAAAGTTCCGAGATAATGTAAAATAAAATTAGAAAATAAATTATTAATTATGAAAGAGTTATGATAAATAAATATTAATAGATTGTTAATTCAAAATTGATCTTAAACTTCAACCTTTCCATGTATTTAAATTAAAGGGGAAAAAATCTGATTCATTATTTATT